ACATGTCCCGACATGGTCATCGGAAGAAAACAAAAAGAGAAATGCATACCGTTAGGATCATGGGCACACCAACAAGATTTATCCTCATCTAGCCACAAAAAAAACTGATCTGAAATTGAGAAGTCATCCACAAAGGTACTATGTGAGCTACAAGCAATGCACACAAGAGAGCTAGCACAGGAAGTCGCAGTCAAAACGGATCGTGGCGAACATCGAGTTGGCAGAATTTGGTTGCACCGTTTTTCCCCGCTTTGAAGCAAGGCGTGTGTCCGACACAACCATCACAGGAGATGGTTAAATTTGGTTTCCGTAATGCCATGGAGTTATTGTCCATACAGCTCATGTAGTTACCAAGTTTACTTTCTTCTTATTTAAGGCGAGCATTCATCCATTATTTTCTAATGTTTTAGCCTTTTAGTTCTTATTTTCTTATTATTATTATTAACTTTTATTTTACTAGGGTGTTTCCCACAGACCTATGCTTTCTTCAACAGTGTTTAACTGTGATGTGTTCAAATAACACTTTTAGTGGCAACATTTAGTGTAAAAACTAGCTCAGCTCCAGCTGATCATGCTTAGATTGTTCAGGTTTTGTTTCTGCTGAAGGTCAGCAGCATTTACCTTTGACCTTAGTATATTCTTAGCTCGGTTTAAATAGTTTCCTCTGAGACAAAAATGCGATAATACTCATAAAAAGGACACACTTCAGGCTCATTACAAACATCTTGAAAGTTTTCGTCTTCACAAGTATACTTTCAAGCCTTCTCATCAGGTGAAATACAGGCAAGGGAAAAGGAACAGGAACAGTGGATTAAATACAGTAAGAAGGTGGTAAAACAGCGCAAAAAGAAAGAAAGAAAGAAAGAAGATAGCTAAAGTAAACAGCGAAAATTGCAATAATGACACAAAGGTGCAAATGCGAGAAAACTCAATAAGCGCGACATGTAGTGCGACAACAAGAGACAACCACTGGACATACATGTAACTAACGAGGTTTTGACGACCTACCTAACAGCCTAAGTGTGAATTTGCCTGTATTTCACCTGATGAGAAGGCTTGAAAGTATACTTGTGAAGACGAAAACTTTCAAGATGTTTGTAATGAGCCTGAAGTGTGTCCTTTTTATGAGTATTATCGGTTTAAATAATTAATTTTTAGATTCAGAGGTTCCTGTTGGGTGGAATATTCATCAACATGATGGCAAGAGAACAGGCACTCTTGTTAGCAGGTTTAGATATCATTTTTTGGTTTAGAAACCAGTCACTTTAGTAAACATTATTGGGAAATCATGAAAAGCAGATAAAGAAAGCATAAAATGACATAAAAAAGCAAACTTTTAGCACATTTTCAAGACTCCTGAAATATTTGGTTGATCTATATCATTATCCTCTCTAGATAGAACCATAACACACCATGCAACACCACCAGGCGGAATCATCACCTCCCCCCCCCCCCAGCAAGACCTACATAAGCTGTATGGACAGATAGCTCCCACGACGATGCACCAAACGTCACTAATTTTCCCGAAACAGGGCCATGATATTTACGCACATCCTGTGCTATCTTCCCGAGTGGAAAGAAATAGATTGCCTTGGAAGAAAATTCATAACTACAGCTTCACCGACCAGATCCTACTTGGCGTCGATGCCAGAAGCACAAAATCCAGTTAGGGAGGAGCAGTGATAACAAGGACAAAGTCATTGAAGTAAAACTGATCCAACAAGGGTACTGTACCTGAACGAAAGAAGAACACTTCTTTCAACGATGGTTATCTTGAGCTCCAAAGGTGCTGCCCGCAAAACATCTGCGCGGTACGAGAGCGAAGCAGGTGTTTGTGAAGAAGCTGATACGAGTGACGCACCCGCAGGGCAAACCCATTGCCCGCAATGGCTAGCGATCCAACACGCCACGTTCCCTACAAAACAACAGAATGAGAGCTCGTTAGTAGATAGTTGTTTGCCGGTAGTGATGGTAGCTAGCGAGTGAGTAGCCCTCGGCGGATAGGGCTCAGAGGATTGGCAGATTCTGCTCGAAAAGCAGTGAAATTGGCAGAAACATACAAACCTTATGGCAGGCCCTTCCTTGAATTCTGCTCCATTTCTTTATCCACATACGAAACAAGCATGAAACATACCAGAACAAAGTACCAAAATCTTCCAATTTTCTGCCAGAGTTATCCGCCGAGGGCGTACAAGTGTGAGGAACAGAAAGTGGAGGTGCACCACATTCACGGCTCAAAAAGGTGATCAACTAGGACACCACAATCCCCTAATGACATGAAAGAGATAGCCAACCAAGGAAATGCTCACCTCGTGGGAAATGTAAAAGGAAGAAAAGGCAGTTTGCCGCCATCACCCTGAGCATGCGCACTGAGCCCCTTGGTACACTCCTTGGCTGCAAAGAAAAAGAAAAGAAAAGATTTCACTGAACCATTACTTACAGGGTAACAGTGTTTCAATTTTACAGCGAACCCACACGAAGAAGCAGCGTGCTGTTATGCTGGCAGGAATATTCATAATACGTAAAAGAATTTTAAAAGGTCGACAAGGTATACAAAACAAGTGGTGAAGGAGATGAATTCCAAGATTTACCTTCTTTGCCTGCCGTAGTGCTCCAGTTGAGAAACTTGCCGACGATAGTTGGAATCCTTCAAAATATGCCTCTCGACTGTATCTCACCTTTGCTCTGTAGTCACCTATCACATGCTGGCCGGATATACAGTATCTCGGATTAGCCTCAAAGAAAGCAACCGGAGAAGAAGGACATTACGTGCTTCCTTCCAAACAACAACGAGGAATAAAACGAGTTCGTGAGCTGCACAAGTAATTAGTTGATTCAACGCAGCGCGGCCTCACTTGCGAGCGCATGCAGCTGCTAGCATTCTTCGAGCGTGAACTTTGACCCCACCACCCTAGGTTTCTCGCAAGTGTCTAACGCGGGCAACGGCCCTTGCTCATTGCAGTCTAGCAGTAGCCAGTAGACCGTCTACTAGCCGCGTGTTCAATCACTAGTATTAGTTCACTCCCTTCATCAATTAGATCCACAGCGCTCGCTAATGCATGAGGAAGGACATCGCGGTCTGGTGTGAACTTTGGAATGGGCCGATCAGCGACGGACACACGCGGGACGTCTCGCGTCTGTACGGGAATGCCACGAGACAACAACAATTACCTGGTTGAGTATTTGCTCGTCTGCAGATGCAGCCTGCAAACAAACAGAAGATTCTAGAATGCGGCGGGCAGCAGGCCGGCAGGGTAGATCTACCAGCAGACTCGGCCCATGACCAACGTCCGTAGACCTCTACACCCAGAGCGGTGCGACCCAAACGACCGAGTAGCTATCGCTGGCTCATCGAAACGCAAACCCCGCAGGGGTCAGCTAGCACACGAAAGAAGCAAAATCAGTTGTGATCTGCTCTCGAAGAAAGAACACAAATACAATACTACAAGACTCATGTACATTGTGTATTGAAGACGGAAGTATGGAGGCGTCGACGAGTCCATCAAACTCGCCACAGCGCCAACACATCCATGCATTCCGAGCTCTTCACGCAATGCACAAGCACAGTGGCGGGCTGCTATCGCAGAAAACATTGACTGTGCTGTGCGCTTTGCGGCTCACACTTTCGGCTTTCTGAACTGCCTTGCCATATCTGCGAAACTAGGATTGTGGTATTTTGCGACTTCATCGGTATTATCCGAAGAAGGCGGCTGCTGCTTAGGTTGGAACTCTCGCTTCCGACACTTGCCTGACGTGCGACTGCCGTCTGAAGCAAACGAGAAATACGTCGGCCTTCCAATCGGCAAACTGGCAAGAAACACCACTCCTCGTCATTACACAGTGTTTCGAGGGATTCATCTCACATCACTAATCTTGAGCTTGATAGAGTAGGCTAATGACATGTGTGCTGCAGGAGTGCCACAACTTGTAATCACTCCAGCAGCTCAAATATCTCTTCATGTATGATTGTTGGGATATCAAGTTATCAACAACTCGGTTTCCAGCTCGACAAACACCTTGTATCTTCCCTGTTGAGAAATCCGACATAGTAATGCAAGCAACCGGGTTGCCTGCATTACTACAAGTATGGATTTCTCTGAATACCCTACATTGGAATCATGGTGGGGAACCCTCAGCATAACTCTTGGGTCGGGTCTCCATTCCTCTACTCGGTCCATCAACTGATAGCCAGGGTCAGTAAAAATAACTTTTGAAACGTTTGTTTCCCAGGTTCCCACTTGTACACCATCTACATGTAGTTGAAATCATGGAAACTTGGAAAGAAAAGCCCTGGTCTGCCCTGGCCCCTGGGAATACTCACTGCACACTCACTGTGACATTCGTCGAGTCGATGCAGCCTTGTGCAGTCTTAAAATGTACAGTAAATGTGAAGCAGATGCGATAGGGGTGAGGTTTTGCATTCCGAATTTCGGTACAGCATTCTTCGGTCGTTTGTCGAACATCAATATGTCGAATTTTCGCACCAACGTTTGTTTTGCAAGTCGAAAATGATGTGTTTTCATTTCGTGAGCCCCAGCATCAGCAACGTCCTGTCCCGTGCTCCTTTTCTTGCTGATTCCAACGAACTTTGATCGCCCAAAGAGTCGAGGGCCAAACCTGCCTCCTCAGTCGCCTCAGAAAAACCATATTCATGGCCAAGTCAAATTTTATGCGTGTCGCCATAGTCTTTTCAGCCACACAGATGACGGTGAGGACACTCCAGTCGAAAGAGAGTAGACAGGCAGTGGAGAGGAGCAATCAGAGGTAGCTGACGATGCTATGTCGCCAAAGACGCCTGCCAAGCGATGCCGAGATAATAAACGTCTTTGAATAAATCACGCGCTATAGCTATAGCGCTCTTCTACAAGAAAATGCATCCGAAAAATATATTCGGCAAAGTGAGCTTTTTCCGAACAAACACGCCGAATCTTCGTGTGCATTTTCGACCTCGCTCCCGCGTGCCGAATCTTTTTGCCGAATTTCGGAATGCAAAACCTCACTAGTGATAAGCTGAATTCTTTAGAAAGGCACGGATAACGAGCGGCACAAATAATGGCCAACAACAGTGAGGGAATTCTCTTAGACTTCGGTCTTAGGTTTGGTCGTAAATGCTACCTGAAAAAGATTTGCCGCTTGAGTGCTGGCCTAGAGTGTACACTGTAGATACAGATCAGAGCAGCATAATATACTATAGCCATACAGTATGGTACTGCTTCATGACCAGTGACAACTGGCCAGTTCTGCGACTGTGGCCGGTGTGCATGCAAAATAACAGTTACGGTATGTGCTGAAACTGAAAGCCTGAAAGAACCACAATGCCATGTGTCCATCATGCAGCTATGTACTAATAGACTAATAGTAATACTAGATCTACATGCATTCCGCAAGTGTGGCGAGGGTGCAACTCTCGCTTATGCCATTCAGAACACCATACATAGAGAGAGACCGATAGAGAAAGAGAGAGAGAGAGAAACAAGAGACAAGAACACAACTTACAGTGCATCAGTCTCTGTGCATGACATGAACATTTTAATGCTCCAGTAGAACTACACAATCATCATGATACATGTACAGTACATGTACTGCTGATGGTCAAAAGACCTAGGCTAGGCTACACATGACATCAAGAGTACATAACACACAGAGGTTGTGTACTTTTGATGACATCCGCCGATGATACTGATATCAACAGAATATGACATGTATATGATAAATAGTTATTATTACTCAATCATAGTCAATGTGCTGTTGCCTGATCATATCCAAAATGGCTCTGAGGCGCATGGAGCCCTGTTGCCAAGCCGACGCCCTCGTAGACATACCACTACCAGGGGCAGGACATTCGCCGTCTGCTGACAGTGACAGTGTTCGCCCGCGAGGAGATTTAGATGAACGAGTGTGCGTCCAGCAGAAGAGCTGCGGGGGCTGGACGGTGGTGGTGCTTAGTGCCCAGGAGATCTGTATCACACATGCGTGTTGATTGCTTGGCACCGTGCTGTAGACTTGCGCTCTGGTATGGACATTGCCAACATGTATACGAACCCGAGCACCGTCATTGCTTCGACATGGCTTCCCGCAGGCTAAGGTGTGCCCCTTGGTCTCACGTTGCATAGACGATGCCTTGAGAATGGGTTGCAGTGCTGTGCAGCGGGGATGGCCCAGTTTCTTGCCAGCATACGCGCTGCTGACGAATGCCATCTTGGGGCGTATGGCCCGTATCCAATTTTCTGGGTTTGCAATGTGAGACCCGTGGTGGCTGATCTATAATTGCAATACATGCACACACGCATGCACGTACACGCACACACACGCACACACACACATACACACACACACACACGAGTGCGCACGATGAAATTTTAGAGACAACCCCACGTGATTTCATATGAGGTGCATGAATTTGTTTATGGGATAGAGCACAGCTTGAGTATTATAAACTTTGCCAACAACAGGCTAGCTGAGCAACTGCCTTGGCTATTACGCCCCATCTCCTTCTCCCCCCACCCAACTCCCCCGCCCCCATATGTGCACTTGAATGCTATCACAGTGGTATGATGGTCTGCTGCAGCAGCATGGCCGGTGTAGTGATCATTATGTACTAGTACTAGAGTGTAGAAGACAACGTATTGTCATGTCATGGTGTGCTATGCTACTGCAGCAGTGATCAGTTAGTTACAGGGTGTGGGGACTCTTGAGCCACCAACGAGCCACCAACGGTCAGACAACTACTAGTAATATTTTTTAAAGTATTTGGTTAGTAACTGAGTGTTACATTCTGCATGATTGTCATTCAAATCAGGGAGTCGTAAAATACGGTATTTTACGACTCCCTGATTCAAATGCCTAGAGAGAGTCTGATGCAAATTTCGCGCGAAAGTATTCACGTGACCATACAGGATTGTAGAAGTGGACTTTTGGTGGCGTATCAGTATTTGACCCGGGTCAACTGTCTTCATGTAAACGCTCACCTATTTTGTCTATCGTACAGACTTTCAACCCGGGCTGAACTCGACCCAGGTTGAAATTTCTCATGTAAGCACAGCCTATAGTGACAATATTGAAAGAAACATGTGTGATTATAACAGCTGTTATCCTATCAACCACTACTTCGTTATCCTATCACATACTACTAGTCGCGTCTGATTACCACATTGTTATCACCCACTTGGTGCATTTTCTCACTTTCATTTTTATAATCACACATGCATCTTTCAGTGCTGTACTCACACTACTTGAAAGGCTGACGCGAATGTCGCGTTCAAAACTAAACAAAAGTACTTGAAAAAGCCTTTCCAAGCACACTGCACTTCTCCTTGGTTGTTCTATAAAAGTTCATTCGTGTATCCTGTAGGCCTTTGCGGATAATGCCGGCAGAAAAATTGGCAGAATTCGGTACTTTTTCTGGTAAGTTTCATGCATGTTTCTGGTATGTGGATAAAGAAATGGAGCAGAATTCGAGGAATTGCCCGCCATAAGGTTTGTATGGTTTTGCCAATTTCACTGCTTTTCGAGCAGAATCTGCCACCTTTTCGAGCATTATCCACCAATGTCTAGTATCCTGTGTACTTTGTTTGACGTGTCCGAGGTACATCTTAGGCCGCGTTCGAATTGTCTTCATCAACTGTTCAAACAAATTTTTAAAAGAGTTTAGTTGAAGTGTCCCATTAGAACGGTTTCTATCGTTTTAGAGTTTATCAGTGGAATTGTCATGGCGATGATGACGTCCGATCAGATCGACCATCTTCACGCACTACGTGCTATTCCACACTCTTCGGAACTAATCCACCTCTCCCATCGGATGAGGTTGTGGAGTTTCGAGGAGTTTCGAGGAGCTTCGTTTTTCTGGAGAGGCCAATAAGGCCACCTCTTCAGAAAAACGAAACTCCTCGAAAAGACAAAGAGTGACAATTCGAACGTGCCCCTGCCCAAGCATAAAGACAGTATGCCATAATGGATCAACACAATCGTGCTCCGGATAATGTCCGTGCTACAGAAGGCAAGAGTGTGTCCTATCAGAGTACGTACTAAGCGAGTTCCACAGCACTTACCTTGTACACATCCGATGCTAGCTTAGAAGAAAGTCTGTCCATCAGCTGTGCCTGCCCTTTCCCCTCCAGATCACCGACGAGCAGAGATGAGCGCGACCCGTACTTCACTCGTACTGCTACACTGTGCTCGTTCTTCGTGCTTCCTAAGTTGGCAGCTAGAATCTCAACTCGAACGCTACTCTGTCCTCCACAAACACTATCAGTCCAGGTATTTCCTTGATGGCAGTCCCTCTCGTAGCAGGGCTGTCCACCCTTGAATGTCATTGCATTGACGTCATCCAGCCACTGACGGATTTTACCCCCTTTTACACCACTACTCCCGTAGGCGTCACGTGTTAGCCCTATGAACACGCGCAGGCTAGATGGTGAGCGCTTCCAGGTTTCGTCGCGTTCGGAGTGATGATAACGATTCACACTGCGCTTGTTGTTGGTCATGTGTGCCGGGAATCCAAACTGGCGAGATGGCGAACTGAACTTGGACGGTGTTCGTTCGCCAATCGGAAAGATCCTGGGAAGATAACTAAAGTGGTCTTCATCCGGATGGGTTACGATGATCGTTGTCAAGCGCTGCATCAATGTCTGGTCGCCATTAAGTTTAGCTTCTTCCAAATAGCCTTTAACATCACTGGACGTCCATACGCGATCTGAACTGCCTGCATCGATCATGATCACGTGGCCGTTATGCTCGGGACAGACAATCAGTGTGCAGTCGCCTTGTCCAACGGGCAGGGCGATCGTCAACAACTCACCTCTTGTGTTGCGTCTGGTGTTGTTCATAACGACCGGCGGTGGCAAGTTGGAAGCCGATGCACGGCTGGCTGGGTAGCTATAGACTGATGAGAACACAAAGCACAAAGCTAAGATCACCTTCAATCCCTGAGTGCTGTAAGGATAGCGTGCCCTGGACACCGGTACAGGACCATTCAATACAGCCATGGCTCCACTAAGGGAGATTCCTCTTCTGTCAACCTGTCTATCCTATCACAACGAGACAATTTCTTCTGATTCCTACCTGGACGTGTGCTAAGTAGCAACTGATTAGTGTAGCATCTCCACCGGTCATATCAGTATGTACCACCACGCGATGTATATGTCCCCGTGTGTTTGCGTGTGTGTGTGTGTGTGTGTGTGTGTGTGTGTGTGTGTGTGCCCACGTGCATGCATGCGTGTGCTTGTGTGATCCAATACTAGCATGCAGGCAGTCAGGACCGCGCGCGCGTGTGTGTGTGTGGGGGTGGGTGTACATGCGTGGGCATACAATACACCATGGTACAGTAGTGCAATACTGTCTTGCAAATCGATACGTCAGATGAAGCAAAATTAATGGTGAGCAGACAGCACTTTGTTTGGCACCAGGCCCGGCGGAACCGGTCCGGTTGGTCGGGCCATGGCCGGACCAACTCTATAGCCACCAACGTGTGTTTACAGCTGAGGAGGTCATGTGACTACCCTCCATATCATACACAATGCATAAAAGACAAGCGTATGGCCGGACCAATCACAAACTGCTTCCGCCGGTCCTGTCTGCACGAGTATGTTGCACACTGACTGTAAAGACACTCTCTTGTTTACAGGACTAATGCCTGCACTCATGCCTGCACTGATTCCGGCATGTTGTCCGCTTAAGAAGAGACCTTCCAAAGTGCGACTGTCGGACAGACGGACAGGAAGTGACCATTAGGCGTGGCTATAAATGGCCCTGTGGCATGTACTGCCAAGCCCAAGGGCAACGTCTTCTACTGGACACAACATCTTTATTCAAGCTCAACAAAATGTGAAAACAGGAAGGAAACACAAGAACGCAACACATTCAAATTGAAACAAAAGTCAATAGTCACGTCACGTGTGCATTCAACTGAGTATGATGGTGATTATTATTGTTTTCAGGGCCTGATCAGGCGACACTCAACCACCAGACCTGGCCCGCGATGACGGCGTCGGCTTCTATACTACTCGTACTGGTACGAGTAGTGCATGCCAGTAGGCCACTTGGTTAACAGTTTCTCTTCAATCTTTTTTTTTCAATACATGTATTCTTATTCAACTTCAATTGAGCGTTCTACACGTCAATCCGGACCGCAGCGGCGCAGGCTAGCCTAGCACAGACTCATTGTCACCAGGGAGTACAGTAACGTGTATGTTGCCATGCCTGTACATGTACGGTATGTACATGCACCTGTTAGATTGACAGCATGAAACAAGGTGGAGGACACTGTGACCTTACTACAACCAGGGAGTCGTATTTTACGACTCCCTGACTACAACCTTCCGCGGTTGGCAGAGCCCCGGTCCCTGCGGACCACTTGAACCATATGGGTGTTGCACCCGGTTCTGACCCTCATTATGCTAGGGGGGTAGGAGACTACTCCTGACGTCGTCTTGTACTCTTCGCTCTTTTCTTTATTTCGTCCTGGTGGTCGTGCGGCCACTGAAACCTCAACCTGTATAAAAAAAACTTCTTTTCTTCCAACTTCTGCCCATGGTGAAGGCCTACCCATGGCCACGTCGGGACATCACCAACCCCGTCTACAGAGAGCACCTTCTCGCGACAGTGTCATGGTGATGACAAAAACTCAGTTGACAGTTGACGAGCTGAGAGAAGGACGCCATGGGCAGAAGTCGGAAGAAAAGAAGTTTTTTATACAAGTTGAGGTTTCAGTGGCCGCATGACCACCAGGACGACATAAAGAAAAGAGCGAAGAACACAAGACGGACGTCAGGAGTAGTCTCCTACCCCCCCCCTTGCATAATGAGGGTCAGAACCGGGTGCAACACCCATATGGTTCAAGTGGTCCGCAGGGACCGGGGCTCCGCCAACCGCGGAAGGTTCTGTCCCCGGGGAAAATCGCGGAAAAAACTTGCAAAAAACGCGGGGAAAAACTCGGCATAATATGGCATAATTTGCGGTAAATATGCGGTAAATATGCGGTGAATATTATTGATATGCGGCAAGTTTGCAGTTGATATGAGGCAATTTTCAGTGAGTATGTAGTGAAATCAATCAGTTACAAGTCTCTGGTGTAAGCACTCGTCATATTTGAGTACAAAGCCGCCACGATGAGACGTTGCTGACCGAATAGTGCACTGTGTGTACGTGTAGTGCAACAAAAAAGTTCAAAAACGCGGGAAAATCGCGGAAAACACAGTCTTTAAAAAATCGCAAAAAACGCGGAAAAAAACGCGGCCGCGGAATCACGATTTTCCCCGGGGACAGAAGGTTGTAGTAAGGTCACTGTTTCCTAACACAGTGTCTCCACCTTGTTTCATGCTGTCAATCTAACAATTTGCGTGAACTATAACAAGGTTTATCTAATACTGTTTTTTAACCAGTGCTAGGTTACCATGTATATACCTGCACTACAGGTAGCAGTAGAATATCTAATTGGTGTCAAGCACGGTAAGTGTACAACCAGGCAGTATTCACTACTCCCTGGTAGAACTCTCCGCCCTTTCACTACATATTAACAAGAGCACAACAAGAGAAGAGAGGAGCGGATACATGTACTGACAAGTAGTATGTACAGTATTATAGTTTGAGAAAGAGAATACACTCAAACGTCTCTTATCCGGACGCCTCAGATACGGGCACGTCTCTCTACCGGGCACCTTCAGCTTGAGTTCCTATGGCAAAATGCTTCGAGTTTGGGGATTTTGAACCTATTTTCGTATGCACAATTGCATATTTGTCACTGCCAACTTGTGTAATCCACACATTTTCATCAATGGTTTATTTTTTATCCTGAGCATGTGCAATACGTGCCAAATAAACTTCATCAAAAACTGATAATTATGGTACGTGTTAGATGAGTTATCCTGAGATACGGGCAAATCTGAGATACGGGCATTGCCCGGTCCCAAGGTGCCCGGATAAGAGACGTCCGAGTGTACCACTATGATGCACGTGCTCATGCATCAGATTGCAGACAATAAAATCAGCGTCGACGTAGAATAAATCTACAAGCCACAGGGGCAGAACTTTAAAAACTAGAGCCTCAGTACAAGAGGTGCAAACGCGGAATAAAACATGACGATGGAGTAAAGCTGTGTCCACACAGCCACTGCATGAGAGAGAGAGAGAGAGAAAGAAAGAGAGAGAGAGAGAGAGAGAGAGAGAGAGAGAGAGAGAGAGAGAGAGAGAGAGAGAGAGAGAGAAAGAGAGAGAGAGAGGGGTAACGTTATGCTCAGCGTGGGAAAACAAGCAACGCTGATTATTGTGCACACGTAAAATCTGTATTCTGGCACGAAGTACACATAGAAAGGCCAGCACTGAGCAGTATGGGTACATCAAGCAGCAGCAGCTGTTGGCATGGCACGGATTGAGCAACTGAGCAGCTCAAACCCTGCTCTTATCCTTACTTGGCATGACCTGGTGCAAAACTAATCAAAATACCTGTTAACCCTACTTATCCAGATGACTTCCCAAAAATGTGTCAGAATTAATAGAAGACACGCACATAGATAAAAAACAGGTCAAAACTGCCAGAATACGCACATAAAAATACAAGCTCCCAGGGCTTGATATCAATGTAGTTCTGAAGAGAGGGCATAGTACGGGAAATTGGCCCTTTCTGAAGAGAGGAAGCTCCCAGCTGGTGTCAGTGGGCACACTGCAGAGAACCGTGGCTCCAACAGACGAGCATAATGTATTTAACAGTCAACACTGTGCTATTGCAGCACAGCTCCACAAAGGTAAGCAGAAACTCATCAGTAGCAGCAACTCTTGCTGAACATGTGTTAGCGGACTGTGCATACAGTACATCCTCAGCTAACGCGGCACATGCGTTGACAGACAGACTGTGCATGCAGCACATGTGCAGGCAGACTGTGCATGCAGTACATCCTCGCGCATTGGCCATGTACACAGCAGGAAATCCAGCTGACAAAACAAAGCGACTACACAGACTGGTACATGCACGACAGCGCATGGGTAGCATGTGAGACAACGCATGGGTAGCATGTGAGACAGCGCATGGGTAGCATGTGAGACAGCGCTGATAACGCCATTGTCTGAACGGATAAAAAAGGACTCGGGTGGCTGTAACTGATAGCTGCAGCAAACTGACCAAGTGAATATCACCTGCAGCCTGACGTCCAGTCTCCAGTCATGCCAATGCTGACCTGCAGGATAGGAGTGACGTGTGGAGACAAGCAGCACTAAGTCTTGTCGCTCAGTGATTGCAGATACCCATCTAGACTATACTCCTCCTCATACTGTTTACTGTCCCACAGCTCTTCCAGGTCTTCAAGAGCAGCCTTCATTGAGCCTCCACCACCGGCGGCAGTAGCGCTGGAACTAGCTGCTTGCTGCAAACCTCCTGCTGCCTTGCCCTTCCTGGTGACCGATGACTTCTCCTCCCCTTGGAACAGATCCAGCAGTTGGTGTGTGTCCATTGACGACAGGCTGGAGTTCTCTGCAGTCACCACCGAGTTTGCTATGCCCAGCTTGAATCTTTGAAGACTGGTTTGGCAAAAGCACAGACAACAACAACAACAACAACAACAACAACAACAACAACAACAACAACAACAACAACAACAACAACAACAACAACAACAACAACAACAACAACAACAACAACAAAAATTCACAATCCCCAAGAGAACACTCTATGGGAAGAGAGAGAGAGAGAGAGAGAGAGAGAGAGAGAGAGAGAGAGAGAGAGAGAGAGAGAGAGAGAGAGAGAGAGAGAGAGAGAGAGAGAGGGAGGGAGAAAGAAAGAGAGAGAGAGAGATGCCCGAGTTAGATGCCTGCCCAACTTAGGCATATTAGCAAATTATTGCAAATTATTAATGCCTCATGGAGCTATCGGAATCGCACCAGGAATCGTCAAACAAAAGAACGGGCTGTCACTGCGTAGATCCGCTTAGACAATGGGGGGGGGGGGGGGGGGGCTATACTTTACATTGAAAACACACCCACCCACACACCCACACACACACACACACACACACACATTTTGAAATCTGCAGTCACTCACCTCATTATTCTCTCTTCCATAGTACCACGTGTTACAAGACGATACACATTGACAACCTTCTTCTGGCCAATACGATGAGCTCGGTCCATTGCCTGGATTACACAAATGTACCCAGACACAAACATACACGGACACAGACATTTAGAGAAAAGAGATGAAGGTAGAGGAGAGGGGGGGGGGGGGATGTGAAGCTGCCAAGGTCCAGCTACAAAGAACCACAGGTGTACACCACTAGCTCCTACGAAGCTTCACTATCAGCAGCACTGCCATTAGCATCACCATCACCGGTGGCAGCAGCAGTAACAGCGGTGGCGGCAGCAACAGAAGCAACAGAAGCAGCAGCAACAGCAGCAGCAGCAGCAGCAGCAGCAAGAGAAGCAGCAGCAGCAACATCACCACCAGCAGCAGTCGCAACATCACCAGCAGCAGCAACAACAGCAGAATCATCACCATCAGCGGCGGCGGTAGCAGAAGCAGCAGCAACAACAGATTCTCCGGCGGCAGCAGCATGAGAAGCAGCAGGAACAGCAGTAGCAGCAGGAACAGCAGGAACAGCAGTAGCAGCAGGAACAGCAGTAGCAACAGCAGTAGAAGTAGCAACAGTAGTAACAGCAGGAACAGCAGGAACAGCAGTAGCAGCAGAAACCGTAGATAAACTAACCTGTAAGTCCTTCATGGGATTCCAGTCATGTTCCATGAAGATAACTGTATCAGCACCTGTCAAGTTTAGACCCAGACCACCAACGTGTGTAGTCAACAGCAACATATCTATACTGGCATCGTTGTTGAACCTACAGACACATGTATACACACACACACACACACACAGCCACAGCCACAGACACACACACACACACACACACACACACACAGCCACAGCCACAGCCACAGCCACAGCCACACACACAAGCACAGATAGCATACACTTCACTTCAATGGACTATAATTATGGAAGCAAGACCAGCTGTTGTTCATGTACTAGTACCGTAATGTCGCGTATAAAAGCAGGTGCTTACGGCCGTATAAGCCGGGGTTCAAACCATGCTCTTCTATTCAAGTTATGCTTCTATTCAAAACATGCTTCTACGTCAACACCATCAGTCTACACTGTGCAGTGCATACTGCCACGCACGTACGCGTATCTTGCAGAGATCGGCTTCTATTCAAATCGTGCTTCTGTGGCACAACGGGCTTCGAAAAATCGGCTTCTATTCGAGTCATGCTTTTATACGCGACACTACAATATTCATGAGATGTTCATTCTTGCTGTGGTCTGTGCACAATTGGTTTGCTATTATACGTCCATGCTGTCTTGGTGTCCTCAAAGCTTAATGTGCTCTAACTACCCTTGCTGGTGAGACGGATCAATGACATTGGGTTCTGTTTGCTCTACCCTTTGTGTTTTTTAAATATTTTTTTATCACTATTGATTTTAATATGGCAATAAGTAGGACGAGCTGAAGCGACATGTGGACTACTTTATTAACAATGTAAGCGATGGAGACGATGCAAGAAACAATCTAAAGGGTAAAGAAAATACATGTAAGAAGAAAAAGGGCAATGGAAAAAAAGATGATTCGAACAAACCTTGATTGCTATATTATTTCCTTTGTTCTCATTTTGTTCTTTAGTACAACGGTGATTCCTGAAGAGTGTTGTACGAAAACTTGTTCGAATCATCTTTTTTTCCATTGCCCTTTTTCTTCTTACATGTATTTTCTTTACCCTTTAGATTGTTTCTTGCATCGTCTCCATCGCTTACATTGTTAATAAAGTAGTCCACATGTCGCTTCAGCTCGTCCTACTTATTGCCATATTAAAATTATTGTCTCCTCGTCGAACTATTGATTTTACAATCTATTTCTGTTTGCCCGTACAAGAGGCTTTAGTAGTATGCACGTACTAGTGTCCATGTCCTAGTGTCCATGTACCAGGCCTGGACTGGTCAGAAACCACATGTTTGAATACTCGGGACAAATTGCTGATAATTATGGCGAGAAGTGTTACAATAATAATAACATGGCATAATACACACCGTGTGACAAGGCCATGTCGCTCCATTGCCGGTGTACTGCCGTCCAGTCGCAGGTAGGAAATACAAGGGAAGTGTGACCTACGTAGTAACAGCACGTACATACACACATACACACACACACACACACACACACACACACACACACACATACATACACACACACACACACACACACACACACACACACACATACACACACACATACACACACACATACACACGTACAGCACGTACACGTACAGCACGTACAGCACGTACATACACACACACACACATACACACACATACACACACACACACACACACACAGCACGTACAGCACGTACACGAGCAAAGACACATATATAATGCTGGAACTACAGTAATACTCCCCAGATCCAGACGTCCCTAATCCGGGCACCTCTGTCTACTGGGCACCTTTCTGACCATCTATAGTCACAGGAATTGGCATTTCAACGCAAAAAACGGCCCTAACAACTATTCATTACAAAATGTTAACTTGCATGCAGGAAGTATGTAAGTTCTGAGTTATGGTCAATTCCTAGTCATGGGCAGTGCTTGGTCTCAACCTGCCCGGATCTGGGGAGTTTTACTTTATTTATAAAGTACTGAAAATAAATTCCCAAAGACATGCAGCACACAAAAGCAGTTGCTGAGCAAAAAGACACATAAGCCAGCCACTGCCAGCCACCGTCAGCCACCGCCAGTCAGTCACCCTCATGCTCAGTCAATGACAGTACTGTCGGGCGCTGAAGAGCGGGGTGCCGAAGAACGAACAGCTCAGAATTTCACCAAGCACAGCATGCCAATGTATGCACAGTGACTCAACTGTGCATAGACTGTAATACATGAAAATAAGAACGGTCTAGCATAGGAGGCTGTACAAGGCTACACAATGCTATACAAGGCTTGCAAGGCTACACAATGCCATACAAGGCTACACAAGACAATAGAGGGTAAAACTGCACCTGACCATTTCACTTACTTGAGAAGGTCACTCTCCACTATATCCAGCACACTCTTGGCTTGGCAGAAGAGCAAGACTCGGTGAGCTGACACAACATTACCATCCAGGATGTCAGCAGCACTTGAACAAAGTGAAGTATTCGCACCACCACCACCACCAGTAGACTCCATGTGTGCGCTGCTGCTACCACCAAGTCCCAGATCAAACAGAAGCTGTCTGTAAACACGCAAACACATACCAAAGCGTCAAGCGGACATAAATACTTCAGAAAAAGTACATGCATACATACATCCATACATCCATACATACATCCATACATACACACACACACACACACACACACACACACACACACACACACACACACACACACACACACCAAAGCGTCAAGCACAGGTGCGCATGCACAATCACACACAAAAAAGGCAGGATAAAGATAGAGCATCGCTGGCCATAAGCGAGGGTCCCTGGTTGGAGTCCTGGTGGTGACAGTCAATTATTCTTCAGACTTTTCCCGTTTCCAACCCCCTCAAACATATGAATAAAGATGACCCTAGAACAGGGCATACAACAAAGTGAAGCAAAACTCTCTCCCAGAAACCGTCTCCCTTCATGGCCCATCTCTTTTAGTTGGTATGACGAGAAATCGCACTCTGCAAACATTCGCCTTCTCTGCGATCTACAGGGCTGTTGCAAGCAATGGCAATACAGACGATTGTATTACTTTGCCAGTAATGCAAGGTGCTGGTTTGCGACTTGTGAAGGGGGAAAGACGTGATGCAATGGATGTCCTAAAATTTCACATCTACAGGACCTTCCATGGAGTACTGCCGGTTGCCGAAGAACTGGGAGGTCAGCCTCCTAGCCTAGACCGTTCTTATTTTCATGTATTACAGTCTATGCACAGTTAAGTCACCGTGCATACATTGGTATGCTGTTCTTGGTGAAATTCTAGCCTGTTCGTTCTTCGGCGCCCGCCAGTACTGTAAAGATCACCATGTTTGTGTACAAGACCATGCAATCAGAGTCTGCAATTAGAGTCTGCAATCAGAGTCTGCAATCAGAGTCTGCAAGGTATTTTCCTTGGCATGATCTTTTTGAGTACAGTACTGCATCATGGAGGCTGGACGCGCTACTAATGTGCTACACATCCCTTTCCCGTACATGATCACATCCCTTTCCCGTACATGATCACATCCCTTTCCCGCACACCCCGCTGTCGTGGACAGAGAGCGTACATGGATTTCTGCACTCTCGTCTTGCATCGCTCTTTCTACACGCACACACGCACACACACACACACATCTTGTGAAGACTAAAAGCTGACCCACAGCGATTACACAAGAATTTATCTTGCCAGAAGTAGCGCACTGGAGAACAGGTATGTATACTTTAAATAGAACATAGATAAACTCTGACACCAATAAAGGTGTCAAGTACAACAATACACCTTACAACAGCCGAGTCTGTTGGCAACAACAGACCCTTCACTATTCGGCATAAGTGTACCCACCAACCGAACTAGCTGACACACACACACACACACACACACACACACACACACACACACACACACACACACACACACACACACACACACACACACACACACACACACACACACACACACACACACACACAGACGCAGATGCAGCGAGTAACAAACACACAACACACATGTGCCTTACTTCAATGCAACTAGCTTGCATGAATGCTGGATGTCATGCAAGCCACTCTTGGATTCTGCTAGCTCAGCTGTGATCTCAGGGTATGCTGGATGTTTGTTGGTCAGCACCAACGCTGGATGATTGCACACCTGTGCACAAGCACACACAATAGTCAACAATGGAATAAACCGACTACAAACAGAGTTAAACCCGGATGGAGAGCCAAGGATTAAAATTAAGAAGAAAGGACCAAATGTGTACAAGTTACCCGTAGTTGCCCAATACTGGAAATTATAGGCTTGATAGTAGGGAGGTTTAGTTCTCACGTAACGGAAACGCGTACGTGGGTGATCCACGTAAAGTGGATGAAGGGCACCCACGTTGCAATGTTATGTTTAGTCACACGGAACAAACAAAAGCATGAAGCGAAAGGCCCAAACCTGGTCAAAGACGAAGCTACCCAGGCCTAAGAAGCTCATCCAATATTTTGATTTCGTGCTTCGGAAACTTCTTCAGCTGAGCACCCTCACAGCTCGCACAATGCACTCCATTCTGATTTTCACCTACGTTTTGGCGGAACGTGGGTGAGCCTCCATACACGGTATGTCGTGAATCAGAAAACGTCTGTACGTGGGTCACTGAGTACATCACGTGGTACACACACGTAAAGTACCCACGGATTACGTGGGACTAAACCTCCCTATTGATGAGTCATAACATGCAACAGTTAGCTTATAATTGCCCGTATTGAACAACTGCGGGTACCTTGTAAACCTTTGGTCCTTTCTTCTTCATGAATAAAACAAGGTGGGCAGTCATAACGATATAAAAAAGATATACCAGTTTTCCATTCCCTCAACCTATGAATACACTAGTTTCCTAAACGTTTTTGTGTGATGTACTCCTCAGCAAGAGACAGTGACCTGTGCACAAGCACACACCCTTCAACAAGGGAATGAACCGACTAGAGACAGAGCTGTCCACTCATGTGAACTTCTAAACAAATAGATATGCATAACATAAGAAGCCGAAAATAGAGGTCACAAACAAGTGACCAGCGTTACCACAAAGAAACAATTTTAAAAAGTTGCCAGTGCATCCACACGCTGTCCAAACAAGCACACACACGCATGCATGCATGCACACACACACGCACACACGTACACACATACACACACAAACACACGCGCGGATGCACACTCGCACATGTTCATAGGCAAATCTTACCTTCTGCAGATACTGCAGGGACTGGAAGGCGTACACTGTACCCTTCGGTGCTGCCTTTCCAGAACTAGACTTGCCAGCATCTCCAGCATCACTTGACCCTCCTCCACTGCCCTCTTTCTTCTCATTCAGTAACTGGTTCACAACTCCCTTGGCTCGTGAAGTACAGAACTCCTCATACAGACGAACCTTTTACAAAAATGAAATGGAGAGAGAATGTGTAAGTGTGTGTGTGAGTGAGTGAGAGAGAGAGAGAGAACGAGAGAGAGAACGAGAGAGAGAGAGAGAGAGAGAGAGAGAGAGAGAGAGAGAGAGAGAGAGAGAGAGAGAGAGAGAGAGAGAGAGAGAGGGAGAGACAGACAGAAAGAGGGAGAGAGAGAGAGGTAGTAAATTGACCACACTTATGGCCACAAAAAAAAAAAACAACACGCACAAGAAAACAAGACTTGGCACATCACTCCATGACTTGGTACAGCACAGCAAGACTTCATTATCAAATAGGACAGGAAGCAATCCAGTACAGCAGTTAAGAACAGTAAGTTGTTACCTGCAGAGGGCTCAGCTGACAACAGTAATCCTGAATGATCTTGGGTGGCAGGTCGTGGAGCACGTCTTCCTTCATGCGTCGCAGTATGAACGGCAACACTTGCCGGTGAAGAGATTCCATTGCCAGCACACCTGCATACAATGGAACAGTACATAATAAACATACACACACATACACACACACACACACACAGCCACACACAGCCACACACAGCCACACACAGCCACACACAGCCACACACACACACACACATACACACACACACACACACACACAGCCACACACAGCCACACACAGCCACACACAGCCACACACAGCCACACACACACACACATACACACACAGAAACAATCACTCAATAAGAGCATCACCGTAGAGGTCCACTCATACCAAGGAAGTTACCAGCCGGTGACCCAGTGGATAAAACTGCAGGTGAGCTATCATTGACTTTAAAAGACACGCAGGTAAGTGCTCCTATGTCTTGGTAGAACACAACTGATTGATGAGCGACTGGGCAAAGCCCCTGGCTTCTACCCGACATACACTACAACACTGTCCCTACGTCACACACCAGGCCGCTTACAAGCAGCTCTCAGAGCTATCATGCCCACTGGTTGCCATAGAGGAGCATCTGCTAGACAATACAGGAACAGTTGAGAGATGCTCATTGGTCAGTTTAGAGAACCTTGTGGACCTGGTGCTACACTGGCAGGATCTGGATGATCTAGCAGGGACTTCAGCCTGGTATGATCTTCCTCAGGATGAGGTGGGGTGAAGGTAGATGGTCTGTTTTGGGTGGTCTTCCTCAGGATGAGGAGGGGCGAAGGTAGATGGTCTGTTTTGGGTGGTCTTCCTCAGGACAACCATGGAGAGATCACTTGAGTACATTAAGAAAAGCTGATCATGCAGGCCATGCTGCCTCTGGTGTCAGGCTACAGCAAGTAAAGTAATACAACAATGTGATCTGGCCATTGCTCATTCCAGTCCACTACGAACTCATACAGGTTGCTCGCACATACACCAACACAACCCTTAATTCATACACCAATCCGCTTACACACTTGGTTTAGCTCAAACGTACATGCGTACTTGCATGCATACGTGCAACCCCACTGCTTTGTACAGTTGCACTCGACGAAATCCGACCCAAAGTGCAAAGCCGGCACCCTGGACCAGTTCCGATTACATCATTGTATTCGTACGTATGTACGTCCAGCCGCATTCGTGCCACTTCCCAGGCGTCAACGGCCGTGCAAGTTGAGGGCGTGCAACATACACTCTGGGTCGGATTTCACCGAGCACAACCGTACTACAATCACAACCTGATAACACACCTGCTTCCTGCTCTTTGGATGAAGCCTTGGCATCACGACTGTTGATAATCGGTCGGCCGTATCGCAACAAGAACTGACGCTCGCTACCCAGGAATCCTGGCATCAAGAAGTCGAACAGTGACCACAACTCCAGCACATTGTTCTAAACAAGAGAGAATGTGGAAGACAGGAGATGGAAGACAAAACAATTATACAAGAAAGGAGACGGAGAAGGAAATTAATTCAAGTTCGCGTATAAAGAATACTAGTAAAAACACTGGAGAAGACATTCACATATCGCTGGAACCTTAGTGGAACAGCAGCTTAGAGCAAGGGTCCCCGACTCGAGTCTCGGTGGTGACAATTAACAGCCCATGGTGAGGGTCCCTGGCACGAGTCTCAGTAGCGACAGTCAATTTTTTCTTCAGATGTTTTCCCTTTACAACTTCCTCATACTAAATTCCCAGTGTTAGGCTAATACAACTCCCCTTCTGCAGCACAAAGTTGGCTGGGTAAGACATTTAAAAAAAATTCACGGTTCGCGTCGGACTCGGCTAGAGGCCGAGTTTTCCGCATCCGTAGGAACGCCACCACCCTTCAAGGATCAAGGCGCAGATGCAGCTCCTAAAGCGGTTACCCTCTGTTTCTCGATCATGGTCTTGGACCATCCCACTGTGCCTGCCTGCCTGGGTAAGACATTGGTATTAGGTAAATGACAAAGGGGAGAGACAGCAGTAGACAGCAGTAGTAGACAGCAGCAGTAGACAGCAGCATTCCTACTCACTTGTATAGGTGTACCGGACAGGATGAGACGATGAGATGCTTGCAGTGACTTGACAGCCTTTGTGATCTATAGTACGGTCAGGAACAACAGGAAATATAATACATGTACATGAACATAAGAGAAAAATTACAACAACGACGGCGCCGCCAGCACCGCGCCGTCAGCAGCAGCAGCACCACCAGCAGCAGCACCACCAGCAGCAGCAGTAGCAGCACCAGCAGCAGCAGCACCACCACCACCACCAGCAGCAGCACCACCAGCAGCACCACCAGCAGCACCACCAGCAGCAGTAGCAGCAGCAGTAGCAGCACCGAGTACATGGCCTGGTGGGATACAGTGCACAATCTGTATGTACTTGTAGTAGACGGACTTTCTCCTACAGGTACGTGACCAACCTACTACATGCACCAGCATATTTATCACCGAATTAAAGCGAAACAAAAACCCTCCTAGGGCTCTTTTCGAAAAGACCAATGGCGTGTAGGGACATTGCCGAGTATTCTACACACTAAAACCAAGAGACCAACCACCAACTCCTGGTTGGTTGGTTGGTTGGTCTCTTGGTTTTTTAGTGTATAGAATACTCGGCAATGTCTCTACAGACACTCGACATTCGCGGTACCGTGATTGTACGCGACTGCAGGAGCAGTGACTTTCTGTGGTACCCATTGTTTTGATGACGCAGTCCCTGCCTGTGGCAGTGTGGGCGAAAATCAAATCTTCCTTATGCTCTTTCCTACCAAGTAAATTTCGTTTTGGGAACGGAACGCAGTGAAGAAGTTAGGTTTGTGTTGGTGTCCTTGCTGTATCAAACTGCTGACAATGGCGTGTTGGCCAGCAAAGAAGAAGAAGGTTCTCGCTGTTATTTGGTCATTCCAAACTCTTGCGAGGTGGGCCGAATATATTCTGCACCACTGCAAGGCTGCGAGGACGAAGGAGAACTAAGCACTACTGGCATGTCCAAACCTTTGAAACCTTACCTTGCCTCATTAGCTGGTACTAGCTTTGCGTGGATCGCCCTGTTGAACACACCATTGTTCAAAGATGATTGGAGAGGGCCACACTGCCCCCCCCCCCCCCCTGACAATTGGCAAAGTCAGGTCTTGGAGTGTCTGCCAACCATGTCAGCACGCGGCTTCTCTGACTGGGAAGAAGCCCAATACAAGCACAATTTCAGGATGGGAAGGGAGGCATTTTGGCGACTCAGCGAAAGCTGACTGATTTAGCCCCTCTGCCAGCCTCCGTAGCACGGTGAGTTTCAGAGATGCTTCATGTCTCACTGCTAAAACATGCATGCTGGTTTATTCTAGGAGAGTTTCTGGGTCTACATGCACAGGTGCAAGCACCTCTGACGAAACAGAATATTCATCTGAGGAAGTATGTGCCTTCGTGCAAATGTCTAGCACTCACTCTGCATTGGTTTGCGCATACCCCGTCGTTTTCCCAGCTAGCACTGCTGTACGGAGTTGGCAAAACCACTGCTGTCCATATCGTCCACGAGACTGCTGCTGTTTTCAAGGCTGCACTTGTGCCGAAATCGGTAGCGTTCCCTGAAGGTGCTGAGCCGAACCGCGTGATGACTGATTTTCAGGATTTGTGTGGTCTGCCGTATTGCGCTGGCACCATAGATGGAACTTTTATGGAGATTGAGAAGCTTGTAGCACACAGTGATGTGTACTGGTGCTATAAAAAGTATCCGTCAACTATGATCCTAGGCACTGTGGACGCCAGAAGGATAGTCACAAACGTGAACTGTGGGCGACGCCGCAACGTTTGCCTCATCAGCACAACGGCAGAACACTGTTGATAAGGCATGGTTGGTGAGTAAGGCACTGTCCATTGGGCAACTGGCAATACAGCCCTATCTGGTTGCCAATTCTGCATTTGCACTGAATGCGTTGACCATGAAGTGATTCACCACCCCAGTCAGCCCTGCTAAGCAGTCATTTAACTACCATCTGATTTGGACTAGGCACGTAGTTGAGCAAGCCGTTGGAAGACTCAAAGGTTGCTTCCGGATTTTAGTTCATAGCAACATCAGGGATCCATGTTTTGCTGCTGATGTAGCTGTTCTCACCTGCACTCCCCACAATGTGCATGAGCGCCAGAGCTGTCCCTATGAACAGCTGTGGACGGTGGACCCATCACAGTACGCCAGGCACCATCCGGAACCTGACGACCATGCGGCCAATGGTGAACGAGAAGAGGACAGTGATGTCGCCAGGAATGCACTTGCTACCTATGCTACCATGAACACTTCCCCGTGCATGCTGTGTAGGTAGCACATAGGTTTTTTTTTGCTTTTTTGCTTTTATTTTATTTGACTGATTTTCCAAAGGCAAATAGGTGCCCTTTTTCATTAACCATCACTCCATAATTGCGCTCTCCAGCCGACCTCATAAATATATTATATGATTAGTATCACGTCTTTACATTATCCCATTTATCCATTAACTCTTTTTGTTTTGCCCGTAAAAGAGGCTATTTTTTACAGTATCCCCAGTTTAATTATTCATGGTGTTTTGCACTAGGTTCTATAGCTTAGCTCTAATCTTCGCACCCTAGGCACGCGCATTATGCTTACCCCTTTCAGCGCAAAATGGTGATTTTCCCTATCTTAGCCATTCTACAATATCTATTTTAAGTACCTTCACTAACGAGAGTTTTATACTCGACACAGCTGTATGAGGGAATTCAGTACCGACGGATGTGTCGCTTTGCTGGTGGTGTGCTGTGGCAACGTGTCGAGGTGAAGACACCATTCTCCTACTGTCACTGCATAGTTCCTGGACTACATTATTCTAAAAAGCCAGTGCATCCAAACAGGGTTCAAGCAGGTCTCCTGCTGCACCAATGCAGCTCAGCTGTACACACTACACCACATCCTGACGCTTAGGGCGCGGTCACACTGCAGAGGCGCGCTGTGTCCACGCGGCAGCATGACTTACAGAGAAACCCAATGGCCTCGCTCACACAACGCCAAGCGCCAAAGAGAGGTGATGTTTTTTTCTTCAAATTTCCTGACACTCAAAACATGTTTGCATTTCCAGTTCGAGTCGAGTCAGTTTATATGAGCAATGAGCACTCTATTGTCATGAAAAGCCAGGGTGAAAGCTCAAAATCCAACACTGACGAAAGACCGATTTCTTCCACTTAACGATGGCCAGTTTTTCCTTGCCTGGGCACCTGAAAAGTTCAAAATGTGTGCCCAATGCTCACGCACTTTGAACTCAGGCCAGGTTTTATTCAAAAGCGTTTTGGGCCATGCGACTCAACCCCCAAAGCCCCCCCCCCCCCCCGCATGAGCGCGGGTTTTAATCCCGGTGTGAGCACGCCCTTACCAGCATTGACTATGATGTAATCCAGGAGTTTTGTGTTGACAGCCACCCATACAAAAGCAGCACACTCTGATGGTCAGGTACACTTGGGGTGCGTTTGGTTGGTACGATCTAGAACAGGATCGAACAGCTGGTGCACATGGAGCAGCCTCATGCCAACCAAACGGTACTCCAGAAACAGAGCACATTCTGTGGAAAAATGTGCCAAACTTGGTGCATTCTTCAAAATGTGTATGGGTCACCATGGTCACTTTGTACGGTACAACGAGTCCAACCCAAAAGCGTATGCACGTGATCATTTGGGACCAAAATCGATGTTCCCGCCAGGTTTCACTGTGAAAAAGTGAAACTGCTCGGCCTGCTCCGGCCTGGAGGCCGGAGCAAGCAGAACATGTTCTGGCCGACCCAGAACAGGTGCAGTCCCAACCAAACGCGCTGTTCTGGTGAATCCTGTTCTAGTTCGTACCAACCAAACGCGCCCTTGGTAACACCTAAGGGGCCATCTGGCATTACCGATAATTTTTACCGAAGGAAAAAGTTTAGTTATGACCCTACCCCACCCACCTAATCCCCCGAAGGAAAAATATATTGACTTGACAGCTAGATTGGATTGATGTTTTAGCTATCAATATTTTTCAAAACAAACTTTCCTCGACCCACCCACCCATAAACGAAACACCTAACTGTTATCTTCCGGCAGTTAGCAGCACTGGCCCAGACAGGCCAAGACCTGCAATCTCTCCAAGCAGATACACAGTGAGTGCGTTCGATTATTCACGCGAATCGATTCGCGCTATTCACATCACCCCATGTGAATAGAGTGAATGGATTCCGAATCGATTCGACTTGAATGCATGTGAATGGATGATTCAAGTGCATAATCGAACGCAGCCACTGGGTATACAAACCGGATAGCCAGACAAGTGTTCCCACCATACCTTTGTTTTGTTGCTCTTGATGACATGACCTTCATCCAGAACACAATAGTTCCACTTTACTGACCTAGAACACCACACACATACACACATACACACGCACACACACACGCACGCACGCACACACACACACACACACACACACACACACACACACACACACACACACACACACACACACACACACACACACACACAACACAGGTTTCTGAGTGTCTCAGTGCGAATGAAGAGGTAAAATGAAGTCTACTGTTGACACAAAGGTACACCATGAAAACCTTGGCAAATTCCGTTGTAACTCAGAGTTTCATGGCTGAACCAATCATCAGACAACGACTACTGACTACTGTTTACACACACACCACACTATTGCAGCTGCTGCTATCAGGTACATGCATGTACACATACACAATACAGTGCTACATACCACACAGTAATTCTTTCAGACTATTGTCAAGAAAGTGACCGCAGAATACGTCAAAATCATGTACACCACACATACAATATAGACAGGCATACGCAATGTTCAGTGTGCAACAGGGAGTCCTACGTCGCTACCATCTTGGGAGACGACGTAAGAACAGGATACCAGAAACGATATACGTTTGAACCCCGTACTGTATAGGAAGTAAGTTCTATGTGATCCACGGGATATGCAACGTGTGTCAGTGTGTCAGTGGCCATGACCATAGTTACCCACTGACCACACAACAAGTCACAGTACAGCCATGCCATTCTACGAGCGTGCATAAAATCGACCCTGCTCCAAAAGCAACTGGAGTGGGCAGGTTGTGAGCAAAATCAACATGTCATGTTCCACTGGCACGTGATTTGTCTCTAGATGCTAGGACCCCCCAGCTGGTGTGCAGTGACTAGCAATGTTGATTCAAGTGTGTGTCAACTTGGCAGTCACCAGTACATACACAGACACGTTTAACTTACTTGAAGAAGTCTAAATCATTGCGAACGATATCATACGATGAAACAACCAGATTACACTCTGCTAATGATGAACGTATTCTGGGGAGAGTACAGATACACGCAAACACATAAACACGCAGGCATTGGCACAGAGACAGACACAACAGGCATACAGACACACACGCCCACAAGAGTACACATGGACGCACGCACACGCACGTACACACAATGTAGCAGACACAACAGAGAATAGCACATAGATGTAAGGCAAGTGTGAACAAACAACTAACTACTTGCTTGTGTACTCCTTTTGCTTAGTCTACACTGCAGGTTGTCTCTCTAAGTACACAGTCCAGGTTGTGTCCCTCAGTATACACAGTTTGTCTCTGAGTATACATTGCAGGCTGTCTCACTCAGTGTACACATGTTGTCTCTGAGTATACATTGCAGGCTGTCTCACTCAGTGTACACATGTTGTCTCTGAGTATACATTGCAGGCTGTCTCACTCAGTGTACATTGCAGGCTGTCTCACTCAGTCTACTTCCTCAGTGTACATTGCAGGCAGTCTCTCTCAGTATACATCGTAGGCTGTCTCCCCTAGCACACACACACAATGTGCCCTCTGTTCATCCTCACTCTTACCTAACCCTCTCACGAACATCGCCCATGTAGTGCAGGACACGCAGCACACCGTCACGGCCACAGAACTTCTCCACTTCTGCACACCAATGACCAGTGAGTGTTGGTGGGCAGATGACAAGAGAAGGCGCTTCATTGCACCGAGCCACCAATGCCTCGCCAGCACTGTCTGCATTCGTAGTCCTATCGGTGTCATTATCGCAACCAGCAGTAACCGAAACAGCACAAGTAGTCTCCTGCAAAGGGTCACACACACACACACGCACGCACGCACGCACGCACGCACACACACACACAGTCACTGGCACTTTCCACCGTAGCACTGGACTGGACGAGAGAACATCATTCTCCTGTTTTGTGCTTCATACGGCTGTTTCAACTTTCAAGCCAGTTTCAAAGCGAGAATGTGTGATTCGTACGTACACGCGGTACAACATGCCATTCTAAGACTGCACATTAATAGTCTGTATGCTAGACAATGGAATATTCCTTTGTCAACACGAACAGACTCCATCTGAACCTTTGGAAAATGTGCTTCATCCCTACATAATATATACAATCATGGCACTCAATCATGTAAGTTCACAAAGAACGGAACGGTTCCGTCCGCAGATTCAGTACATGTCTTCACAAAATGCCACCTAGACCGTCAACCACTTAAAATGAACCGTCTAGCTGCTCCGAACGTCGGAGCTCATGGTTCCTGCAAACTCACTGACACTTGACGTGGGGCTGGCTTCTACAAATATTGCCACTGAAATGGCAACATCTTAGCTTAACATAAATAGATAAGGAAAAGAAATTTAAAGAAAGCCGCAAAGTAGATGAGCCAGCACACGCGAAAATCACCCTTAGTGACATATTTTCAGAAACTGAGATGACAGTGGATAAAGGCAGATGGATTTAGGCAGAATTCAATGCAAAAACGTTTGAAAAAATCTTGAGTAAAACTTGAGTTACGGGTCTTAGAAGATAGAGCATTTTCCCTGATATATCGCACATCACACGAAAACAGAGAATGTTTGAAGTGCGTTTTCTCAGTTTGAAGTGCGTGTCATTAAGGTCGATTTTCGCGTGCGCTGGCTCAGATATAAAAAAGTGCCCACACTCGTACCTGCACAGTGTCTGTTTCAGCACTCGCCGTAGTGGCTTCATGCTCCGTATCCATTGCTGTCGCTGATGGGCCGTCCGGGGACAATGCTGCATTGCCACTGCTGTTGATGCTTTCTGTAGGAACATTTTCAGTCTGTTGTTGCTGCTGCTGTTGTTGCTGCATGTAGTGGTCGGAGACTACAATGCAGATAGTCTGCAGAGTCTTACCAAGACCCATATCTACAAACAGACAACAAGAAGAGAACAACACATGGGGACTGAGGATTCGTGTCTGCTTTGGACATAGATAAACAACATGCAGCTCTGGATCGAGATACACAACATGCCATGCAGCTAAAAAAACAGTACTGCCATTTGTCTATGGGTCTTACCATCACAGAGTATCCCATGCAGGTTGTACTTGCTAAGGAATGCCAGCCAGTTCACACCGTCCTGCACACATACACCGATGTACAGACAGACAGACAGACAGACAGACAGACAGACACAGAGACACACACACACAGACACACACACAGACACAGACAGAGACACACACACCAATGTACGGACACACACACACACACCAATGTACGGACACACACACACACACACCAATCTACGGACACATAAACATACACCAATCTACGGACACACACAGACATTGTGAGCTTGACTCTAGTCCCTAGTTAAAAAGGTCCAGACATTTGCCAAACTCAGTAAAATGAAATTGTACAGTTGGCATGGTTAGCCAGTTCTGTAGGCACACTACCACCCTCAGTGATTACCCCCCCCCCCCCCCCCCCCGACACACGCACACTTGAACACCCCCCCCCCCCCCCCGACCCACACACACTTGCACCCCCCCCCCCCCCCAAAAAAACCACCCACCCACCCACCCACCCACCCACACATTGCTTACTTGTTGGTACTTGCGTAGTTCAGCATTGACCGCACACGGCAATTCAAAGTCATCCACACGACTACCATCCAGCAGCTGCTCAAGGAAATGACGCTCCTCGGCACGGCGAGCGATGAGATCTGCACTCATGCCTTCCGGGTCAGGAACACCCGACTACACATGCACACACACACACACATACACACACACATACATACACACACACATACACACACACACACACACACACAACACCAACGGCCAGTGAAAGAATAGTACAGGCGATAATTTCTACAACAGAACACTCTGCATGCAAAGAGAAGACAGTACAACACGATCAGTTCATGCAAACCGTGGCGGCGTGCTTATGTGGGTGCATGTACATGTGTGACTGAAAGACAGAGAGAATGACACAAAGAGAAAGACAGACAGAGGAAGACAGAGCGAAAGAGCGAAAGACAGAGCAAAAGACGGAGCAAAAGACAGAGGGAAAGACAGAGCGAAAGACAGAGTGAAAGACAGATAGATAGGCCTTCAGCGCACTTATCCGGCCAATTCCAACAAGAAAACCCCCCAGCAATACTAACAAGCATGGGCATAATAGAGCCCACAGGTATAGGTATAGAGCAATCAAACACATCACATCACACATGTAATTGTCAACATCCTCACCTCCAGTGGCATGAGTCTGATGAGGGTAGCAAAACACTGAGAAGCCGATAGGCGCACAGCCGAGTGCTGATCACTCATTCTTGACAGCACAGGGACGATGAGCAAAACAACATACGGTACGATGGCCAAGCGCACAGCGTCCACAATGTCTGACCATCCCTAGTTAAGGACTATACACGGGACTACATGTATGAAGAAAAGGTTTGGCAAACTGCGCCATGCCCAGGATGCAGTAGAGCGTGTTCACATAAGAAAAAAAGAGAAAGGGGTCCGGTGGAAATTTGCCGCAACTTCAAGATTTAGCTAAACTGGAACTCCCCTGTAGAGCTCTCTGGATGCACCCCTGGTCGTTCGCTCCCAATCTCTTAGTGATATAGTACTCCCATCTACGATAGTACCTTTGCTATTTGTGCTGGTGTGTAGCGCACTGAATCTCAGCTGAGCATTTTGGCAAGGTGGCCGGGCATGCTTTACTTCACGGCTTTGAGGGATTGTACCGTTCACTGCCACCATAATTATTTGGTATCATTCCCCAGCGCTATGCCAGTAAATTTTTACAGACAAAAGAGTACTGACTGCAGTTCAGTATGCACACATGCACATTAGGGCGCCTGAAAGGCCCCCTCCCCGGATAAACAGAGCATAGCGGCACATGACACAGGCAATGAACAGAAGCAGCTGACAGAAGAAAGAGAAGTGGAAAGTGGATACGCAGTATAGCTTCGATGATGCCACACCGATAACATGGCACGTGGTCATTGGAGAGCATAGACAAACGATCCATCAGAGCCTAGAACCACATGAAAACACCAAACAGAACAAGTGCAAGCGACACAAACATACAATCAATTTTTGTTCCAAAGAAATTGCAGGAACTGCGGCAAGTGAAGGATTAATAAGTGGACACACGAAATTTTACGGGCTATAACTAGTATAAGTGGACTGTTACGACCTAAACCCCAAAAAAAGAAAGGGGTGGTCGACTTACAACCAACATTTACTCGCCATTGAACAGGGAGATTCATGACCAGGGGTGACTTATAACTGACAACTACGGTATACATACAAGGACAGGCACATGCAGGCAAACACTGCACATGGCGGAACAAGTACATACCCAACCGACCACCCAAAAACCAAATACATGGGTCACCAGTATCTATTCCCTGCGGTAGTAGTTTCTCGTTCCGACCTGTGACTAGTTTAGTTTCCATACGCCTTGAAACTCAATCCTCTTCCATGCATGTGTTCCAAATTAGCAAAGACCCGAAGACCCGAACACCCTATGACTGTTTCACAGACAAGTGGCCACATTCAGCATTAGCATGGCATGTGAACTGCGCAAAGCTCAGCCACGCAAATGATGATAATTAGCCAACTGTATGGGTGTGGCAAAAGCGAAACGGAAGAGTACATGCACATAACGCCATCACACACGACAATCAGGCATCACACAACAAGGCATCACACACGACAATCAGGCATCACACAACAAGGCATCACACAACAAGGCATCACACACGACAATCAGGCATCACACAACAAGGCATCACACACGACAATCAGGCATCACACACGACAATCAGGCATCACACACCAAGGCATCACACACGACAATCAGGCATCACACAACAAGGCATCACACACGACAATCAGGCATCACACAACAAGGCATCACACACGACAATCAGGCATCACACAACAAGGCATCACACACGACAATCAGGCATCACACAACAAGGCATCACACAACAAGGCATCACACAACAAGGCATCACACAAGCAAGGTATCACACAACACACAACGCACAGCAAGGCTACACAGAGCATACATCACACAACACACAGCACACACAAGAGTTCTTACCTGCATGACTGGAGCCAGTGAGCGGTGAGCAAGAGCGGCCAGTACCCGTGATGCCATGTGTCTCACTGATGTGTAGGATGAGAGTAAGCAGTTGAAGATCTGCTCCAGCATGCATTCAAACTACACCAAACAAAACACCAGACCAGGTTCATAGGACACATGCCACATACTTGTAGGAGAGAGAGAGGGAGAGAGAGAGAGGGAGAGAGAGGGAGATAGAGAGAGAGAGAGAGAGAGAGAGAGAGAGAGAGAGAGAGAGAGAGAGAGAGAGAGAGAGAGAGAGAGAGAGGGAGATAAAAAGAGAGAGAGAGAGAGAGAGAGAGAGAGAGAGAGAGAGAGAGAGAGAGAGAGAGAGAGAGAGAGAGAGAGACAGAGAGAGATGGATAGAGAGAGAGAGAGAGAGAGAGAGAGAGAGAAAGAGAGAGAGAAAGAGAGAGAGGACACGAAATAGGAGTACCTTATTGAAACAATATCCTAACAAGCAATCGCAAGTCACATAAGGTGGGAGAGGGAGGGGGGCTAGCCAAAATCGCAAGTCGACCGACACTGTACATAATGTAAATGCATGCGATTTTCGTCGTCCAGCATAGCAAGCTGTGTTCGTTTCAGAGGGAGGGGAGGGGGTCTGAGAACAAAATGAACAATGTTCGTTTCAGGGACGACAAAAACCTTTTGCGATAACCCCAAAGTCAGTAAACAGTACACATGTCATACAGTACATTACTGTCGGTCGCCGGAGAACTGGTGAACGGGGTGGGGTCAGCCTTCTAGCCTAGGCCGGGTACTGATTTTCATGTATTACAGTCTACGCACAGTTGAGTCACCGTGCATACACAAGTATGCTGTGCTTGGTAAAATTCTAGGGTGGTCGTTCCTCGGTGCTCCGTTCTGTGGCACTCCGTTTTTTTGGGCGCCCAACAGTACTGTACACATTGAGTACATGAGTATGCATGTACATGTAGAAAGTTACCTTGACCACAAGATCAGCATGCACACAGGGTATGCAAATTTCACAAAGCTGCAATGACGTCATCAGCTGGTTCATGACATCGTCGGACACCGGAGTGTCTTGACCTAGAGCAGCAAGAGAGGATAACATGGAAATGGAAGAAAGAACGAGTCACTATGACACGAAGAAAAAAATGCCCTCGGCAGCTTGTGAGAGCTAATCTGACTGACTTATCCATGGCAGTGTGTGTGTGTACCACCACCATCAAGCCTTCACGGCATTCACTGTAAAAGCAGAAATTTTCGGTGGTGTAATATTTTCGGTATTCTCCAAAGTTGGCGGTTCGGTGGAGGGAAATTTTCTGTAAACCAGTTTTCCAGATAAGGGAACTACAGTCCATTTCAAAACTATAGACGCGTAGGGTTTTTGAAATATTTCAAATTTGGCTGGAACTTTTTGAGAATAGTTTTCGGAATATTGCTCAGGTCCGCTCCACAATTACTCTCATATAGTTTCTAAACGATTGGATAACAGACGCCCAATTTGGAAAAAATTATGCACAAAGTTATCACAGATTTTATGTGGTTTAGATGCTGGCATAACGGTTTTTGCCTAGGTACGCGTCTATACTATAGTTTTGAAATGGACTGTAGTACCATACCGAAAGTTTCCATGCGTTTCATTTTCGGTAAAAATTTCGGCACCTAAGTTACCGAAAACAGAACACCACTGAAAACTTCTGCTTTTTACAGTGGTACCGTTCCTGAAAACCGTGGGAGGTGAGTAGATCACACTCAAACCGTGGGAGGTGAGTAGATCACACTCAAACCGTGGGAGGTGAGTAGATCACACTCAAACCGTGGGAGGTGAGTAGATCACACTCAAACCGTGGGAGGTGAGTAGATCACACTCAAACCGTGGGAGGTGAGTAGATCACACTCAAACCGTGGGAGGTGAGTAGATCACACTCAAACCGTGGGAGGTGAGTAGATCACACTCAAACCGTGGGAGGTGAGTAGATCACACTCAAACCGTGGGAGGTGAGTAGATCACACTCAAACCGTGGGAGGTGAGTAGATCACACTCAAACCGTGGGAGGTGAGTAGATCACACTCAAACCGTGGGAGGTGAGTAGATCACACTCAAACCGTGGGAGGTGAGTAGATCACGCTCAAACCGTGGGAGGTGAGTAGATCACGCTCAAACCGTGGGAGGTGAGTAGATCACGCTCAAACCGTGGGAGGTGAGTAGATCACACTCAAACCGTGGGAGGTGAGTAGATCACACTCAAACCGTGGGAGGTGAGTAGATCACACTCAAACCGTGGGAGGTGAGTAGATCACACTCAAACCGTGGGAGGTGAGTAGATCACACTCAAACCGTGGGAGGTGAGTAGATCACACTCAAACCGTGGGAGGTGAGTAGATCACACTCAAACCGTGGGAGGTGAGTAGATCACACTCAAACCGTGGGAGGTGAGTAGATCACACTCAAACCGTGGGAGGTGAGTAGATCACACTCAAACCGTGGGAGGTGAGTAGATCACACTCAAACCGTGGGAGGTGAGTAGATCACACTCAAACCGTGGGAGGTGAGTAGATCACACTCAAACCGTGGGAGGTGAGTAGATCACACTCAAACCGTGGGAGGTGAGTAGATCACACTCAAACCGTGGGAGGTGAGTAGATCACACTCAAACCGTGGGAGGTGAGTAGATCACACTCAAACCGTGGGAGGTGAGTAGATCACACTCAAACCGTGGGAGGTGAGTAGATCACACTCAAACCGTGGGAGGTGAGTAGATCACACTCAAACCGTGGGAGGTGAGTAGATCACACTCAAACCGTGGGAGGTGAGTAGATCACACTCAAACCGTGGGAGGTGAGTAGATCACACTCAAACCGTGGGAGGTGAGTAGATCACACTCAAACCGTGGGAGGTGAGTAGATCACACTCAAACCGTGGGAGGTGAGTAGATCACACTCAAACCGTGGGAGGTGAGTAGATCACACTCAAACCGTGGGAGGTGAGTAGATCACACTCAAACCGTGGGAGGTGAGTAGATCACACTCACTCAAGTGGTCAAAGACCGAAAATCGCACCCGCTACAAGGCATCCTTCACACATCCGTCGCATAGTGCAATCCACTACAAGACCGCAACTCGAAAAAGGCACAAATGATAAGGAACACAGATCGGGTGATGTCATACAAACACAGATCGGTGATGTCATACAACAGCAGGGCATAGAATAACGGCCGGACATCGGACATTTTCCGGCCATTTTCGGCCACTGACCGGACGTTTTCAATTTCACCGGACATAGTGTCCGGTCAAAAAGGAAAAAAAGAGCAGCGACCTTTCGACCTTTTTATGCAGAGTTGGGCTTTCTTCGGAGCTTCGTGCCAAATGCGACTTGCATATCGTACAACTAACACATCTACACCGTAGCCTCGATCCCTCAGGCGTAGACTTCACCATAATCCGCCTGTAGCAACGCGGTTGCTACAGTCAATTCACACTTTCGACCTTTGGTACATGCATGGTGTCGACTTCGCACCTGAATCTATGGGTTGAACTGCAGTGCAGTTGTTCGCTCTTGAGAGAAAGATGTCATCTTTTATTTTTCACTCTTTCACTGACCAGGAATGCAGATAGTCTTTTAGAATGTCTTCTGGAAAGCGAAAGGGAGATTCAGAGGACTTGCCGCCGGGCAAAAAAGTCCGTGGTGTGAAGGCCGCTACTTGCGATAAGTGGATCTCGGACAATGATGCAGAGCTGACTACTTCTGCCTGGCTGATTTATGACCGGCAGAAGAACGATCGGCTGTTAGCAGAATGTTTGAAGTGTTCCGTGTGCATCAAGTTTGTAGACAGAGTCCGCAGTTGTAAAAACTTCAGCGAGGCTTTCATAACCGGATCCAAGAACCTGAGAACATCAGCGTTCAAGGATCATGCTGGAACGGAGATGCATAAACGAGGAATGAATCTTTTCCGCAGGCAAGAGTGTCCCGCTCGAAATGCCCTCGAATTCGGTCCAATTGCGAAGGCACTGTGCGAGATGGACGATGGTGCTGCCGCTATTGCACGACGCAAATTCGAACTGACTTACCTTCTCTGCAAGGAGCATATCGCGTTCGCAAAATTCTTGACTGCAACGCTTTCTTGTACATACATTTGTCGTCAGTAAATAGTTCAGTTTCTAATACAAATAAATTGGCGAATTGTACATAGTAATGTGAGAGATACGTCCACATAATGAGTCATTGTGAATATACTTCAGTACTACTAAAAAAAAGAAACACCCTGAAAATGTGTTGTGGAAAATGTCCGGGCATGTCCGGACAGATTTCAAAACGGAAGGACATTTGTCCGAGCTAAATGAAATCCTTAAGCTATGCCCTGCAACAGCAGAAGAAGAATGATGCAATAAGTGTGCAGTGTGCACTTACTGATAGGTGACGTCATAGCTAGTAGGGTAGTTGTGATACTATCCCAGTATGCAGGAAGAGAGTGCAAGAGCTGGGCACCAAACTCAGATGATAAGTGCTGCAGAGCTTGCTGTGCACCGTCACGCTGTAGAACAGTCTATACGTGTACACAACGGACACGTGTACACACACCACATGCACACAAGTACGCATGGACACACACACACACACACACACACACACACACACACACACACACACACAAAGGGACACAGGCACACATATTATTATACACAGATCAACAGGGACATTCACACAAGTTTCACATGCACATGAAGACACAATTTACACATGCACAGGCGATCATTGATACACGATACACTCCAGCCACTACTCAACAACAACAAGAGCAGCCAGCAGCAGCCACAGCCACAGTAGCAGCAGCGACAGCAGTAGCAGCAACAGTCGAAATGCTCTCGTGTCCATAGTGTGTATGGCTGAATGTGTGCCTGAATGTGTGCATGCACATATCAGTACAGACTGTAAAGTTACCTTGTCAGCAGGGTCGGATGACGTCACTAAAGAGCTAAGCTGCAATGCCTCGACCGACACACTGCTTGACATGGCAGTGGTTGCCATGGTGATGGAGTGCACAGGACTGGAGAGGGTGCGCGCACGTCGTCCAGGTACTGCACTCGATACCTGAATAAAGACGCATGGGGGACACACAGATGCACACAGATGCAGGGCAACAAATATCCACGTTAGAGCAATTATCACGTAGCACAACTGTGCAAATAGCCACAACCACGTACAGATATGAAGGATCAGAGTGCAAAATACACGAACACACGTACGCACACCCCCCCCCCCCACATGCACATACATGCACGCACACACACACACGCGTGCGCATGCACGCACGCACACACACACACGCATGCGCATGCACGCACACACACACGCACGTGCGCATGCACGCACACACACGCACACACACACACACACACACACACACACACACCACACACACACACACACACACACACACACACACACACACACACACTGGTGAGCATAGCTTACAAGCTGCTGTACGGATAGTGTGAGTACACCATCATGCTGATCACATGAAACATCCACAGTTGGAAATATCCCAGCAGACTTATCACCGGCAAGACCAGCTGACGTTGAAACGGCAGCTGATGCAGCCGCCGGTGCAGCCGTTACTGACGAAGCTGATGATGACGGAGTCAAGGGTGTGCTTGGGGTGATGAATCCAGAGCTGTTTCCTGAAATCAGCACACACACATGCCCACAAACACACACGCACACAGGCATACACGCACGAACACAATAATATTATGTAAAACCTCAAAGTTCTGTGCACTCTGCCTTCAACAGTGGATTGCAGATGAACTGAAAACAGGAAAAGCAACCAATAAGGCAGCAGTGAGCAGTACACCACTGGTGTTGATCTTGCGCACAGCAGAGGAATGTATCACCATGGAGAACAGGTACAGGATGTGAAAGAGAATGAACACAGAACGGAGCAAACTTGTGACAAACATTTTGGCCGCAATAAGATTCCAGCCTACACTGCCCCTGCCTGTATACGTTATCACACTGTACCTTGGAAACAAATATTTCAGCCACAACAAATTTGAGGCCACGATGGCTAAGGGCTGAAATACAACAAACTAAGCATGCATCGAATATTCGTTGATTTACAGTTCTGCGTCACAACACAGAAAGGTTGCCTCGTAAATTCGTAATAAAGCCATTTTTTAGGATGAGAAGTTGCAATGTATGCATGCTCAGCCAGTGAGCACACAAGCAGGCACGAGACCAACCGTGAAATGACACACATTGTAGACTGTAGGGAGGCAGGCAGGCACGAGACAAAAATAGATCAATACAGGTTAGCCTCAAGCAATTCATCTACATCCACTCCATGTCAGCTCTAACCTGCTGAGTGTCTCATCACCAAGGTAACGTAAGCATTGAACGGCAACTTGACACTGGGTGTGTGTAGCTGATCACGTGTTGCCATGGTAATCAGATTGCGTAGGATCTTGGCATTCGGGCACGGAGTGCGCCCAGCGCAGTGTCGCAACAAGCCATATAGTGTCTCCATTGCAATACCCTGGAAGTGACACATACACACACACACACACACACACACACACCATTGGACCATTGGAAGCCCATCGCCGGAGGTGATGATAGCGATGCTACAGCAGAAGCCATAGCAAGTTGTGCTGGGATTGCACCATTCAACAGCTTGCAAGGCTGAAGACTTGGCCGCCACTATTCAGCCTGGTCTACACCACACAGCTATGAAGTGGCTTTTTCTGGCCAGTGAATCCCTACTTTTTGGTCTTTTTTATTTATTTTTCCCGCACACACATCACACAACATACTCCGGCATGCACTGGCTGTTGGTAACCACCCAGGAGAATGAAAGAAAAGTCAGGAAGAGTCTGAGAAAGAGAAGAAAGACGTGTGTGACCATAATCGTCGGGAATTGAACCCGCAACCTATCGATTGGAAATCGTGCACAAAATGCATTCCAACGAGCACAAGGAACCATTCGGTTTTCACACATTGTGATCGATACATCCTCCAAACGATGATATCCACAGCACCGTGCAGAATCAAGCAGCAGTGGACCAGGTGTAATGTGGTGGACCAGCCGTACTGTAGTGGAACTCTGCTCCAAGAGACACATTGGTAACATTAGCAAGTGTCTCACTCACCCAGGCACCATACAACCTACACGGAGAGAATTGTAGAAAGCAAACAGTGCAAACACAGTGCAAACACAGTCCGTTATGCAATCAAACTAGTACCTTGAATAGCGGATCAGGTTCCTGCTTGATAGTCTCCATAGTGGGTCGAATAACAGGATTCAGCTTGTCAGGCAACACACCCAGCTGTACTAGACTGCACGCTACACATAACTGAACTCTGCACACACACACACACACAGCAAGAACAGCAACAGCAAGAACAGCAACAGATCTAGCAATGCCAGCATGAGCACCAAGACGAAGAACAACAGCACCACAGACAAAAACAACTGCTAGGCCTGCACTATATCACCAATACAATGAGCATTGCACTACATCACCAAGACACTACTCCCTGCACTAAATCACCAATACAATGAACATTGTGTTTCGAATTGCGTGCATGGCCCAAAATGACCCAACTCTCACAAGATCAAAGGAGCGCACAAATATTCAACATAGACAAAAACTTCTTCTTGTTCCAAAAAAACCCAGCACAAGAGCTACCCTGTCCTACCAAAATCACAGCAAAAAAATGTAAATCAGCTGTTACGCATGCGCTGCCTACAACGGCGGGAAACTGAAAAGAGCAGGCTAGGCACGAACAGGCACGTGCATGATATTACAATCATCAATAAAACCGCACAGCACAGGGGTAGCTACACTTGAGATGAGAACAGGCCAAACATCATGAATGAGAAGCGGGAGTCACTCGGCCACACAGACCAATGAAACACAACAGATAGTCTATACACAACATTCCTCCCCCTTGAGCAAACATGCAAATAGCAGGGGAGCGAAAACTACATACACCCAGAAGAGCAAAAAAAACAAAAAACAACGGAAAACAAAAGGCAAAAACAAGTATATGCCACACCAGCATCTTGCCAGGAAAAACAAAAGAGCATAATGTGTACTTCCTCCGATAGAACTAGCTCATCAGCACCGAAACTATCGAAGACCTTTGCAACCCACTCGTGCTGTAACACGCATAACATGATTCCTATCACCCATAGCTCTAACAGTACCACACAGCATGAAATATGGCTAGCAGATATTTTATTTCATTATCACTGATCAGCCAACGTCTTCGGTATTAGAATCAGTTACTCAGTACTTAGCTCGGGGCGATGAGTTTCACTTCACAGGTCACGCATCTTCACGACCGACTCCAAGCTGTTAACTCGGTCACTCGACGGCTCCACTTCCAGAGGCACAAGGTAGCGAACATGCCGACGGTAGACTTTTCCCCGGATGTTGACATCCACCACACGTGTCGCTCCGTCCTTGCCTGGGTAGACGGCTTCCACTCTTCCCAATGGCCACTTTGCTCGTGGAAGATGGTCGTCAAGGCATAGCAGAACATCTCCAACCTGAGCTGACCTCTGAGCACGTTGCCACTTGGTAGTCAGGTTCAACCGTGAGACAACCTCTCTCTTCCAGCGCCTCCAAACTACCTTCAGTAAATGCTGGATGATGTCGAAACGCCGATGAGGATGAGCTCGCTCAGCCAACTCTGCCTGTTCCTCCAGTGGACTCGTGACTCGAGCGTGTCCCACCAGAAAATGGTGAGGCGTCAATGGCTGAGGGTCCGCGGCATCAGTAGAAACCGCAGTTAGTGGCCTAGAGTTGAGTAACCCTTCCGCCTGAACAAGAGCAGTATGCAGTTCCTCATTGGTAAGATCCGCTTTATACAAGACTGTCTGCAGTACTTGTTTCAATGAGCGAACGACCCGCTCAAACACACCACCAGTGTGAGGCGCCCTCGGGGGGTTAAAAACCCACTGTGTCCCTTGGGCTGCCAACGCTGCTGAGACATCACCAGTACCAAGACTTTGTACAGCTTCACGCAACTCCCGCTCTGTCCCGACGAAATTCGTCCCATTATCTGAGAGGATCATGGTTGGGGTTCCACGGCGCTTGGTGAAGCGTACCAGGGCCATTTTAAAACCGTCCGTGTCTAAGGAGTACACTACCTCGAAATGGCAAGCCCTGGTTTGCAGGCATGTGAAGATCGCTGCATACCGCTTTTCCTGGACACGTCCGCGGCCACGTTTTACGTAAAACGGCCCAGCAAAGTCGACTGCTGTACGTGAGAAGGCGAGTAGCTGACCTTCGGTTCTGAAATTGGGTAGCGGACCCATCGCTGGTGAGTACGGCTTGTTCCACAAACGTTTACAGCCGACACAGGCCTGACGATACCGCTTTACCGTCTGTCTCCCCTTTACGATCCAGAACTTGTCAGCTAGCTTCGATAGCAGGTGGTTGGTACCAATCGAGTGTGAGCATTGCCGATCTTCTTCTGCAATGACCAATTCCGTCACCCGATGCTTCTGAGGTAATATCAAGGGACACCGAAACTCACTGGCCAGATGATGAGCCGTCCTCAGTCTCCCGCCAACTCGTAACACCGGGACTTCAGCGCTGCTGTCCAGGAACGGCCGCAGCTTGACAAGAGGTGATGAGGATGGTAGTTCCTTGCCGTTCATCAGAGTGTGGTACACGTCTGGGTACTGGTCTCTCTGTGATCATCGCGCCACCCAATACTGCTCAGCACTGTCAACCTCTGCTACTGCTGAAAGCTCCGGCACATTAAGAGAAGAACATTGGCTGCCCAAGTTCACTTCAACCACGGGGGCCTCCCCCGTGCTGGTATAAGCTTGTTCTCCAGCGCGGGCTGACCTGAGGCAGTGGATAAACCGGCGACACCAGGCTGTTACACGTAGGAGATGAGGCCACGCAGAGTAGTTCCCGGGGTCCAGTCGAGTCTCAGCAGGATGACACTCAACTGCATGTAGGCTGACCATGGCAGTAGCTACCTTGGATACTTGCATGCATGGAAGGACGGAGGGCACGGCAATCATTTTCTTTGGCCACTGGTCAGCACCGAAGGAGAGGAATCGAGGCCCAGACCACCACGTTCCCCGTTCCACGAGTTGCTGGGCAGAGAGTCCACGAGTAGGAAGATCAGCGGGATTCTCCTTTCCGGGAACATGCTGCCACTGCGCAGGACGCGAAAGACGCTGGATTTCTGAAATGCGGTTGCCGACGTCAACCTTAAACTTTCTACTGAGCGAGCGAACCCAGTAGAGGACGTTCATCGAGTCTGTCCAATAGTTGACGTCATCTGTTCCAACACCAACCGCTCCACTGACGTACTGACCCAGGCGTGCACCGAGTACTGCACCCTGCAGCTCAAGCTGAGGGATCGTTCGCCGCTTGATGGGAGCCGGCCGCGCCTTTGCCATGATCAACGTGACACGTGCTCCGCCATCACTCTCCGCCACTCGCACATAAGCTGCTGCGGCATATGCCAATGCGGAAGCGTCCGTGAACACATGGACGGTGATGTCGTTGACCCAATCATCTCCCTTGAAACAGCGACGGATCTTGAGGTGAGAAAGAGTGTCGAACTCACTAAACCACCGGCTCCATGAAGCAAGATGAGCATCTGGCAGCGTGTCGTCCCAGCCGATTCCAGAGAGACATAACTCTTGGAACATTATCTTGGCCCTTATGGTGAATGGCGACAGCTGACCCCTTGGGTCGAACAATGTTGCCATGCGGCTCAAGACTGACCGCTTCGTAAACACTGTCGGAGATGATCCCTTGTAGTGGAACGTGAAGTAGTCCCCCTTGACCATCCACTTCACACCTAAGGCTTTCTGGGACACCTCAGGATGCGAGGGGCTCTCTGCAATTGACCTGGACTCTGCCGCGGCCCGCTCCTCAGCAGGAATAGACGCCATGACCTCTGGGCTGTTGCTTAGCCACTTACGTAGCGTGAACCCGCCACGCTTCAAGAGGGCCTGAGTCTCCACTCGAGCAAGAATCGCCTGCTGTACGTCACGTAGCGACTTGAGAAGATCATCAACATAGAAGGAGTCCCGCACAATGTCGCTGGCAATAGGATCATACTGGTCTCCAAAGCGCTCGGCAGTAGCTTGCAAGGCTCGTCCAGCTAAATAGGGTGACGCCTTGATCCCGAAGACCAGCCGCATGAATTCGTACGTCTCAACTGTTTCGCCAGGCTGCCATAGGAACCGGTGGTATCTTCGGTCTTCTGGGGAAAGGGACACCTGGAGAAACATCTCCGAAACATCGCCCATCAGTGCGATAGGCTCAAGGCAGAAGCGAATCAGGAGCTTCACGAGGTCGGCCTGCAGTTTCGGTCCAGCCAACATCAAGTCGTTCACAGCAACATTATTTGCTCTGGCGGCAGCATCAAAAACAACGCGGACTTTAGTCGTTGCCTTATCCTCCCGTATAACAGCGAAATGCGGCAGATAACACTGTGATGAGCCGCATTGTTCAACTTCCTCAGTTGTCAGTTTCCGGATGTAGGACTTCTGCAGGTAGTCTTCCAGGACCTTCGCATACCTTGGCAGCATACCTGGCCGTCGCTGCAGCGATCGCATGAGTGCGCGGAGTCGGTTCTCAGCCAGCACCTTGTTGCTCGTGACATCAGGCTGCTTGGCGCCGTCCTTCCAGGGGATTCCGACTTCAAACCGACCGTCCTTGTAGTTCAGGGTTCGCTGAGTTGAAGTCACCGCTTGCTGCTCGTCCGGAGTCAAGTACTGGTCTGACTTTGGTAACATTCCAACCGCTTCAAGATCCCAGAAACGACTCACCAGGTGGTCCAAATTGGTACCAGCAGTGGTCACCGCATGGAACGTCGAATGCGTCGGTGTGGATGGACATAGTACTGGCCCAAAACAGACCCATCCGAGAGGAGTCTTCCGAGCAATAGGGTCACCATCGCCTCCATGACGTTCCTCATCCGCACGGTGAAGCACTGGTGAGTTCAAGCCAATCAGCAAGTCGAGGTGATTGTCTCCTGCTGTCTTGAACGATACGTCACGAAGATGTGCCCAGTTGTCCTGAATCTCCTTCCAGTTCACCAATCGCAGATCCGTCGTTACTCTGGGCAGGACATATGCCTCAAGCTCCGTAGCCTTGTCACCACCATCATGCTGGACCGCTAGCGTCACCACTTGGAGAGTGTCGTTAATTGCGCCACCACCGATAACGCCGACCGACACTTTCTTCCTGCTCCCCCCTAGACGGAGACGCCTAGCCAGACGCTCTGAGACATAGCTGCACGAGGATCCTGAGTCCAGGAGGACGTTGGCTGTAGCCTTCGCTGTACCACCTCTGACTTCTGCCTGCGTGACCATAAAGGATGTTAGCCCAGCATTGGAGTCGTCTTTAGCTGCTGTTGCATGCGCCGTGTTTTCACTCGCAGCCGGACTGGTGGACGCAGCTGCCTTACCGGAGGGCAGTGATGGCTTTGACTCGTGCAGAAGCGAGTGGTGCTTGCCACGGCAGTGAGGGCAACCGGAAGCAGCATTGCAGTCACGCGCCCAGTGACCTTCTCTTAGGCAACAGAGACACAAATTCAGTAGACGAACCAGCTCGTTACGTCTCGACGTTGAGAGTGCCTTGAACTCATTGCAGTTAGCGAGCTGATGCGGACCACTACACTTGCGGCACCTCTGTCGTGCTTGCTGCTGTGTCTTTGAGTGGCCAGACGTCTTGATCGGAGCTTCTTGAGGCCTTTTTGGCGCCGTAGCTTCAGTGCCTATGAAAGACCGTTGCTGCACGGGGCGCTGAACAGCTTCATGATGCCTTTTTCCATGGGAGGGTTGACGGTCTGGCTGCTCGGTACGGTCATTGGCATACTTTGCCGTCTTCACCTTTTCTAGTAGCCAGGTGGCAAACACCTTGATGTCGGTGTTACCGTCTCCGTGCCTCTCAAAATACCTGATGAGCGTTGTCCTCGGCACCTTTTCGGTAGCAATGATGCACAGCTCAGGGCCCGGTTCAGAGCCGCACAGCTTCATGTTGGCGATTAGGCTGCGTAGCTTGACCGCATACTGCTGCAGACCCTCCACGTCCCTTTCGTTAGTGACTCGGGGATGGTTGAGCAGATCTCGGATTTGTTGCTCCAAGTGTCGATCTGTGCCACCAAACCAAGACTCCAGCTCCGCCCACGCGGCGTCATATGCTCCGGGGCCGTCCAGAAGGTCTTCAATGAGGATAGCGGCTTCTCCGCCAGCAACGGCCTCGCGAAGGCGAGCCAGTTGGTACTCCTCAGGCAAAGATGAGTCGGCTACTTGCAAGAACCTCTGCCGCCATTGGATGTAATCGCGCCCTTTTCCACTGAACTTCGGCACTTCTATTGGCTTCAACCAAGAATGCCCATATGGACTGATGTGTGGAGCAGCAGGCTGTGCATACTGAGTCTGATATTGACTGTGAGCACTAGGCGCGGCTGCCTGTGCAGAAGGCCGGTAAGCTCTTGGTGCAACACTGCGTCTTGGAGATGGAAATGCAGTCTTAGCTGCGTGAGCTGAGGGTAGTGGTGGAAGAACTGAAGATGAAAATGCAGTAACAGGCTTGGCGTGAGGACGTTGCTGTACAGAAGGCATTGCTCTCGCTCTGAATGCTCCACCACCCTGCCCTTGAGTTTGACTGGGTGCTCCACTCACAACTCTGTTCACTGCGACTCCAGGTGTACCAGTACCACTACCTGCACTAGCAACGTAGGCAGCACTAGACACTTGAGTAGCGGAGTGTTGATGATGTTGAGGCTGTCCCACAAGCACACTACTCTGAGTAACACTAGCAGTTGTGAATGTAGCTGCATGCACAGCGTGACCTGGAGGTTGCAACGAGGATCGAGTTCCAGAGCTAGTATCAGCGCTGCTGCCCCTGCCTTGCATTCCTGGACTGCCTCTAAGTGCTAGTGCACCTCTGGCCCTAAGCCTGCTATCAGGGTAATCACCCACTGTCCCATCATCTTGAGCAGCTCCATGAATGGCATGATCCCTTTGATCAGCAGCAGCGGCAGCAGGCGTTTGCCAGGGAACAGCAGTGCTGCATCCGTCAGTGACGCCACTGTGATACATACCAGTACTATACATAGTCACTACTGATGCATCATCATCACTACAAGCTCTCAGGCTGGAACTGACACCAGGGTCTCCAGAAAACTCCGTTCCTCCGTCATCAGCACTACGTGGCGCGCTGTGGGCAAAATCTTCGCCCTCTAGCTCTTCCTCTAGAGGCTGCGCTGACAAGTCACCATCCAAAACTCCTGACTCAAGGAGCGAACTAACTTCTGCCAGCGGAGAACAATCCTCGTTCAACTTCTCAAACCACTTTTCCAACTTCTCCAATCCTTCAAAATCTGCATCGTCTCGCAATTGATTCCTGTGGTCCTCGACCACTTCTTCGATTTGTTTTACTATTCCTTCGGCGTCAGCCAGGTACTTTTTGAGGTACCTCGCACTCGGCGACGACTTCCCATACTCCGTGTTCAATACCTTCAGCAGGTTGGTCAGTCTTCTCCGCAGGGAGGCACGAAACTTTACATAGTCGTAAGTCACACTTTGGGCTGGAGGTGCCTGCGAGCTGGTCTCCGGAGCGTCAGCTTCGGTGTCCTGCCCATGCTCGCCAGACAGCTCTCCACTCCCCGCGACAGTAGTGGTTTCTTCGTCGTCCATGTCTTCAAAATGCACGCATCCCGTCGGAGGTGCCAGTAATGTTTCGAATTGCGTGCATGGCCCAAAATGACCCAACTCTCACAAGATCAAAGGAGCGCACAAATATTCAACATAGACAAAAACTTCTTCTTGTTCCAAAAAAAACCAGCACAAGAGCTACCCTGTCCTACCAAAATCACAGCAAAAAAATGTAAATCAGCTGTTACGCATGCGCTGCCTACAACGGCGGGAAACTGAAAAGAGCAGGCTAGGCACGAACAGGCACGTGCATGATATTACAATCATCAATAAAACCGCACAGCACAGGGGTAGCTACACTTGAGATGAGAACAGGCCAAACATCATGAATGAGAAGCGGGAGTCACTCGGCCACACAGACCAATGAAACACAACAGATAGTCTATACACAACACATTGCACTACATCACCAAGACACTACTCCCTGCACTATATCACCAATACAATGAGCATTGCACTACATCACCAAGACACTACTCCCTGCACTATATCACCAATACAATGAGCATTGCACTACATCACCAAGACACTACTCCCTGCACTATATCACCAATACAATGAACATTGCACTACATCACCAAGACACTACTCCCTGCACTATATCACCAATACAATGAGCATTGCACTACATCACCAAGACACTACTCCCTGCACTAGATCACCAATACAATGAGCATTGCACTACATCACCAAGACACTACTCCCTGCACTATATCACCAATACAATGAGCATTGCACTACATCACCAAGACACTACTCCCTGCACTATATCACCAATACAATGAGCATTGCACTACATCACCAAGACACTACTCCCTGCACTATATCACCAATACAATGAGCATTGCACTACATCACCAAGACACTACTCCCTGCACTATATCACCAATACAATGAGCATTGCACTACATCACCAAGACACTACTCCCTGCACTATATCACCAATACAGCAATCCATGCACTGTATTTGCTGAAGATGTTCTACTTGTGAACACCTCCATACAGTCAGACCTCACTTAACCGCACACATCCGTTTTCCACAAAAATATCCGGATAAGCGAGGGAACCGGATAATCGAACACACATACTGTATGCATGCATGCCATATGCTGCAAATCGGTAATCAACGACTTTCTTCCGGATGGCGAGGGATCCGGATAAAACAGGACCGGATAAGCGAGGTCTCACTTTACTAGTATACAAGAGAGGAGAGCACTTCCATACAGTACTGTCGAGCGTTTTTCACATACTACTGTGTGCACTGTGTCACAGTGTGTGTGTGTACAGTACTGTGTCACAGTGTGTGTGTGTGTGTACTGTGTCACAGTGTGTGTGTGTGTACTGTGTCACAGTGTGTGTGTGTGTGTGTACTGTGTCACAGTGTGTGTGTGTACTGTGTCACAGTGTGTGTGTACAGTACTGTGTCACAGTGTGTGTGTACAGTACTGTGTCACAGTGTGTGTGTGTACTGTGTCACAGTGTGTGTGTACAGTACTGTGTCACAGTGTGTGTGTGTGTGTACTGTGTCACAGTGTGTGTGTGTGTACTGTGTCACAGTGTGTGTGTGTGTGTGTACTGTGTCACAGTGTGTGTGTGTACTGTGTCACAGTGTGTGTGTACAGTACTGTGTCACAGTGTGTGTGTACAGTACTGTGTCACAGTGTGTGTGTGTACTGTGTCACAGTGTGTGTGTACAGTACTGTGTCACAGTGTGTGTGTGTACTGTGTCACAGTGTGTGTGTACAGTACTGTGTCACAGTGTGTGTGTGTACTGTGTCACAGTGTGTGTGTACAGTACTGTGATTCTGGGTGGGAAGTGGGACAGCTACAATACCCTGCAGTATCAAGTCATGAAGCCCTATTGGCAAGGGTGCACTCAGCCCATGTCCATGTACATGTATACTGTACAAGCAGAAATATTTGTCTGGAATTTAATTTCGTCTTTTTCGTCCAAGGTGTTTTGGACTAAATTAAATGAAGGACGAATATCGATTTGTCCAGCTTTTCTATACACTCTTATGATCCATGGACGAAATTTTCAACCGGACGAACTCCTTTTCTTTGGAGTTGGACGAAATTATTGACTGACGAAATTTTCTGCCGCTACAGTACCAACGCAACTGTCATAACACAAAAAACAAACCTACCTTGCATGCGTGGCCTGGGAGAACTCTTGAAATCGGCCAGTGACAGCCAGGATGGACTGGGCTTGCCTCTGCACAGTCTGTTGCAAGTACACACATACATACACACACACGCATACACCAAGACACACAAAACCACACGCACACACACACAAGCATGCAGAAACGGCATAACGCCAAGAGCAATGACTGAAACGGGCAATTGCAACATGAAACAATGTTGGTTTTAATTCCAGGGCGTCCGTTAAGTCGACCTCGGGTAGTGCCGGTTCATGCATGACGGGAGTGAGTACAAAAGTGTATCAATACCATATCCGCTCAGAGTTACAACAAACATGGACGTCCTTCGCTGAGTCTGCTATGAAACAGTATGATCATAGGCCTACCTGTGCAGACGCAGCTGGTAGCTGTGTACTATACACGGACAGCGCTGTGGATGCCAGCTGGGCGGAACTGTCAGCAATATACGCACTGCAGTGTACACACAATAACAAACAAACACACATGATCACGAGACACTGTGGTTCAGTGCTACTGCAGACACGATATCAGGGAGGCAAACACACAACAGAGCTGGTCAATTCAACGTCCTCAGCAGCAGAGGCACTGCTGAGTACTGGCTGAAGCAAAGGTACTGCTGAGTATTGGCTACAGCAGAGGCACTGCTATGTACTGGTTACAGCAGAGGCACTGCTATGTACTGGCTACAGCAGATACACTGCTGAGTACTGGCTGCAGTAGAGACACTGCTAAGTACTGGCTGCAGCAGAGGAACTGCTGACTACTGGCTACAGCAGAGACGCTACTGAGTACTGGCTACAGCAGAGGCACTGCTGACTACTGGCTATAGCAGAGACAGCCCCGGAGTGATGCTAATAGTAGTCACATATCTGATAATTACAGGCAGAAGAACGAGCAGTTGCGGTTTTGTAACTCTGATAATTATGCAGCTACACTCGGGGAGAGTTGCAGCAGCTCGAGAGTGTGATCGATGCACCTAGGTGCAGAGCCTTGCACACATACAAGCAAAAAGAAGGAAACAAAGCGTTTTCACGGTGTAACTATGAACCTATGTATGTGTGTGATAACAAACTGCCATACCTGGGCTGCTCTGGCAGGGGAACATTGAACCCTTGCAGTGTAGATACCAGTCTCTACAACAGCACAACAAGAGTATCAACAACAGCAGCAGCAACAGCCAGAGTAGCAGCAAGGGCAACAAAAAACAGCACCATTGCCATCATCAGCAGCAGCAGGAGGAACAGCAATGGACACAAGCATAAGAGATGAAAAAGGACACTATTTACATGGTATTGTACGCTAAATGACTACTGCCAAACGCGTCAAGGCAATGGTTCATATTATTCTCCGCATTCTGTCAATACAACAGCCTATTACCAGTATTGATACTCCTAGCTCCAGATACCAACTTGTTTTCAACGACCACCTGCCTTAATGACAGCGATAAGGGAGTCAGTCCCATGGCCAAGGATGGTCATGCAACTACTAAAAAAGTAGGTTTCACCTGAAGGTGCGTAAGACCAGAAGCACACTAGCAGCATAAAAAGCAACAATAGCACCAGCAGAAGTCTATTAACAGCAGTGATGAGTATGTTTGCAAGAGCTATGCTATGCTGTGCAAGTACACAATACTGTATCACATGTCATTTTTAGGTGTAGAAAAATTTCGGTATCAGGGACCTGCCAGGTTTCAGGTGTAATGCAGAATTAGAATTAGGTGACCAGCGTTCCTTGCACCTACTGTGCATACTACAGTGCCATTAATAGGTGTAGTTTAAATCTAGGTGCCTGGTTTCTCTACCGAAATTACCGAAATTTAAATGACACCGAAAATAATGTGGTATACAGTACTGATTACTGTATAGGCAGAACATTTCGTCGGTCAATAATTTCGTCCAACTCCAAAGAAAGGGAGTTCGTCCAGTTGTAAATTTCGTCCATGGACTACTTCAAGTATAAGAGTGTATTGAAAAGCTGGACAAATCAACATTAGTCCGGCATTTAATTTAGTCCAAAAGCTCCTTGGACGAAAAAGACGAGATTAAATTCCAGACGAATATTTCTGCTTATACAGTACTCAAGAGTTACGCTATGCTGTACAGCGCTGTAGATAGAGGTATAGTCATACCTTGCATTCACTCTGCATGGTGTTGAACGTGGATGTTGCCTCATCATACAGTGGCATACTACCAGTGTTAGCTAGTCGAAGGAGATCCGTCTGTAGTTGCATATCCAGACAAGGCTGTAACGCACGCATACACACGAAAATACACACACACATGCACACGCGCGTGCATGCGCGCACGCACACAATGCATCCATGCACACACACACATACATACAAAGAGTTAGATGTCGGCATGGACGCTCAACTGGACAGCATGCTGGAAAGCAAGGCAGAGCATGGAGATCAAGCCATCCTCGTCCTGAACTAAACTAACTAATACACGGCATCTTGCAGGGGGGGGGGGTAGTCAAAGGTCACCAGTTTGGTTTTTAACGAAATCTATTGTTTGTGTTAGGGGCGAGTGTGGGGGTTTCATTCCGAAAAGAAACTATGCCCACGTAATACTAGGTGTCGTAGAATTGAATTTCGTTTTACCTGTAGAAATGGCTGGGTGGGGAGAAATTAACGTTACTAAAACATTTGAAAACACAATCCATGACCCTGAACGATCATTTCATCCACAACATAACAAAGAGCGCTATAAATTAAGTATAAAGTGACCAGGCGAAAAACACATGTACAGTGCTGCTCAATGAAAAGCGATCATGTGAGTCAAGTAAGTGCAGGACACTGTGTAGCCCTAGGCCTGGGCACACTGGCATGTTCACTGGTGCAGGCCAAGACAAGCTGACTGGCTCTAGAGGATCTCACTGAGCAGTACTCCATAAGAAACGACACCAAGTGAAGCAATCATAAATACACGAATACCGTCCAAAAAGAAATACACACCTTTCTTAGAGTGGCCCATGAAGCGATCATGTACGCGGCAGCCCAGCGAGACACAGCGCTGGTTGAGTTGAGCAGTGTCTGAAGGAGATTCTGCAGAGCGGCAAACACCGGAGCTGTACTGACGTCACCACTGGCCTCAGCTGCACGCTCCTGCAACGAACATGCCAGTATGGCAAAGAGCTTAGCAATGCGCAGGCGTACGACTGTTGCCTGCTGATCCTGCTCAGCTAACGACTCTGTACCGAGTAGTCCACCGATGAACATTGAACAAGGTTGTCTACTGCCACCAGCATCACTACTGGAACCAGCAGACTGGGATGATAGCAGAAGCAATGAAGTATCCAGTGGAACCGATGTACTAGCCAGCCACAGACAAATCCAGTTAGGAAGTTGCTCCAGTACAATGTGACTCAGCAGAGCTGTGGGTGCACGAGATATTGCCATTCTCCATGTCTACAGCAGCATTCATGCACACACACACACACACGCACACACACGCACACACACACACACACACACACACACACACACACACACACACACACACACACACACACACACACACACACACATATGCACACATGTACAATCAAAACATGCAATCAGAATGATGACATAGGCAACAGACTATAGCGGTATCTTGCACCAGTTACCAGCTAACATTACTGCCGCAATAAGAGAGAGCGAGAGAGAGAGAGAGAGAGAGAGAGAGAGAGAGAGAGAGAGAGAGAGAGAGAGAGAGAGAGAGAGAGAGAGAGGGAGGGAGGGAGGGAGGGAGAGAGAGAGAGAGAGAGAGAGAGAGAGAGAGAGAGAGAGAGAGAGAGAGAGAGAGAGAGAGAGAGAGAGAGAGAGAGAGAGAGAGAGAGAGAGAGAGAGAGATGCTTGTGTAATTCATCCAAAAGGTCTTACCTTCTCCACTTCGTTATGTATATGCACTTCTCCATCTAGCAGCATGGTTTGAAACAGGTGACACATCAGTGGGGGCAGGGTCTGTTCACCCAGCCAACACTCCATGCTGCCTGATGTATCTTCATATACCCATGTGTACCCACACACGCACAGAAAACAAACAAACAAACAGGCACACACAGGCAGGTACACGCACGTACATGCACACATGTACACACACACACGCACACCAACAGGCAGAAATATGCGGAAGATGATCAAAGGTTTCATAACACTATCCACACACTGGGATCAGTTGATATACTCCCTGCCAATATGAGTATACACTGACAGGATAACAGAACTATGACACATAGTATTCATATGCAAGAATGATGAAATAACAATCACATAATATCCTGTATCAACAGAGCATGTTAGGTGAGTTCATCATACTTTCACCGGGGGGGGGGGGGGGGGGGGGGGCTGCCCTGCCTGCCCCCCCCCCCCCCCCACCACTCTCTCTTATACTCTTAATGGTTTTGCCATCTTTACCAAATAGGTATGGGCATACTGATCAGGCGACATTGTACACTACACCCCCGCCCCCTCCTATGATCAACCAGTGCTTGATTCCTACTTGTGATTGGGTAGCACCCCCGAAGCTGAGACAGTATATTCAAACACCATGTCTTGCACATTGGACCATGAGACCATCTCTATACAGGAATTAGGTCCAGTACAGAAGCACAGAAGCACATGATAGAATTATACAGTGCTGGCCAGAGCAATTCAACATCAAGAATCAAATATCGCCTGGCGCTACGCGGCCCTAGGAACACACAATTCTGTGTATTCAAACATGGCTCTACTATATTCATGAGGTCCCAGGACCAGAACTGTGTTAGACATTTCCTCTGCTGCATACCTTGTTCCAATTTGACTGCTCCTCCGGTGGTTGCTGCTGCCAGCGCACGGCCGCTCATGGTGCTGATCAATGTTTGAATAGTACGTAGTGTGGAGTGGCGCACCGCCTTGGACGGGTGACGGAAGAAAGTGAAACAGCGCATCACCAACTCTGGCATGGGGGTAGACAACGAGGAGAGGTCGAATCCCGCAGCACCAGCAGTAGTGCTCACAACGTCAGCGCCAGTCACAGGTTTACAGTCGGATACAGGCGATTGTTTGCCACAGCTGCTGGCCTCCACCAAGCCGGAGAGAAGCAGCATTACGTTGTGCGTGGATGTAGTCAGATCATCGAGTTCCAGCAATGCCGACCACAGCACCTCCAGTAGGGGACCAACCTAAACGCACCGCAATAACACAGCACACCAAAAACAAACTAGAGTTGTGCACGGTGAAATCCGACCTTAAGTGCATGCACGGCGCCCTCAACTTACACGGCCATTGATGCCATGGAAGTGGTACGAATACGGCTGGACGTACACACTCATGCAAAGTACAGTGATGTCATCAGAACTTGTCCACGGCGCCAGTTTTGCACTTTGGGTCGGATTTCATCGAGCACAACTGTACTAGTCGATCCACGCTGGGTCAATTCTGGGTCAATGCTGGGTCAATGCTGGGCCAATGGCTCTCAATTCTATGTTGGGTCAATGACACTCAATGCCATGCTGGCACAGTGTATAGTGCAATGGGCCGTTGCACTAAAGGCAAAGGCAACCAAAATATCCATCACAAAGACAACAATACAGCCATGTGCTTACATATTGCGGCAGTGTTTGTGACAGCTGATTGACACTGGGTAGTAAAGCAGCAGCAGCGACAGCACGGACATCTTCCGACATGTCACCAAGACCTGAGAGCAACCCCGGCCAGGCAGTGCACAGTACATCATGTACTACCTCCTACAGTACATACACATGCATAGAACATACATGTGTGCATGCACAGAATACACACATGCACAGAACATACAAATACATATACGAACGGATGCACGTACGCACACGCACACACAGACACACACAGACACACACAACAAACACTATCATGTAAAGAATATACAGATGCACAGATAAGCAAATGCACAGACACACATTCATTCATCATACCCTATTTCCTATGAGCAGTTCAACGTGTACCGTGTATGGTATGGCCAACACAATATGTAAGCAGAAATCGGATCACGTGAGTCAAGTCAGCGCCTTCGACCAGCACACAGCCCAGTGTTGGCAAGTCTGGGGCTGCATAGCGCCCGGCAGGTAGCTGACTTGCTGGATCGGATTTTATTGACTCAATAAATGAGCATCCCTCCACGATCCACCAGCCTTGCACTGACAGCCATCAGTAATGATAGAACACCAACAGGTAGAGTCAGAAATCCAAGCAGCTCATTTCCCACAACAATACTCATACAGCATTGACAACGTGAAGAGCGGAGCACTAACTGATCCAGACTGTGCAACATGCCACCAGCTGGATCAGAGCTAAGGACAAAATATTATTATTCCAGAGGTGTACACAACATTGCTTAAGAAAGGTGCATGTTATCCACCACTGTCACCACAACCAGCTGCAGCACCAGCACCAGCATTTGCACCATCACCAGCAGCAGCACTTGCACCACCATCACCAGCAGCACCAGCAGCAGTACTTGCACCACCATCACCATCACCAGCAGCAGCACTTGCACCACCATCACCAGCAGCACCAGCAGCAGTACTTGCACCACCATCACCATCACCAGCAGCAGCACTTGCACCACCATCACCAGCAGCACCAGCAGCAGTACTTGCACCACCATCACCATCACCAGCAGCAGCACTTGCACCACCATCACCAGGAGAAGCAGCAGCAGCTATATTATAGTACTTCAGAGTATACGTAGTAAAAGCAGCAGTAGTAGAGCAAACCGCACAGCTGCAGCAGTAGCAGTAGCATAGTTGACACCAACACGAAGAAGCAGCATACCTGCCGAACGACCATCATGTATTTGATACCCAGCAGTCCGCCATGTCTGACTTGCCAGGCGTCCTGATGCAGTAGCTGCAACAAGACTTTCAGCACTTCCTGAACTCCATGTGTGTCGAGCAGTCGCAACACTACACCAAGCGTCTGGGCTGAGGTTTCACGAACTGGAGCTACAACCTATAAACAAGCCGTCATAGAACACAAAGCAAAGAGCATAGAAAGTGCACATACAATCATCAAAACGACTATATACTCCTAATACAACATGACAGAAGCCAACATAGAATGCGCACATACATCATAATGACTATTCTAGTCTCTACACAACATGACAGAAGGGTGAAGCAGAAGATGGAGCACAGGTAAACAACTTGCCATGCCTACACAATGATCATCTATGCAAAATCATACGTACAGAAACTGGTGCGAAAAAGTCCGTACTGTCTGCAATATAGGCAACCCTGAAACTCAACGTCACTTGATTCTATGAGTGCAGTGCACCAACCACTTGAAACTGATGTCTATCAAGCAGCAGATGCAATGCAGTATGTTTTAGTCAGAGACAGGGCTGTACTGCTTGCTTCAAGGGCAAACACAGCCTCATGTATGGGCAAATTGAGCATAATGGCTGAAAACTGTGGCATGAAGGCTGGAAGAAACGAAACATGCCTCCCACCAAAAGGGTAGAGTATGGCTGGTTTAGCATAAACACACCATAATCATAGCATAAACAAACCATAATCATAGCATAAACAAACCATAATCATAGCATAAACAAACCATAATCATAGCATAAACAAACCATAATCATAGCATAAACACACCATAATCATAGCATAAACACACCATAATCATAGCATAAACACACCATAATCATAGCACAAACAAACCATAGTTATAGCATAAACAACCATACGGCGCGTGGCCCGCATGGGGCACAGGGGGCACGTGCACCCCCCCCCCCCCCTAAAAATGCCGACCTAGATTCAGCATGCACATAATGACTATGAATGACATGCACCTGCAATCCTACACATATGCGGCCGTGCACCCCCCTAAAAGGGGGACCAGCTACGCCCCTGGCATAATCACAGCATAGAAGGATACAAGTACATGACAGCACGCTACATTCGCCCAAAGGAATGACACATGCCAGTAGCTACAGAACACAGAACGTATTGCTATGGGCCCAACACACACTACAACAAATAGGCTACTCGCCCAGTGTTGGTTCCGTACGGGGTAAAGTGATAAAACACAGATTGCCCACACCAAGCGTGAGGGTAGACAATGGAACACAGTACTACACGGGCTTGTTAACCCTTTACCATCCGACCAAAATTCCCCAGCATTCCCAAATGCAGTAATTCTCACCTTATTCTGAGAATATCTTCGGTTCTAATCAACCAATTTTCACAATCTTGGGCATTCTGGAAAGCTCTCCACGAGCTGCATACATTGAGCTCAAATAGGACACTACTAAGACCACATATCCAGCGCCAGGGAGCTTCAAATACACCCCATCGCTGGATATAAGAGGAAATACTCTCCTCGCCAGCCATTTCTCGCTCCTTCATCGTAAACATTCCAAATTTTTTTGCTTGAGTTTCTTTTCATGCTGCCCACGCGCTCAAAGCATGCCAAAGTGACTCAGCATGTCAGGAGAGGGGAAATTCCCCGCTCAAGGTCAGTCACTCGGAAAGAAATTCGACTTTTGCCGTGGCTGAAATGTCGAGCGTAATATCTTTGGAATGCGACATCACAGCTCTTCACCGATTGCTGCAATGGAAAGCTGAGCTCTTCGGCTTCTTCCTAGATACTTAGTTGTTTTAATTCCGCCCGGAATAGATCGAGTTACGAATGTTTTAATGCATACATGTCCATCGATCTCTAGAGATCGATTCAAGTACGCACGGATGGTAAAGGGTTAACAGATGCAGACACTGCTAAAATTGCAGTACACTGTAGTAATGATCACACGACTTACTTCATCAGATACATAGTCACCAAACCGATCCAGTACCAACACGGATATCAAGCGTAATGCCATGTCCTCCAACCAAGCGAGATTCGTGACTGGCCACTACACAGCAAAGAGAGGCAGGAATGAAGAGAAAAAGAGTTGAATGAAATAGAGAGAAAAGAGGTGTGCTGTGTGTGTGTGTGTGTGTGTGTGTGTGTGTGTGTGTGTGAGTGTGTGTTTGTGTGTGTGTGTGTGTGTGTGTGTGTGTGAGTGTGTGAGTGTGCGCGCGCGCAAGTGCGCACACGTTCGTGTGTCTGCACGCGCGCGTATGAGAGAGAGAGAGAGAGAGAGAGAGAGAGAGAGAGAGAGAGAGAGAGAGAGAGAGAGAGAGAGAGAGAGAGAAACAGAGAGACACACAGAGAAAGCACACCCAAGGAGAAGCCCAAAAAAGAAAGGGTTGCATGTAAGAGGCAAAACAATAAAGACAGTGGTGAGTAGCATGTAGCAGAAATATATCAAGGTACATGCACATACCTTGTCTGTTGGAATGTCCACTCTGAGACCAGCTGTACTGCCATGTATCTTGATAATTTCACGTAGGCCTGTTGCAGCTCCATGGCGAATCTGTTGCACCAGAAAGCAAACAGCAGCACTGCTCTGCGTACATCCACAAAGAAACTCAGACGCGGTCATGACAACTGAAGTATAACACGGTGTAACTCTAAACGATAGGACCCAATAACACACCATCACCACCCTTGCACAAAGTTATAACACACCATCGCCACCCCTGCACAAAGTTATAACACACCATCGCCACCCCTGCACAAAGTTATAACACACCATCGCCACCCCTGCACAAAGTTATAACACACCATCGCCACTGTTGCACAAAGTTAAAACACACCATCGCCACTGTTGCACAAAGTTATAACACACCATCGCCACTGTTGCGCAAAGTTATAACACACCATCGCCACTGTTGCACAAAGTTATAACACACCATCGTCACCCCTGCGCAATGTTATAACACACCATCGCCACCCCTGCACAAAGTTGCACAAAGTTATAACACACCATCGCCACTGTTGCACAAAGTTAAAACACACCATCGCCACCTCTGCACAAAGTTATAACACACCATCGCCACTGTTGCACAAAGTTATAACACACCATCGCCACCCTTGCACAAAGTTATAACACACCATCGCCACCCCTGCGCAAAGTTATAACACACCATCGCCACCCCTGCACAAAGTTATAACACACCATCGCCACCCCTGCGCAAAGTTATAACACACCATCGCCACCCCTGCGCAAAGTTATAACACACCATCGCCACCCCTGCGCAAAGTTATAACACACCATTGCCACTGTTGCACAAAGTTATAACACACCATCGCCAACCCTGCACAAAGTTATAACACAGCATTGCCACCGTTGCACAAAGTTATAACACACCATCGCCACCGTTGCACAAAGTTATAACACACCATCGCCACCCCTGCACAAAGTTATAACACACCATCGCCACTGTTGCACAAAGTTATAACACACCATCGCCACCCTTGAGCAAAGTTATAACACACCATCGCCACCCTTGAGCAAAGTTATAACACACCATCGTCACCCTTGCACAAAGTTATAACACACCATCGCCACCCTTGAGCAAAGTTATAACACACCATCGCCACCCCTGCGCAAAGTTATAACACACCATCGCCACCCTTGAGCAAAGTTATAACACACCATCGCCACCCCTGCGCAAAGTTATAACACACCATCGCCACCCTTGCGCAAAGTTATAACACACCATCGCCACCCTTGCGCAAAGTTGAATACTGTAGCGTCTTGTATAAAAGCCTGATTTGAATACAATCCTGATTTTTAAGATACACGGTCAACACATAAGCCTGGTTTAGTGTTGACATACATAGAGATACGTGGTTTGAATAGTAGCCTAGGTAGCTGAGATGCAGACTGCCTGTTCACAACTCAATGAAACATGCGCTTTAAAAAAAACACCACTTAGAACTACACAGCGCTAGCACTACAAACGTTACGCTGTGCACTTGAAAACAGAGACACCATAATTGTCCCAGAGGATGACTATGTGTTAGTGTACTTACTGTCCAAGAAGGGTGAAACAAATCTTGACATAGCTCATCACACAGCGATTCAAATGGCCACTCAGTGCTCTGAACAAATCCACAAAAACACGTGCACACATACACACGCGCGCACACGCACGTACACACGCATACACACGCATACACACTTGTACTTGTACTTGTTGCTCACTGCCAAAACTGGTCATGTGGGTCTCCCCGGGAGAGGGGAGAGAGACTCAAAAGGAATCTTGGAAAGATGACTCAATTGGCTATTGAACCACCCAACGGCCGACACCCCCTGAAATCCCCAAAACTCTGGGTGGACTTGAAAATGATCCCACTTATGGGCTCACCACACCTCAGTATACACACACACACACACACACACACACACACACACACACACGCACAGATGCATGGTGAAGCAACACATACATGGTACACCGCAACACGATTTTCCCTCGTAGTGCTGTGGCTTGAAACTTTCAAGCCACAGCCAGGCACGCATCATGATGACGAAGATTTGTTGCATCCACCTGGATCTTCTATTCGTATGGATCCATCCAGATATGAAGTGGTTTACTTCATAGTAGGGTGATGCATTCACTGATAGTCTGTGACTGGACTGAGCCCTGAGAGTCGGGGTACTGCTGGTACAGAAGCAACCATACCAACATGTGACATCACGATGATGATGAGAGGCCAGTCACTATTTTTACTAACCAGAAGTCGCTCAAAGCTATGGAAACAAAATATTCAAAAAAACTCACGGTTCGTGTGAGATCCAGTCAGACTGAGTTTTCCACATGTGTGTAGGAACACCGCCACTCTCAAGGATCAAGGTGCAGATGCAGCTCATAAAGTGAGTAGATCAGACCCACCACCGAGTAGTCAAAGACTGAAAATCCCATTCACTGCATCCATGTTAAGCTCTGGGAAAACGAGTCCAGCAGTGCTTCACTATAGCAGGACCAATAGTTTACTAGCTATGTTCAGTTGTCCAGCAGTATATTAACCATTATACTGTGAATCAGAATGTGCTACAGTTGGTACGATAGAGCTGATAGAGCTGTGGATACTAGTATTCAACCACCGAACATCCACCACTATCATACATGTATTTAGTGCTGCTGCATTACGAATTGCCCGCTACTTTTCGTAGTTTGAGAACTCTGGCGCTAGAGCGACGAGATATCTGTGGGGCCTCCTTTGCATCATGGCTGGTAGCTCGGCTTGCTTAAAGCTCGTAGCTGAACTGATGAGGCCTTTATGGCCGAAACAGCTTGCTGTCTACAGCGTTGGTATATGTTTGTATTTAGAATGCTCCAGCAATGAGATTTGCACATTCAAGACGCGAGGTTGCTAGATGTCAGCTGGTTGAATGTCAGCACCCACCAGCATTGTGCCAATCGTAGCACATAGTGATTCACAGGATCACAGGTCAATAATGTAGCAGTGGATAACTACCCGTAAGCAAAACTTACTGGTCACACTTCGAAGTACTATCAAGTATTCCTTGGCTCTCCACCCGAGTTATAATTATACGACTTATATTATGTGAAACGGCATGGTGGTGGCCATACATTCTCACTACTCCGTTGTGTGTTGATGCGATCACTTTCAGGCCCTACTGAGTACGGAGTATGACATGGAACGTGCATAGTGCTGCTGTTCTGAGAACCATGATAACCGAGCCAACAACAGTGAATACTAGTACAGTACTGCCGGACGCCGAAGAACTGGGGAGTCAGGGTTCTAGCCTAGCCCAGTCTTATTTTCAGCGAACACAACAGTTTCGTTCTTATTCGGTGCTACAGTCTTACATGTACATTTATGCGGAGTTATACGTCTGAGTGTACGCGTACTTGTATGTTATAGTGTATATTACGGTTTCCGTTCTTATCTGCAAAAAATCCAGCCTACACTGTTCTTAACTTATACATTGGTGAAATTCTAGCCTGGCCGTTCTTTGGCGCGAGACGGTACTGTATACACACACACCGCAAACAAATCAAAGCACTTGTAGTGAATGAGAGGAGGTGTCATAGATACCTCTTGTGGCGCCAGCGGCTCTGGTGCATCAGTGTCCATGGGTTGTTGTTTGTCTTCTGCGTCCACTGAATCACCAGCACCCGGCTTCCTCACACGTTTAGCCGACGGTCCCTCCGATGACACACTAACAGAACATCACAACAGATATCGATAGTCAAGAAGTTGATCAGTCGGCAAGAAGCAAAAGCTCCAACGTTCGGAGCAGTCATCCTTCCAAATATATAGGAAACAACAAAAAAATCAACGGACATGACAGATACAATACCCACAGCCAACAGCAGAACACAAGCTATGACTCGTACTACGGTATGCCAGTCGGCAGCTCACATCACACAAAGAGAAAACGTGAATCAAGTAAAGCACATCAGCGGAGACTGGACTGACACGCTACAAATGCGTTGGTGTTTTAAATTCGGTGTAATGTTGAGCCAGAATGAGGTAAGGAGGTCTTTCAGTGCACTTGTATCCCTCATATCAGGGCATTTGGGTTGAGGCAGAGTCCATAACTTGCAACATGCATACATTCTACCCCCCCCCCCCCCCCCCGCACCACGCATACACACGCACACGTACACACACACACGCATGCACACAAGTGCACATGCAAACAGGGTCAGCTTACCCGTTGGCAGAGTTCGACGCTGCAGCGGCGGAGGCATCAGTGGACTGTCTTGCTTGCAACTTTGCCTTACGCTTGGCCCGGTGCTTCTCACGCTGACTAAGATTGGACTGGGTGTCGGCCAACTCTCCCGCCACCGCCTGACAAACATCCTGACATAGAGCAGAGCGACCTGGTTACACAGCAAAGGAAAGAAACAGAAGAATATTAGCAAGGACCCTTAGCAATATGGCGTTAAATCCTGCCCCCACGCGCTCTCTAAGCAGGGGCGTTTGCCCCAGATACCCCGTGAATCAACAAAATACACTAATCTGTGATCTAAAATTTCAAAATTTTCAGCTCAGCCACCACACCCCCACAAGTAAATTGTACTTCAGACGGCGGACCGTACCACACTAAAATACCTTCCGACGCCCCTGCAAAGCTAACCATGAATCGACAAGGCGCCATGCGCGAACTGATGGTGGTGGTGGTGGTGAGAAGGATAGCTCTGTGCCAGAGTAACCTTGCAGCTTAGAGATCGTCTGTGGGCAGGCGTGTATTTACCGTCATATTGCCAGGTGTGCATTTACCAATTTAAGAATCAGTCGTAAGTACAGTTGCAGTGGAGTCTTCAACTTCAAGGACCCTTACAGTCCATTCAGAAAATTTAAAAGATGATATCCTAGCTTTTGGCCAAAATGGGTCAAATTTTGAGTTTTTCACAATTTTTCTCCGATCCCCCATGGAATGCTCCTCCAATTATTATGTTTCTGAAGTCCACTTCTCCGAAAAGCAAGCCATAACAAGAATAGGATTTCAGCCAGGTTTTCTCTTGTACACACTGAATCCAAAAGGCTGTGAAAACCCAATCCGTTTCACTCCACTTGCATCACGGCATTGTCCGGTTCGAACCCCAGTTGAGGTACCTTTTGGACCTTTTTTCTAACCTCAACTTTCGAGGCACTGCACTTTGACACAGTGTGTGTACGATAAAACCACGAAAAATCGCCAAAATATTAGGGCTGAAACGATTATACCGATTACTCGTTTACTGCTAAGAAAAATCGAATTCGAACGATTATTGCAGAACTAAACGGCTAAACAACACATTTTGATGTACCGAAATGCATTGCGGGTGTACTCAAAGATCGATGTACAATGTACTCAAGTACGTAGATCTACTCTGCGCCGCGCTTCTACTACTACTACTACTACTACTACTACTGTACTATGCGCGTGTACAGTCAGTTCTAGTACTCGCGATCGCACTCAGCTTCGTCCTTGTACTCGTACTCGCAGATCTACAGCATGCACCATTGTGTACATCTAGAGGATCTTGCTGCACTGGCATGCGTCGCACTACACATCCGCGTACCCATGTCACTAGTTTCCGGATGGCTTTGCATGAGTTGTACAGGTAGGTCCGTCGGTCGGCACTTCGCTTGTCGAACTCGGAAACGCTTGCCAGTTGTGCTTTGTCGAACTAGAGACGATGGCGTCCTTTCCCCGTCGTTCTCGGTCGTCGGTTTGGCAGTACTTTGAGCGAGGTATTGAGAAGCACAAGTGCAAGTTGTGTCAAAAAACGTACACTCGGCAGAGTGGAACTTCAAACCTGTTTGCTCATTTGAAGTCTGCCCACCCCAAGGAGTTTTCGGCGACCCAGAGTTCGGAAAGTACTGGCAGTGCTGCGACGGAGTCGGAATCGTCAGCTGGGCCTGTAAGTCGAAGCACTGGTACAATTCGTTCATTCTTTTCGAGCTCTGCAACAACCGCGTCTCGTCCCTGCTCACCAGCACGAGCCGGAGAGCTCACGGAACTCCTGCTGGACTGGATCGTAGACTCGTGTCGGCCGCTGTCGACAATCGCAGACTCAGGCTTGGTCCGCGCTATTAGCTTCATGGAGCCAGGCTATTCTGTCCCATGTCGAACGCACATCGCGAGCCTCCTCAAGAAGCGTCATGCAGACGCCAAGAAGGAACTAGTACAACTGATTAGCTCTGCTTCTGGAGAAGGTGTCGCAATGACGACGGACGGTTGGACTTCCTCCGCGACGCAAAGTTACGTTACGTACACGGTCCATTTCATCACATTCGAGTGGACTCTGGTCAGTGCTGTGCTGCAGACGTCGTTGTTCCAAGGAAGGCACACAAGCGTTCGCCTCGTGGACCATTTCACTGAGATGCTGAATAAGTTCAGTATTCCAAGGACTGCTCTCATAGCAGTGACACATGATGAAGCCTCGAACATGGTCTCCGCAGCCAGGATGCTGGAGGATGAGGCAGGTTGCAGCAGTCAAGTGTGCATGGCGCATCGACTTCAAACTGCCATCCGCCGTGCAGTTGACAAGACAAAGGGCCTGGACAAGGTGCTGTCAGCTGCCAGGAAAGTCGTAGGCCACTTCAAGCACTCCGCTACTGCTTCTGAGTTGCTGATGAAGAAGCAGCAGCAGATCAACCAGTCTTCCACCACCAAGCGGCTGATACAAGATGTAAGCACTCGATGGAACTCGACATTTTATATGCTCGAGCGCCTGTTAGAGCTCCGTACGCCGCTGACTGTCTTGCTGTCCGATCAATCCTGCACTCCTAAGAAGGAGCACCGTGAGCTTCTTCTCAAGGAGAACCAGTGGGCAGCTGCGGAGAACATAGTTGCAGCACTGAAGCCGTTCGAGCTAGCAACTACAGTTGTCAGTGGGCAGAAATATGTCACGCTATCGCTCATGCTGCCGATCGTTGTGAAGTTGGATGCAGGTGTCCAAGCTATTGCCAGGAACTCGGATTCTGGCCTTGCACGGTCCTTTGCGGGAGCCTTGCACACAGCGTTGCAAGAGAAGTTCAGCCTCTTGAATGTCCTGCCAACTGCCCATCCCGTGATTGCCAGTGCGTTGGACCCTCGGTTCCGCAACCTTTCCTTCCTGGATGCAGATGACCGCCCCATCACCCACAAGCATGTGCTTGTGGCAGCTGTTCGCCTCAGGCAGGAGTCATCTGATGCTGAACAGGTAATTGTTGAACCATTGGCAAAGCGAAAGCCAGTAAGCAGCCTCAGTCAACTCCTTGCAGCTCCAGTGCATGATTCCGATGAAGTATGCAACGATGATGCCGATGAGGACGCCGCCAAGGTGGAAGAGCGCATTGAGCGCCAACTCGCTGTTTACTTCACTGAAGAGGTAGTGTCGCTGGAGACAGATGTTCTGCAGTGGTGGAGGACCCACAGGGAGCGGTTCCCTGACGTTGCACCACTGGCCAGACGGTATCTCTGCATCCCCGGCACATCAGTGCCATCCGAAGCAGTATTTTCGGCAGCTGGTATCCTGGTGAATAAACTGCGCAGCTCTCTGTCACCAGATAATGTTGACGCCCTGATCTTTCTGAGAAAGAACACCTTGCTGAAGGCATCTCGGCATCAAGCTATTGCTTCAACCACCACTGATGTTGACCGGCGTGAAGTCTTGGCTGAGGAAATCGAGGCGGCTGATCAGTCTCTGCTGGAGTAACTTGGACTTTCTTCTAAGCTACGGGTGACCACAAGTGAAGTGTGGGACTGCTTATTCACAAATTCACACAGAATCACATTGTTTCATGTTCTTTTTCCAGGTTTTTGTGTTAATTGACATTTTTTTCATCGCGTTTTCGATTTCTTTTCCACTTTTTGCTTGAGATTGTGAAATTCTGAAACATGTTGTTAAGCCGTTAAGCCGTTCGTTATCTTAATGGTTAAGCCACTAAGGTGAAACCCACAATCGTTTCAGCCCTACAAAATATGTGAGCTCGCCAGATCTGCAGAGCCAGCTGCTCATCTTTTTATGAATGGACTATAGGGTAATGCTAATTCTTTGACAATTGATGTTTGCCACGGGTAGAACGGAACTGGACATAATACAGGCCCAGGGCTCAGCAGCAGCAGCATAGTGTATCGCTCAGTCAGCCACACGGTCGAGCACACGTTCTGATGACTGATGATCGCTTTATGAGTGACACAATGAGCCACAGCTGACCAATTTCTAATCCCTCATTGTATGATAAATAGGTGAGCAGCAGCTTTCGGCCTGTTTATCAATAAAGCAATGCCACCCCCACCACATGCGCTTTCTGGCCGGCCTCATCACACCAGCAACATAACTCAAAGTTGTAGATACTTGAGTTGTAGATGTTGTAGATACTACAACTTGGAGTCATGTCCGAAAAAACAGACGGTTTGGCAGCACTGGGAATGGTACCTGCATGTACACCATGCACATGCACTGTTTTGACCCAACCATGTTCAGTTATCCAGACCAGCTGCACAGTAAGCACTACAGGCATGCAGCTGCGTGAGAGACCAGTACCTGGTGATGGTGGGAGTGATGCCTGAGAGAGTAGGTCCTCATCGTCGAATAGCTCACGGCTGTTTCCTACTCCGCCTGGCAGGCCATCCATGCCTAGCTTCTTCATGACTTGCTGGCGCAGCCTGCATATCACAAACAATACAAACACACACAACAAACAACAGACATCAATACCAGCCCTGGACAACTTCAACGCAATAATAGTTCCAAAGCAATCATACAATATGGAGTGAATACTACCTCCAAAAAACCGTCTGTGACTTCCATCAAACTGTGACTTGAGCTTCCTAATCACCCAGACATACCATAACGACCATCACAGCACCAGTCATAACCTCCACACAGTCACAAAACCAATCGGTGGCAACAACTACAAGAAACCCAACTAACACAGCCTCAACACAAGCGCGCGCACACACACACACACACACACGCGCACGCGCGCACACACACACACACACACACACACACACACACACACACACACATAGACGTGACACACACAAAAACAAGAGCAAGGGACACACGGAAATAGCAAGAGCATTGTAAAGTGAGATGGAGATCCAGGCCCACATGTACTGAAGTACGAAAATTAACATACCGAGCTGCTTGCTGCTTGCGATCAAGGCCGGAGAATGAGGGATCATTCGCAATGGACGGAGCATCATACTCCGTAGAGGATCGAGCAGCGGCAAGCAATGGCTGACCGTGCTTCAAAAGTCGTTCAACTTTGAACTGGCTGAACGCGAGTCGGCCGAGTTGCGACGCTTCCTCATCCCGCTCAACCTCCGGAGGTTCTGTAGACTGGGCATGGGTTACTGAGCCTAGACAGCACGAGATCACATCATCACATGTGACATGACATCACCATGATTACTTCCTCAGGATTACATCATCATATGTGACATGACATCATGACTGTGTTAATGACACGCATGCACTGCGTATACAGCGATGGCAGGTGAAATGCAATCAATCAATCATGGTCTTTGACCAAGCCACTGTGCCTGCCTGGTGAAATGATGCAAGGCGCGAACTTGACTCACGCGAGACCGGATTTCATTGTGCAGCACTGTACATGACTCTGCCTGCACATCTTTCACTTCTTTCACCATGACTACCTGGCAGAGACTATACATGCATGGTATGCCTGACAACTGGCACATAGCAAGCAAATAAGTGCTCACCCAGACCACAAGGAAATGCATGGGTTAGAAAACTTAGATTTCACCAGCCAGCTGCATGGTACGTGTTCGCATAAACCATGGCCCTTTATCGTTGCAACTACACGCACAACGCTAGAAAATGAAATGTGGAGGTTGTGGATTACGTGGTCAGCCTGCGAGTATGCACACTTGCCCAGTAATCTGTGGATTACGATGGGCAGGTCCTGTACCAAGCATGATCATGGACAAGTTGAACAGAAGTGCTACTGTTGTGCCTTCAACTGTTTGCAGCCACTGTGCAACAGTGAACGATCAGTGAACAATCACACGTGCTTATACGTGTACGCATCCACATCACACACTTAGTCACTACACTACACTGCACTACATTACGCTACACTACACTACACTACACTACACTACACTACCAAACGTGCACGCACCTTGGGTTGCTACAGGCTGCCATGTGGGCACATTCTCGGCGATAGCTTCCACTGCCTGACCAGCAGCAATCCGAGTCTCCCATGATGAGCTGCGAAGGTACACATGTACCTGTACAATAATAGTAGCAAGAGCAGCAGTAGAAAACACAGTCAATAGCAATACACTCATAGCTTGTTTCCGGCCAGTCTGGGACCGGGTACTGCCCGTAACTTCGAGATGTCCGTGACTCTGAATCACATACATTTTGTACGGCGTTCCACGGCCCACACTAAAAAGGCCATAGTGCCTGTATCGATGGTAAAGTAAAATAAAGATGACAGAGCATAACATAACAGTATGTATATCTACTAGATCTACACACAGCACAAGCTCTGCTTGATTCAAGCTTTCAGTAAAGCAGAAGCCTTGCTTTCTGCGGTTGCCATGGTAGTGTTCGTTTTGGCAATGCCGCCTCTGCGTGCGGCACTCCGAAGTCCAAGTGTGACTGAGCCCTTACACTGCAAGTCTTGACAACCAGTATACTAGTACATGTACAATGCTATAGCATATTGCTGTGTAAGGGCTTGCATATTGCCATCAGCTACTTGCCTTGATGACCTCAGTAGGGTGAACGCAACACTATCACTGTGCAATCACTAGCAAGAACAGTCACAGCGGAGAACCACTTTCTACCAAAATTTCTCCGGGGAAGGGGAAAGGTGTCATGTTCCTCTAAGAACTGGAATGCGGCCTATTGTTGAGAGTGCAATGTAGCCATCCAAGAGATCCATACATCGCCTCATTCGTCAAACGCTCTGTGGGCTACAATCATCAAAATCAATATGATATTCTAATTGTCTGGTCACTGCTCAGGATGACCCTCAGGAGCCCAGAGACTGCTTCAGATGTGAGATCATGTATAGATACAAGCAAGAGTACACATAAACTAGAGTGTGCAAGTCAGGATGGTTCCTGTGGGAGCGTAATCCGTGCAGTACGTCATTTCTGACGGCACGGTAAGCCACAGGTACGGTGAAAAGTTGCGTAACCAGTCACGGTGGTGCAGGTCATTGAGTTTGTCCTGATTTCGGCTTTTTGATACTGATAGCCTGGTGAATTTACTTGCCAGCAGATGTACGCAGCGTACACAGTCGCACAAAAACACCGAAATCCTAAAACAGGACGTCTAAATCATGCAAACTAATTTACTTGGCTGATTTCCGGGCTGTGAAACACGAAAATTTGGGCTGTATGCAAGTCGTGCCTTGGCTGACCTCATCAGGGTGACATAGTGCACGAACTGCGCTGTTTCAGATCTGATATGCACAGTTGCACACTCTGGTTTATGTACTCTTGTCTTGATACAAGTAATGAACTAACTGCTCAATTCCCTCTTCTACTGTATAATAAACAAATCAATATTCAGCATATTCAGTAACACTCAAATCCGTCAACCTAAATCAATACTACGCAGTATTACACTGGCTTCAAATTCTCAACTCAGCAAACACATTCATCACGTGTATACTATAGCCCACCTTGAGAAGTACTTTTCTTACATGTATTCAAAGAGTCGCAGTACGAATAGCGTGCACGATATAATGTGGGATCATAAAAGAAAGCTTACCGATTTCAGTAAAGTGGGGAGCTCGTGCGGATGAACTTTCTGCACTTGCCCGATTTGCTGTGCAGCTGCTTTTCGAGTCGATGAAGAAGAGCCCGAATCAAGGAGCACAAACAGTCGATCCAATCTGAATAAAACAAAATAAAAAATACAGCACGTCGTACGGCCCCGTGACAAGCGATATCGACAACATTTCGATGTCCCGTCTTCAAGTCTCCAACAACTTGCTTCTTTGCTTACCTTGAAGCCATTTCGCAATGCTCACGACGTTACTCCACCCAAAATACGACAATTATTTTATCACAAGTTAGTTATGCCAGCCATGCAGCTAGCTGCCCATTCAACATTTCAAGCAGCTCCTGCACCATTCAAATCAAAATCAAAAATGCCCTTTCTATTCCGAGTATTCGTGAGTGACAAAAGAATACCACGTGCGGTTTCTGAAGAGATCTACTCCCAAATCGCCCGAGATTGTAAAAACCACGGAGTAGTACGTGATAATCGGGCTGTTTTCGCCGTGCAAGTGTAAAATTATTTTCAATAATAATAATTTCCTCATTGCATTCCTTTCATCGAAACATAAAAATTGTAGCTTGCAGTATTGATAATCCTAATTTTGAAAAATGGATAGCTGATTTGTAATTGGGGTTTGGGATGGCGTGTATCCTCCATCCGGTGCGCCTTAGTGTGTGCCGGGTGTCTGCCCGCACATTCAGTTCCACGACTGAGCTTTGCAAACGATCGCAGTTGAAGCCGCGTCTCCTTGATCGTCGGCCAGATCCAATTGACATCACCGAAGACCTTGGCGAGTTTGAGAAACTCTTTCGCCAGTCGCACTTTGCACACCTTGGCGAGCCACGTGGACAACGCCTTGTAGCAAAAGTCATAGAAATTCGAGAGGACACCCAGAAAGCTTACGTCGACTATGGTGGAAAATTGCATGCAGTTGTGGATATGCCCAAGTCCGCCTCGAGGTCAGTTTACTCAGTACACGTACTGCTTTGTCTCATTTTGTAGGAGCCAACCATAATGATTAGGTACACCAGTACTTTGTGTACCCCATTACAATCCAGAGGCGTCGGCAGGTATTTTAGGGTGGTACCCCCCCCCCCCCCCCCCAACAATCTCAAGTGCGGGGGGGGGGGGGGGGTGCTGAAAAATTAGGAAATTTCGGGGCCAAATCGACGCAGTTTTATTTGTTCACGGGGTGGCTTGGGCAAAAAGTGGTACTTTGAAGTGCGGTCAATCCAATAGTGACCGTTGCGTGTGCGACACCCCTGTGGCCATGTGAACTCCCTGCGGAAAGCAACTTCTGGTACATTACACGTGTCACACAACACCTGCACATCATTCAGGATGTCTCCCTGAGGAGCACACCGGGATGCCCACACAGTAGATCTATGTAATAGTACTTGAAAATACAGTAAAACCCGGTTTAAGCGACCACCCCACTGTGCAAGCAAAAGCGGTCGCTAAAGCCAGTTGGTATTTAGAACCAGGTCCCATACATTTGTGGCATATCGGATTGTGAACATACATGTGCATGATTGTACTTCCATGTGCTCTGTAGTAGCATACTCATATTGACAGGTGTGCAGCATAGCCTACTTTGTTTTACTAGTTGCTAGTTAGTTAGATTCTGGCTCAGTAGCATGTAAATGACTGCAATGACTGAGTATTTGCAGGCTGTTCAACCTCGCCACCATCCCAAAGCGAGACACGTCCATACATAATGTATACGAAGGCAAACGCCACCCATATAAAATGTATACAGAACACGTCAGTCCACAAGAGGACTGCCCTGTTAGCTCCAAGCAGGGCAGTTGGGCAGCCTTCAGTTATGCTTGCAGCGAGATGCTCTCATGATGACTTGATCATGGTTGGTTCACATGTTGCCGGTATGCACCAGGACGAGAGAGGAGCAGGGGTTCCACTTGCGGCTGCCATTGTGGCATGCGCTTACGTGAAGCGACGTGAACCAATGCGATGCATATCACTATCCTACCGTACCACACCTGTGATCATGGCCGCGACAGTTGGACAAGGTTCCATTCTCGCGGCCTGCCCCGACACCGATCTTATGCAGTTTTACACAAATGTGGCGCGTGGAGCGCACACACCTGTGAACTCTAGTGCAGGTACTCATACTTTGTCAAATTTTGAAGGAAGTAGTCTCCCCCACGCTCGTTCTAAATTGAAGCAAAGGATCTGTTCTGTTAATCTTTCTTTTAGTCATATCAAGATATAGTTTCTTTAGTGGAGGTGGGTGGGGATACCAACAAGTCCTCCTTCTACGTACTTTGTGTGTGTTGTGTGTGTGTGTGTGTGTGTGTGCGTGTGCGTGTGTTCCTTGCGTACGTAGGAAGCTAACCAAAGGTGATCGCGTGATGATCGAGTTGGAGGACACAGAAATTAGTGCCCGTTTGCAAGGTGAGTTGCCGTGTATTTGTCTGCTGCTGAATCTTGTCCAAGTAGTATAGAGCTGGTTATGGAATGGTAGTGATGTGGTTTAGCATTGTATCGGATTGCTCAAGAAGTATATTCGGTAGAGTTGTCTGTATCAACCTACCGTATAAGCAGAAAGATTCGTCTGGAATTTAATTTCGTCTTTTTCGTCCAAGGAGCTTTTGGACTAAATTAAATGCCGGACGAATGTCGATTTGTCCAGCTTTTCAATACACTCTTATGATCCATGGACGAAATTTACAACTGGACGAACTCCCTTTGAGTTCGTTGACGCATGAACTCACCTTTGTCCACCGGTTATACAGGCGAGTTTAGTTTGAATAGCAACTAGCGGTGAAACGATTACACTTTTCAACTATCGGCTAACCTACCCTTGTATCGATTCGATTATCGATTATGATATCGATTACTGCGTCCTAGAACGTCCTATACTGCACACAACTTGACACAACACACCATCAAGGTTTCGAATTGAGATGCGGAGTACAATTTCATAATAAACTATTAGGCCACACGTTTTTACTCCTATGTTTCTCGTCACCCGCTCACATGCGATTCAGGAGTCTGGAAGAAAAAAAACTGTGCTGCACTGTGGGGACCAGCACATACACATGTGCACCCTGGCCTGGCATGCGCGACACATGATGCGAGGTCGCTGCGTGCAGTTTTTGTTGCGCAATCTAGCTGCACGTGCACAGAAGCTCCTACCGCGTACTAGTTGCTAACTTTGGATGCAACTTGAAGCACTTTACACGGTGTATTGGTCGATTTTAGTATGACCAAAGGTCTAGGGCATGATTGATTGGGCGAATCCCGAGCAAGTGCGCTCCGAGTGAGCGTAATCGTTTGGTCGAATCCGGAGTAGGTGTACTTGGAGTGGAATCCGACCACACCGGCCCCCACACCCGGAGTGGCTGGAGTGGAAATGGACTGCCGTTTTTGGACAGCTTTCACAGAAGTTTTGTACGATATGCGTACATTGTGCGTACTACACCCTTGTTTTGTTCGATTGGGCCAGGGTTGCTCGGACCACACCGCCTGCTCGCACTCAATCCAGATTCGCCAATTGATGACACCCCTAGTAAACTCTTTTTTATTTTTCGGTCATTTTTTATATTTTTTTCCACCTCTCGCATACGATTTCAGATTTTCGGGTGACGAGAAACATAGAAATAAAAACGTGTGGCCTTAACTTGATTTGTCAATGAAATTATTTGTTTCATTGATTCCTAGTTCATGGTAAGACATGAGTCATAAGCTCCGGAGAAAATGTAATAGAAATTCTCTCATGCACATTGTTCATTCCTGGTGATAGAAGACGGAATACCACAAGTTGCTAGTGGCTGCACTCCAATCAAGCGTGCTGTTCCCCGCCGCCGTAGCTCCGATCCACTTGCGGGTTTTTGCGCTGGACAGCTGAGATCCCACTGAAATTGTTGATGTATGACATGGGTAGGTTAAATGTCCGAAGAACGAACGCATTCAAAAGTATGCTTTTCAACACCAACTATTTTTGCTATTTCGATCGTGTTCTCACTCAGTTTCGCTGCTGGTAGCAAAGATATAGCTTGTCCCAGGTAATGTCGACGTCCTCTAGATGTGGTGAACGCTTGGAGGAATCGGCTGTGGCGATATGATCGGGGAATGTGACTCGAAATTGAAAATTTGTATAACTGATTCCATTGCAGTATTCACTCTCCAAACAGGAGCAAGAGGGAGGGCAGCAATGGCCTAAAATCGTCACGGCAGGTGTAATACACCAGCCAGTAACTGCTTCTTGTCTTCTCTTTCACTTACCTTAGTGGCCATCCGGAATTACATGTATCGATAATTTTCACGAAACGAAAAAGTTTAGTTATGACCCTCCCCACCCACCCACCCCCATGAACGAAAAATATAATTGATAGCTAGAATGGACTGATGTTTCAGCTATCCATATTTTTCACAACGAAACTCTCCTCAACCCACCCACCCATAAACGAAACTTTTTCTCCTCGTGAAAAAGATCGATAACTACGGATGGCCCCTTACTCTGTGCATCCCGTAATCGCGTAATCGAAACAGACAGCATAATCGAAATCGCTTCGTTGTAAGGATCGATTAGACGGATAACCGATATACTTGTTTCAGCCCTAATAACAGCTCATTGTGAATACTTGAAGTAAAAGTGTGGTCCGAGCATCGGCTTACGTGGCCTATGTCAGCTAGTATTTTCCAGGCGACTGGAAGAAAGGTCAAGAAAGGTCAATGTCACTTACTACTACATGCCAGTGCACTACTGTACATTTTTATTTACTTTATTTTTTATTTTCATATTTTTTTAATGGCTGTAAATACAGTAAATACAGTCTGATGTCATGAATGGCTGTAAATAGTCTACTGTACATGCACACGATGGCACTTGCACTGCACTCAACTCACCGGTCACAACACGCAACTGTCGAGGTCCATGGACCACTACTACTAGCTCGTACTGCACTGTACCTATGGCAAGGTGTGACTTGCAGGTCACGCGTGTTGCACGCTTCCAACTACACACTGGCGCCGCGGTAGTATACAGTAAATCCTGGTTTAAGCGACCACCCCACCCCACGGTGCAAGCAAAAGCGGTCGTTAAAGCCAGGTGGTCTTTAGAACCAGGTCCGACAGTGTCTGTGTAGAACTGTGCGTGCATGGGAAAACGGTGGTTAAGAGCAGGTGGTCGCTAAACACAGAGGTCGCTAAACACAGAGGTCGCTAAACACAGAGGTCGCTAAACACAGAGGTCGCTAAACACAGAGGTCGCTAAACACAGAGGTCGCTAAACACAGAGGTCGCTAAGCACAGAGGTAGCTTACACCAGCTTTTACTGTACATGTGTAGTACAGGTCCTCTCTCGTTATAACAAATCCGGTTAACACATACCCGTAAACTTTGTTAGGGGTCGTTTGTAATTTTTCGAAAAATTAAATCCGTAATGGACTCGGATGGAGAGCCAGGGATTAATTTATACAAATGAAAAATGGCCCAGTGAAATACAAGTTACAGTATAATGTCCACTAACACCACCAGTTACTAAACGATCAGCTCATGCACATACACATGCACTTGTAGTTCATTGGTGCACTTTTCTTTTGTATAAATTAAATCCGTCCTCATGCAAAAAGGGGGTGGGTGGTCAACAGCGCTGGCAGAATTTATTTATTTAATTTATCATCCACTTGTTGCACTGTGTACTACCATTATTATTATACTGGGGGAGGGGGGCTGCACTGCCCAAGTAACACATTCTGACAAGCGAAATCTGCCATAAGCCAGTTTTTCCTACTATCAGTTGCAGAAGCAAAATGTCTCTAGTGATGCATCAGACTGCTATTCGAATCATGTCAATTTGTGTATGCTGCCTACCCACACCACCAAAAGGCGTGCTTTCCTGACAAATGTGCTTTAACATGCCTATTCTGCTTGTGTTGCTTTCCATTGTGTGTTGCTCAGGTGCGCCAAAGCAGTTTTCTATATTGGAGAGCCAAGCAAGGCTTGTGCGCTCCATGCGTCAAGGTCCTGCTTCAACTAGACAACAGCAGCAGCAGCAGCATTCTGCAGAAAGTACCGGCGTACCACCACAGCAGCAGCACCGCCAACAGGCAACACAGGAGCAGAGCCAATTTGAGCAGCAGGAGCCTGTGCGCACGCAGATCCCATGGTACCAACAGGAGCAAGTGCAGCAGCAGACGCAATGGCAGCATGAAGCGCACCAGCAGCAACAGGAGCATGTAACTTGGGAGCAGCAGCAGCAACAACCACAGTACGGACAACCTCAGCAGCATATACCCTGGGAGCAGCAGCAGCAACAGTACGAGCAGCCTCAGCAGCAAATACCCTGGCAGCCTGACTGGCAGCAGCCGCAACACCAGCCACAACAACAAGAACTTTGGCAGCCAGACTGGCAAGAGCAAGAGCAACAGCAGCACCAGCAGCAGCAACAGCAACAGGAAGTATGGCAGCCAGACTGGCAGCAACCACAAGACCCGAAAAACTGACGCTACACGCACAGTGCTGATCTGTGACATTCGCTGCTCGGGGAAAATTGCGATCCTGCGGAAGCATGCGGAAGCAGATTTTTCCACCTTTTTTTGAAGTTTCAGTTGCTTGAAACATCAAAGTGTGTGAGTATCACATGGACCAAGCTCTTTCCCTCCGCAGTCTGTAGATGTGCGTAGCATGCATCGTACTGTACGTGAGGACTGGACTGGAGTGCATGCCATATTGAATGGTACATGATGGAGATTTTCTTCTCACTGTCACGACCCCCTTTTTTTTTTTCGATGAGAGATAGGCAGCCTTTTGGTAGGCAAACTGGTGAATCGACCGATCCCCCTCCCCCAAACAATCGTATACTTCGCGCAGGTTGTGCCAATAATAGAGTTATTTACCCAAGCTGTGTTAAAGATTTTCTTCCGCGATCTCTGGGGAAGGGGTGTCAGCAACATGTTCGACTGCCCGCAGGCCGATACGACTTAGCTTGTTGAAGTGGCCTATTTAAAGCCAAGGTGCATGGCGGTGTAGTGTAATGTCGCTATGGTTATCGTCCATCACATTCAGCCTGCTGAAAGTTATGCAGAAAAGGAACGTGTGATGTCACTGTTGGAAACCTGGGGATGAGCGACGCGCGTGAGCAATCCTGCAGATGACTCGTGAACATCTGCTTCTGTTATGTAATAGGCCATTCACACGACGGGCAAACTCACTTTTATCGTACCGTTTCCAAGGATACTGTAATTTCACAAATTTTCCGTGTACTTTTATTTTCGGTACTTTCAGTGCGTCTGTTTCGTACCTAAAATTTCAATACACCGAACAAACACTAACACACATAATCCAATAGGGAACTGCTTCTCTGTACCGAAAATTTCTGTTCACCTAACCTGGCCTGTTGCCCTCATACCGAAAATATTGAGCACCGAAAATTTCTGAAAATAGAGTATATACTTGGATACGATAAAATTGGACACACGCGCACGCGTGCAATTGATTTTTTTTATCTTGGCCAAGGCCCTTTTGCTCACGATTATACTAGTTTGCATGCCAGCAAAAGTGTTGGTTGTTGGAAGTGCATACCAAATGCAGTGCTTCAACAAAGGAAAGTTCAAAATTTATAATTTCCCGGCATTTTCAAGAGGTCACTATTAGGGAGGGCCCGATTATGCTTGCGCATATTTTCGCATATTAGGACCTTTTGACACAAGGTCGCATAAAGTAGCAAATCTAGCATATTGTACCAAATGTAGCATATTTTGCTACAAGGAGCGAAGAATTCGCATAATTATAGGGCAGATTGCGGGAATGGACAAGGAAACTTATCACGGCCCGCTCGGTCAGGGAACACTTCCAAACTTAGCCCGGAAGGAGAAATGCTCATCCAAACACGGGGCGAAATTTTGACCCGAGAAGAGAGTGTCCGCGACTCACGCGCAAGGTCGCATAAAGTAGCAAATCTAGCATATTGTACCAAATGTAGCATATTTTGCTACAAGGAGCAAAGAATTCACATAATTATCACTGATATCAGTTCATATTTCGAGCATATTTTCTGCTTTTGTGTGATTTCGAAGCATATTTTTGAAGCAAGTGGCCAATATGCGAAAAGCATACCGGTAATACGGTATGCGAAATTTTTGAGCATATTTCGGCCCTCCCTAGTCACTATGGATACTTTGACGCATGCAAAGTTTGCCCAGCACCATATATATTGGCCGGCAGAAAAATTGGCAGAATTCGGTACTTTTTCTGGTAAGTTTTATGCATGTTTGATATGTGGATAAAGAAATGGAGCAGAATTCGAGGAATTGCCCGCCATAAGGTTTGTATGGTTCTGCCAATTTCGGTGCAAAAAAAGCAGAATCTGCCACCTTTTCGAGCATTATCCGCCAAGGCCTATTGGCCATGCGAACCGGGGGAGGGTGTGTGTGTGTGTGTGTGTGTGTGTGTGTGTGTGTGTGTGTGTGTGTGTGTGTGTGTGTGTGTGTGTGTGTGTGACCTTTATGCGGGAAAAAATAAAAAAAGACCAAAAAGTAGGTATTCACTGGCCAGAAAAAGCCACTTCATAGCTGTGTGGTGTAGACCAGGCTGAATAGTGGCAGTCAATTCTTCAGCCTCGCAAGCTGTTGAATGGTGCAATCCCAGCACAAGTTGCTATGGCTTCTGCTGTAGCATCGCTATCATCGCCTCCGGCGATGGGCGTCCAATGGTCCAATGGTGTGTGTGACCTTTATAGGGCTTGCATGAGATATCAATGCAAATCATAGTCTGTCCCCATAGAATGACGCGGACAAAATCCTAAAAGTGTTGGCCATCGTCGCGTGTTTTGACGCAGGCATACAGCGGTAGTGTCGTCTGTAAATGTTCCCATTTCAGACCCAGGATCCAGGCAGCTATCAGCATCATTCACATAATTATACTTGTACAAGGAACAGGGACGGTCCAATGATGCTGCTTAGTGTTGTGGCACTCCTGACCTGCAGAGATCGGATAGCAATCGGAGCTCTTGCCGCCAATGAGCGAACTTGATGTGTGTGTGTGTGTGTGTGTGTGTGTGTGTGTGTGTGTGTGTGTGTGTGTGTGTGTGTGTGTGTGTGTGTGTGTGTGTGTGTGTGTGTGGTATTCGCTATCATTGCTTCTGCGATGGGCAGGTCTGAGGTCTGAGGTGTGTGTCACCGTACACACGAGGACTGAGCCATACACTGTCATGTACATGTACATGCACAGACAGCCACGGACAAGTAGGTGTCCATTGTGAGGGGACGCTGGTGCTTTCATCATTAGTGGCCAACACTCTCATACCTCGTTTATCCGAGCGGTCTGGGACCGTGCACTGACTGTCACTTCGAAATGTCTGTAACTCCGAAATCCGAATCACATACATTTTGATGGGGAAAGGCCATAGATGTGGCATAAAGAAGCCACTATTTCCACAAAGGTGACAGAAGACTAGGGAAGAGTAGCAACATTAATTTTCCAATGAAACTCATTGTAGATCTACATGCAAAGCATAAGAAGAGTCCGGCGATGTTTGCATCAAGACTCAAGTCAAGACCCACAGGGCAAATCCCGTACATGTACCGGTGAATGCGCCTCACTAAAGATCAATGGCCAGGCATAGATAGATGCACGTCATTAATTTGTCATGAGCAGTCATGTTTGACGATTTCACCACTTACGTGACTTAGCCTTCATGCGCCATACATAATCATTGACGGACCGCCCAGATTGTCAACTACTGACATGGTGACAGTCCGTGTATGACGTGTGACGTGTGTATACATGACATTGTGTGTGTGTGTGTGAGAGAGAGAGAGAGAGAGAGAGAGAGAGAGAGAGAGAGAGAGAGAGAGAGAGAGAGTGTGTGTATGTGTATTGTATGTATGTCTGTCTGTGAGCGTGCGTAGGCTGACGTACGTGGTGCTCGGTGCGGTTATCCTGAATGGGAAGGAAATGAAGGAACACGAGAAGGACTGCAAGCAAGAGGGGCGAATGAAAGGAGATCATTGTCCGCTACGTGTAGGTAGTAGTAACTTCGCACAGACCCTCCGTGGAACAGTGTGTCACGTGTGATCTGTTCGCACAGAGCCTCCGTGGAACAGTGTGTTGTGATCTGTTGTGCGTTGCACTGTTACCGGTAGCAGTGATCATAATTTTAAAGTCGGAGAGCCTGAGGCAAATGCAAGGCAAGAATTGGGTCTAGAAGTACATGTAGAACGAGTCTGTATTGAAGGACTACGAAGTCGCGACCTTCACGTAGACCTACCAAGGGTAGAGATAATACATTCCATGATTGCTGTTGACAGTGTCCGTTGCTACACAGTGGTCAGTAGCTGTATTGCGAAGATCGAGACGAACAGAGTTTCCTTCTTTTCCAGCTAAGGTGTTGCAGTACGGAAACAGAGTGCGGATCATGAGTTGTTGATAAACAGTGGTCGAAATCCAGTCCTGACTCGTTCACCCTGAGTGTGCAACGATGAAGCAAGTTCACGACTCGAGTATCTACCAGAGGCTATTCCTGTTCGCCACGTTGATTGTGGGCGGTAAGTGAACGTACTACATACACGTAATGCTTGAAATGCATGATAGGTTCCGTTCGGCTTGGTCCCATAGCTCAGATAGTACAGTCGTCCCTCTCTAATCCGGCACTTTATAATCCAGCACCCTCGATAAACCAGCACAATTTTCAGTAGCCAAAATGTCCTCTTCATGCACATTGCAGCAGTAAATCAGATTTGTTAATCCAGCACCCTAATCCAGCAGATTTTCGTGGCACAAATGGTGCCGGATTATAGAGGGACCACTGTAATACTAATAGCATTGCTCACGGCATGGTCCCATAGGCCATAGCTCAGTTCAGAGCATTCATTGCTCACGACAAGCAAGGTTCCAGATTCGAGTTCTCACGGGTGGAGTTGACATTCTTGCTATTCTGGAAGTTGACTTCCCTGCCGGTTGACGTGGTTTGAAGCTTGTCCTTGGTTTCAGCTGCAACACCCAATTTTTATTGTATTGTTCCGTACTGTGTATTTGCCTCTACACAGCCCGAGCAACATGCAATGCCATTGGTGGGGCACCAACACAGGATGGAACCGTTCTCAAGGGAGAGAGCAATACGTATAAGTTTACCTGGATACTGCCCACGTACAGTATAACACAGTGCAACGTGAAGATGTTGGGATTTGAAGTCATCCACTCAAGTACTTCAAACTGTGATTTCATTGTGTCAGTCTGGAACCGCGATACACAGGGTATTAAGAAGAATGAGTACATACTAGAGTATGTGGCACCCACTGTGCGCATGCCTGCTGCATCCACACCTACAATGTTCAGCTATAACTACACAAGCAGTAACAGGCGAACATTTCCGTATTCCAGGAATGTATTCATTGGCATCACCACGAAGCAGTCAGCATGCCGTGTATTGGGAAGCACTACATTAGCGGACGGTGCGAGATATGCAGACGGAGAATACAAGCTACCTGGAGTTACGAACAAACATAATTTTGTAGAAAAAACGAGAACTGATGTGTCACTACGTGTGGTCACGCAAGGTAGGTATCTCTCTCTACATATCTATGTATCTATGTATCTATGCATCTATGTATCATGTATCTATCTATGTATCTATGTATCTCTCTCTCTCTCTCTCACTCTCTCTTTCTCTCTCTCTCTCTCTCTCTCTCTCTCTCTCTCTCTCTCTCTCTCTCTCTCTCTCTCTCTCTCTCTCTCTCTCTCTCTCTCTCTCTCTCTCTCTCTCTCTCTCTCTCTCTCTCTCTCTCTCTCTCTCTCTCTCTCTCTCTCTCTCTCTCTCTCTCTCTCTCTCTCTCTCTCTCTCTCTCTCTCTCTCTCTCTCTCTCTCTCTCTCTCTCTCTCTCTCTCTCTCTCTCTCTCTCTCTCTCTCTCTCTCTCTCTCTCTCTCTCTCTCTCTCTCTCTCTCCCCCTCTCCCTCTCTGTCTCTCTGTCTCTCTGTCTGCAACTCGCTATGCACAGAGGTCATATCGTTTTGCACGGACCTCCCATCCTTATGTGCAAAGCTCATACGGGCATCTGCAAAGCTGGTTATGCACGGAGCTCACATCCTTATGCACACAACTCACCTTGTTATGCACGGCTCACATCTGTGAAAACAAACAGCCTACTTCCAAGCACATTGTAAACTGTGTCCTCGATTCTACTGACTATGGATAGGTGATGCATGGCACATAATCTCGTTATGCTTTTCAATTTCTTTTTCAGATATCGACGAGTGCGCAGCCACCCCATCCCTGTGCACGAACTACACAAATAATGTGTGTAGTAACACATTTGGATCATACAGTTGTGTATGTAAGAGTGGATACAGTGGAACTGGTGGTGCTTCTGGTACTTGTACTTACGTACCAACTACGGCACCAACAACAACACCAACAACCACACCAACTACCACACCAACAACCACACCAACAACTACACCAACAACAACACCAACAACTACACCATCACCAACAACAACAACAACACCAACAACTACTCCGACAACAACACCAACAACTACACCAACAACTACTCCGACAACAATACCGACAACAACACCAACAACCACACCACCAACAACAACACCAACAACAACACCAACAACTACACCAACAACAACACCAACAACAACACCAACAACTACTCCGACAACAATACCGACAACAACACCAACAACAGCACCAACAACAACAACACCAACAACTACTCCGACAACAACACCAACAACTACACCAACAACTACTCCGACAACAATACCGACAACAACACCAACAACCACACCAACAATAACACCACCACCACCACCAACAACAACAACAACAACACCAACAACAACACCAACAACAACACCAACAACAACACCAACAACAACACCAACAACAACACCAACAACTACTCCGACAACAATACCGACAACAACACCAACAACAACACCAACAACAACAACAACAACAACACCAACAACAACACCGGCAACAACACCGACAACTACACCAACAACCGCACCAACAACTACACCTACAACCACACCAACCACCACACCAACCACCACACCAACTACCACACCAACCACCACACCAACAACCACAACGACAACTACACCAACAACTACACCAACAACCGCACCAACTACCACACCAACCACCACACCAACAACCACACCAACAGCTACACCAACAACCACACCGACAGCAGCAGTAACAACGACAACGAAAGCAGCCTCAGCAGTAACGATACCAGCAACAACATTAGCAGAAGCAACCGCAGCAGCGGCAATACTAACAGCAACAGCGCCAATGACAACACCTGCTTCAATAACAACATCAACAAAACTTGGTACGACACCAGGAGTGACAGTTTCAGCGACCACATCGACAACGGTAGCAACAGCAACATCGGGGACTAAACGGACGACAAAAGCATCAACAGCAATGTCGACAGCAGAAGCAACAGCTACATCAGCAGCAGGAAAAACAGCAACAGCAACAGCAGCAGCAGCAGCCATGACGATGACAATTATGGGAAATATGTGGAATGGATCTACAACAACTCAAGGTAACATGGACTTGATTACAGCCTATCTCTTAATTTGCTGGCAAAATATCATAATAATTATAGGATTTGAAAACATGTGCCTTTTATGCCGTTGCTATTGTATTGTATTGTATTGTATACTTTTATTTATAGTGGAGAAACCAAAACAGACAGATGCCTAATAACAATGGACCCACTGTGTAGGGTGGAGGAGGGGGGAGACATGGCTAATGGTAAAATAGTGGCGGCGAAATAGAGCAGTTCCAGCACAGCTACAGAAACATGGGCGTAAAGCTAAAAGCAGGCAAATTGGTCATCGTGACCAACAATAACGGCATAATAGTTTCCATGGTAGTTGTAAATATCTTTGAGGCATGAATGTTTACTTTTTTAGATTCATAGGACGATAATATTTCTGATGAATACCCATTTTTAGCAAGAATTGGAACTTTGAGCAGCATTGTTCAGCTGCTGTCCTGGAAAGGACTGGAGCAGTGAATGTGCAGAAGAACATTACAGGTGTGGCATGGGGTGGTTTCATGACGACATCTCGCATATGCCATCGTGAAACTACCAGTTTTAGGGATAAAACTAGGTCCAATAAAATCTCAAATCCCGTATACAGGACTCGAAAAATTGGGCACAGGCCTTAGTAATATTGGGCAAGGAGATGAGCCTGAGATGTAAGTATTTGAAAAAGTTACCTTATTCAACTCTCAGTATCTACTGAAGACCTAGCAAGGAAGAATTGGTCTCATACCTTTTGCTATTCTCGTGCCATACCCATTTTGAGTTGAAAAACATGACCAAAATCCTATATATAGGATCTAGCAAAGTAAGAGATAGATCTGATGGTATATGCACAGAAACTACTTCAGTATTTCAAAACTGATGTTTAAATATAGATAATAACATAGAGCTTCTGATTTTTGTATTAGTCATGGGCCCTTGCTTTGCAGGCCTCTTATGCTGTGCTTGACTCTGTCTACGTGGGAGCTAGCACTTTTCCCGCCGGCTTGAAGATATCTCATTTTTTCACTTCCCTTAAAAGCGATATTAAAATTTTGCAAACTTACTTCGCCTGCAACGATTCATGTCTGAACAGTCATGACGTAAGACACTTCCTTTAATCTATTCGTCTTTTCCTTTCCCTTCTCTTCAGGATAGTACTGGAAATGGTGGAAAATTCGAAAAGAGTCCTACATCTACTTCAAAGTAGCCTTCAAATTAATAGTATGAGATTGAGAAAAGAAAAAGAGACCACACTGGAAAACAATCTCTTGTTTATATATGTGTGTGGGGGTGGGGTGGGGGTGGAGGAGTAGTCACCAGCATGACGATGAACATATCGTATCCTTTCTCTGCTCTGTTGTCACTCAGGGGAGGATGACAAACAGTCTGCAACCAAGGGCGTCTCAACTCAAACCACGGTTGTCATTTCCTGTGTAGCAGCTGGGTGTAGCGTAATTCTGCTATTAAGTATCATCATTCTAAAACGTGCAGCCTCCACTCGGCGCAGAAGCATCTATTCCACACATGGATTCAGTGACTCGGGAGGAAAGGAAGTACATGCCCTCACAACCTTTACGAAGAATAATGAACAGCATCTATTCAGAGACAACTCCGCATTATTGAGTGGCCGACGATCATTCCAGAACAGCTCAACACACTTAACCAGCACGGCTGGTACAGAATCACATCTACATAGCACTGACAACGAAGCCTATGGTGTAGTGAGAGAAGACAATAACCATCATATTATTATGATGACATCAAGTGCACCTACACGGCCATCTGGACAATTCACCAAGAATCCTGCTTACACTACCGTCACCTCCCCAGCTGGAAAATTCACGGAGAATCCTGCATATGGCGCGGTGGTGAAGAAGAACCGAGGCAATGCAAGCAATTTGTCAACCATCAACTTGTCTGCTGTATCACAGCCAGCTGGTGTGCTTCAACAGCCCAGCCGATTGAGGATGGGATCCGAGGAGAGTAATGACTATGTTATATCAGATGAGGCCGGACAAGCACATCGTGAAGAAGAGGACTACTTGAATTTGTACTGATCTACTGGACAAAACCTTCCGTTTCAAAAGTTCAGAGTGAGACCCCTCCCAAAAAAGAATTGTTAGGCTGTTTGGAATGCATTCATACTACACAGGATCAGCCTCAGAGTGCTGGCTGATGAGAGTGCTGACAGATCAGCACTACACTACACTACAGAGCCTTTCCACGCACTCTCGCAGAGCATTCACACATGCCACATAATAACAATCATGTTCTTACCACTTTGTACATACATGTACTTCGAAGTAATATTTACAAACGTTCATTGTGCTATCGCTTAGGAATTCATAGGAGGCCAATTTCCAGTTGATCGTGTGAGAATAGAATATTAGATGAAATCGATGTTATATGAAAATACTCAGGCATTAAATTTTCCTTTTCCATTCCCCCAACTAATGAATATTCAGATGTAATCTCGTGATCATTGTGTTATTGACTTATTGTCCAACGTTGATCAAGCCTGACAGACCCTGATACCGTGGATACGACATAGTCCAGTATAAACACAAACAGGCACGCATACAGTTACTTTCCAAGAAGCTAAAGTTGCACCCAAATAGTCATGTACTTCGGAAGTACTGTACCAGGCAGGCACAGTGGGTTGGTCAAAGACCATGATTGAGATACGAGAGGTTCCTGGTCCAAGTCCTGCCTGGGAGCGGTTTTTCCAGCCATGCTGCTACCCACAGTCAACTGGGAACTTGTGGCCAGGCACAAGGGGTGCATGGATGCGGCTAATGGGGTCTTTTCTCAGCACTTGTGCAGTGCAGTGGTTGTGAGACATATCCACTCACCCCCACCGTTAGGTGCTGCATTGGACCGATATTTTACTGTTGACATGTTTCGCAATCTATACCTTCGCATGCAAAGACGCAAATCCACACATAGCAGCTTTTTAAACGTACATGTAGCCTGCCAGTGCTGGAAAACGCCTGTTTGAGAGAACACACACAGTTCGACATCCATGCATGTTCGCATGCATCCATCCCGGAGGCCAAAGCAACACACTTAAATAATTATACATGTACATGTGTACATTCACATACATACCCCACCAAAATACATACACAATTACAGTGAGGGCTGCGTCCCACCCGCCTGTGTGGATTCACAGGAAGTGTGAGTTACGAAGTATGAAGAAAAGAGCATCGCTAGCTACAAGCGAGGGTCCCTGGTTCGAGTCCTGGTGGTGACAGTCAATTTTTTATTCAGACTTTTCCCATTTGTGTCTTTCCCTCAAACTGGTCAAGAATTACACATACACAAACACACGGACACACATACACACGTCGACCTTGAACTTTGACGTTTGACGCCCATCTCCGAAAGCGATGATACAGAAGAAACGGTGTTAACCATAGCAACTTGTGCTGGAATTGCGCCATTAAAACAGCCTGCAAGGCTGAAGAAGTGACCGTCATTATCCACACGCACGGACGTACGTACTCACCAAACACTGACGCAGAAATGCACAAACCGACACATGCAAGCTAGTTGTCGTTCACGCACACAACCGCATGCTGGATGGATATACTTCACACATCCGGAGTGAACAAGAAAGAAAAGCAGTGGGCCTACGGAACACATCAAAATGTAAACAGCTGGCCTCAGTGGAAGCGTACAGCATGCCCTGTTATCCATCATATTATAATAATTATTATGCAGAGATCCATTGTTTGCTGGGCAATGAGGCAGACCACGCCTTTGGCGTGCAGTACGGCATCACACTTGACAGAGTCATACCATGATCATGATGATGGCATGATACAATCACTTCCCTGACGGTAAGGGCGCATGGGACTTGCCTCTGGCGAGATTTTACGGTAGATCTACAGCCTACAGGTGAATCGAGCCGCAAGACTCCTGTAGGCTGTAGTCAGTTAGAGCAATGACATGACATGTCACGGAACTGAGTGTCTTCAGATCTGTTATGCAGGCTTCTCGCGGATACAACGAGAGCAACGCACTTTATGACATTCGTGTGGTCATGCAGTAGCAAACGACTAGTAGAGATATTAGTGAACGTTCTTGCCTTGGACCGAGAGACAAATGAAAGGAACGCGCAGAACAAGAAGTATACTTAGCGAACAGTTCTGGAGGCAAGAATTGGGTCTAGACTGTGACAAATCTGTATTGAAGGAAGTCGACTATCACGTAGTCGGCGTAGAGATACTTGTCTTGTAATACATTCCATTGCTAATGGCAGTGTCCGTTGCTAGACAGTGTGGCCACTATTGCGAAGATCTGGACGAACAAAGTTTTCCTTTTTCCAGCTAACGTGTTGACGTACCGGAGCGGAGTGCGGAGCATGAGTTGATAGAGTAACACTGGTACAGTGGTCGAACTCCGATCCTCAAATCCGATCCTGAGTGTGCAATGATAAAGCAAGTTCACGATATTTACCGGAGGTTATTCCTGTTTGCCGTGTTGATTGTGGGCGGTAAGTGAGTGAACGGAACATACATACATGCACACGTTGGTGTTGTTGTATTCTTTATTTTACAGTTGTAAATCCAAAAACAGGCAAAAGCCTAATGACACTGTACTAGCCCTTTCCCAAACTTGATGCTCACCACTTTTTTTCGCAACTTTTCGTTGTTTAGGAAGAAATCGCTACTTTCGCAACTTTCTCCATTTTCGCGAACTATTTCGCAACTTTTCCGCAACCGTGGCCCCATGGTATGGGGTCAATATGTCAAGTCACGGACTACATGTCGGACAAATGCATACTCGCTCATTTCTCGCCTGCCTTCAGACTCATTTCAGAGAAACGGTAGATCAACGGTAGTTACGATAATGTGCATTCCCCTTTCAGTGCACTGGAATGATTTAGGATGTCTACTTCACAGCAGGAAGGGGTGTACGAGTTTGCTGTCGCTGCACTTCTGTTATTTCTGCTCCTTTTTTTGGTGGTGTTTGCACAAGAACTCTCCAATTTTAAGTTGCGATATTAGCAACTTTTGAGCTTTTTCTGAAAATATGGATGCGATTTCAGCAACTAGCACTTGTTTTGACACAGTTGCGGAAAGCATAAGTTGCGAAAAATTATGGCATCTTTTGGAAAGGGCTACACTGTACCCACGTAATGCTTGAATAATCAGGATGGGATTGTGTAGACCGATACTCTGTTTATTTTTTGTTAATCAGCCTATTGTACGAGCAAACAGATTATGTACAATGTACAGTGCTGGCAACTGAAATCCGCGCCGCGCCGCCCAGGGGGTCGGATTTCAGTTGTCAGCACTGTAGCTCATCATACACAGTACTGTGCAGTAACTATAATTATATTAAATACAGATAAAACAAGTGAAACACAGTACTCTGTCACCAGTATACATGTGCATGATTCGCTGTGGTGTACAGTACTGAGTACGTAATACGGAGCTCAAGTCGCTCACTGACCTGGAAAAAGCAAAACAGTTGCAGTGTTTGGTGCAGGGAGTCGTCAAATACGGTATTTGACGACTCCCTGGTTTGATGTAAAGCTTCGTTTCCGTTCTCAAGTAGAAGTTTTCAGACAAAAAACATCATGTAAAATGGAGAAGCATCCAATGCTATTGGTGGGGCACCAACACAGGATGGAACCTTTCTAAAGGGAGAGAGCAATGCGTATAAGCTTGCCTGGATACTACCCACTAGCCCTTTCCCAAAGATGTTCGCCACTTTTTTTCGCAACTTTTGGTTGTTTTGGAAGAGATCGCAGCTTTTGCAACTTTCTTCATTTTCACGAACTTCTTCGCAACTTTCCGCAACCGTGAGCAGAGAAGCGCCTTGGAAGGGACCATGGAAGAGTCCGTGATGCTCCGCTTCAACAAGAAGTGCTGAAAAATTGCATCAAATCATTATAACAAGTGTACTTCTCGAAGAACATGTACATGATGTACATGTACAAAATGTAACAAAAGTCATGTACATGTACATATACTTATTGCATTGTTGGTTGACAGCATCCTTCATCTTTCTGTGAGAACCGGACCTATGAGACGGTGAGAAGGCAATCATGCCTGTGCCATTGGTGAAATAAAATAAAACTCAACAACAATAACATGTTACAAGGCGGAGGTCCACTGTGTTTGGAACCAGTGACCTTACTACAACCATCCACGGTTGGCAGAGTCCCAGTCTTGCGACCATTTGAACCGGCTCTGCCAACCGTGGATGGTTGTAGTAAGCACTGAGCAATGATGCAATGATATTATGCACCAGAACTCGCTCATTTTTAGTTGCGATATCAGCAACTTTCGATCTTTTTCTGAAAATATGTATGTTTTTTCAGCAACTTTCGCTTGTTTTGGCATGGTTGCGAAAAGCATAAGTTGTGAAATATTTTGGCATCTTTGGGAAAGGGCCACTACCCACGTACAGTATAACAAAGTGCAACGTGAGAGTCTGGGGCTTTCAGCTGTACCACTCCAGCAGGACCAGCAAGCTGTGATTTCATTGTGTCAGTCTGGAAGACTTGTGTGTGGAACCGAAATACGCAAGGTTTAAAGAACAACGAACACACAATTGGAGTATGTAGCACCCAAGGCGACTATGCCAACCATATGCATCGATTTCTGATCACGAAGGTTGTTGTAGCATTTATGCTGGGCTATCATCCGCACTGCTCTTTCGGTCGTTTATGTGCAGCCCATGCAGCGTGCTCTTCTCTTGGCGGTACGCCAGCTCAAGATGGTACGGTGCTGAAAGGAGACCGCGGTACGTACAAGTTCACCTGGATACTGCCCACGTACAGTATAACACAGTGCAACGTGAGAATCTGGGGCTTTCAGCTGTACCACAATAGCACGACAAACTGTGATTTCATTGTGTCGGTCTGGAACCGAGATACAACGGGTTTAAAGAATAACGAATACGTATTGGAGTATGTGGAGCCCAAGGTGACTATGCCAGCCGTATCCACACCTACCCTGTTCAGCTATAACTACACGGTTGGAAACCGGAGGTTAATGCCGTACTCCCGGACTGTCTACATTGGCGTCACAACACAGCAGACAGGATGTCGTGTGCTGGGAAGCTCAACAACAGCAACTGGTGCGCGATATCGAAATGGGGTGGACACACTACCTAGTGTTTCAAACAAGCGCACCTTTAGTAAAAAGGTGCAAATCGACCTGTCCTTGCGCATGATTTTCAAAGGTAAGCATACTCACTCCATTCTCCCTTCTAAACTCTCAGCTTCTCCTACATGCTCCAATCAAGGAGTAATCATATTACTGCTTACTGCTTGAAGTGTTGTTGAGTCTTGGCTTGGTGTAGGCCACACGTGCTTTTCTACAGCTTCATGTATTATTATGCAGTATTCCTCTGACAAGTAAGTACATTGTAAGTAAGTTAGTTAGTTTCAAGGCTGCTGGGTGCGACAGATGCTGCGCTGTGCATTGAGATGTAACCAGCATGCATTGGTCATAACTGTTAGTTTTAGCCTGCGGCACTGTGACCAGGCGACTAACTATTACTTAGTATACACATCAGCACGTGACCGCTTACTCAACCATGTTCGATTGGGAATAAGGGCCGAACGCTGCATCGCAGCCTTCTGGGACCAAAATCAGTCGACTCAGCGTCCAAAAGACTACAGCAAGTGGGTCAATCTCTTTCATCTGTGCTTTTATAAGAACGAAATGGTGCTTTTAGTGACATTTTACATACAAATCCCCACCTAGGAGGCCACAGTCACCCAGTTTCGGTGGAAGGGCGCGAGTTCGATCGGGAAGAAAGGAGGGAGGGAGCGTCTCAGCTTCCTCGGACCAAGACCATTCGACTCCGCACTCTGAAGACTGCGCGTATTGCAAACGATTATTCCCCCGAAGAGCCCAATTTATGCTTTGCAGAGCCATCCGTACTCTGCAAGATGTCATAGCTCTCCTCTGCAATCGTCTAGACACTATACATCGAGATGGGAATGAAGTACGAGTATGTCTCAGCACATTTATGCCACAGGTCTAGTGAAATCTTGAACTTCGGGGAATTTTCTATTCAAATATTCGTAAAGCACTGATAGGTCGAATATAATTTGAATAACTGAGTACCAATTACATCCCTCTCTCATACTCTCCTTGTGTTATGTGGTTTTATTCTTTTTCAGATATCGACGAGTGTTTTGCAACGCCATCCCTGTGCACATCCTACACAAACAATGTGTGTAGTAATACATTTGGATCATACAGTTGTGTATGTAAGAGTGGATACAGTGGAACTGGTGGTGCTTCTGGTACTTGTACTTACATACCTACCACGGTACCAACAACAACACCAACAACCACACCGACAACAACACCAACAACAACACTAACAACAACACCAACAACCACACCGACAACAACACCGACAACAACACCAACAACAACACTAACAACAACACCAACAGTGACACCAACAATCACACCAACAACTACATTAACAACTACACCAACAACAACACCAACAACTACACCAACAATCACACCAACAACTACACCAACAGTGACACCAACAATCACACTGACCACAACAACGACAACTACACCAACAACCACACCGGCCACCACACAATCAACACCACAAACCGCCACATCATCAGCAACATCGGAAGCCTCGACAGCAGCAGAACTACCACCAGGCTTGACATCACCACCAGCCAACACAACACCAGCAACTGGAAGTATCTGGAATGTATCTACTGCGATCGGAGGTACATTCCAAATGACTGCAGCGTAATATGCGGTGCACGTAACCTATTTCAAAACTGATTTTGAAATGATCCAGGATCATGGAATTTGTCTTATGAACGTGCTCCTGGGCTCTTTGCGGGCCTCTTTTGGCCTTGGTTCATGTCGGGCCATCTTCTACAGTACTGTCGGTCGCTGAAGAACTGGGAGGTCAGCCTCCTAGCCTAGTCCGTTCTTATTTTCATGTACTACAGTCGATGGGCAGTTGAGTCCTCGTGTATACATTGGTATGCTGTGCTTGATGAAATTCTGGGCCGTTCGTTCTTCGGCGCCCGACAGTACTGTACTCGTATTGCGTAAACTAGAGCCAGTAGAGGTTGAAATGTGCGATGTCGATTGTGACGCCAAAAATCGAGTGCTAGCCTTTATCAGTGGCAGTGATTTATCATAGTTACTCTCTCTCTTTTCCAAAGGGAGATCAACTTGTCCCTCAAGTATGTATGCAGACCTAGGTAAAACTGTAACCAAGCATCCTGACAACACTCTCCAAAGCGGTCTCTGGGCTACATCAATCAATGAAAAAGTTTTAAAAAACGAAAATGATTATAACAAATAAATATGAAGTCAGAACATAATCACGGAGGCCAAAACTCGTGAGATATGCTAGAGATAAACAGCCAATATAGTAGCCAATATCTACAGCATGGCTGGCTAAACAGAACTGACGGATGGCTCCTGTGGATTCTGCATAATTATACTGAAGAGTATGTAAAACTGGGGCTACATCAATGTTTTTGTACTTGGCCGGAGAGTACGATATCATACAGTATTGACTTGGTTGATCATGCTCACATTTTTCTTCGGCGTGTCACAGAATCCCTAATGCTGGTTGTCCTGCTTCCATCGTTCATGGCACTTACCATGAACCATTTATGGCTTTTGCGGATGTTTTCGAAGAAAAGGAAGCCACTGGGTCTCGAATGTCTGCTATATGGATGACTTCTGCTTTGGTGGCATTGCGAGCAGAGAGTTACGACACATCCAGTTCTGTACCACCTGTGGGCATGTCAACCTTTAGCCTATTCCATTTTTAAGAAAAAGCATTTTAAAGTATTGTGCTAGCTGTTGCACCTTCTGACTACACAACATCTTGCTGATAACTGTAAGTGTTAGTGTTGGACACAAACTACGGATAACAAGACATGTTATCTGTAGTTTGTGTCCAACACTATAACATTTCTGTCCTTTTTTTTAAACATTGTTTTCTCGGTTAATGACAGTAGAGATATGTTTGTCTCTTGTGATATACATGTAGATGATGATCGCCAACAGAATACAGCCACTGGTCTCTCAACTAAAACTGTGATTGCGATATCGTGTGCAGCAGTTATGGCTTTCTTAGTTCTGCTATTCAGCTTACTGGCTGCAAGGCATAGAACCTCCGCTTGTCGTGGAGCCAGTTCTACAAATGGTCCCGGAAGAATGGAATCACCTGCCGTTACAAACTATCCAGAGGATCAGGAGCAAAATCCTGCTAGCAACAGATCAAGACCACCTGTTGTCACTGATCAATCACACCAGGTAGCTGACTCAACAAATCAGACAAGCGACCCTGCTGCGGACACTTGGGTGCATTCTACTGAAAATGAAGCCTATACCATTTGTCGCCATCACAATACAGGCAAGTCAGGCAAGTCCACTGACACCGGCGCCTCCTCACCGGCTGGCTTACTAGAAAATCCTGCATATGGTGTAGTAGTGATGGAGAATCTAGGCAATGGCAGCAGTTCCGAAAGAGTCCTGTCATCTATGACATCGCTTCAACATTATCATAGTCAAGCCAGAGCAGGATCAGAGAGGAGTAGCAGACACGAAGACGCCAGCCATGTCTACAGTGAAATAGCCGCCCTTTACTAGTCAAGCCGAGACTGCTGGGATATGAAGCAGCTAACGGTACAGCTAAGCAGTTTGCAAACATGTTGTTGTCAGAAGCATTACAGTACACCATTGTATCATGAGCACACTTGTGACTTCACCCATTGAAGTTGTGTATCTTTGTTCTGCCGGCAAGATTGCCAAAGAGCAACCCAGAGTCTTACATTACCTCAACATTTTTACTTACCAGTACATGTACATGTACATGTACGGCTGTGCAATATTGGTGTGCAGAACGTCGTTTACCTCTCCATCATTGTTCTTAGCAGGGAGTAGTACAATAGTATTATTATTATTATTATTACTTGCATGTACGCGTTGGAGTCAACCATGCAAGCATGATCCACAACTTCGCATATGCTGAACATGATAAACAGGACTATGACAGGGAAAAAATGAGCTAGAACGATGATAATAATAATTATGATACTTATATCATATATATTATATACAATGTAGCTCATGGGTATTGAAGATATGTCATTTATGAATATGTCCATAATATGAATATTGCAGCCTGAGTGATAATGATAGTGCTATTTCCTGAGTTTGACTGTTTCAGGATCTGTCGGAATATCACAATGCACAGACCCTCATGCATAGATCTCGCCATGCTGGTCTGTCATGGGCAATGGCTCCCAGGCTCTGCAGAGCGTCTACTATTGAACAATCCAGCATTGGCTTGGCGCAGATCTCCCACCATAAAAACCACAGCCGCGAACCACGCAGTGGAAAGCTACAAAAGATGGCCAACCCATTTTCACATGTACAGACAATAGTATTATACCATAATATTATAATGTTATTGCACTACTCCCTGGTTCTGACATTATATCCTGACAAGAACTACCGGTAGATATCAACAGTTACATTTGACTTTGAATTGGGCTACTGGCCAAAAAAAAATTGGGAACATATTCTTGTTTAAAGGATAACTACAGTCCATTCAGAAAAAAATGAACTTCTAGCTTTTGGCCATAAATGGGTCGAACGTTGAGTTTTTTTAGAATTTTTTTCTGCAATCCCATATGGAATCCTCTTCCAATTATGTTTCTGAAGTTTTTTTGTCCAAAAAGCAAGCCATAGGAAGAATAGGATTTCGGCCAGGTTTTGCCCCAAAAGCACTGAATTGGGAAAAACCATCAAAATCCAGGCCGTTTGACCCCGCCTGCAACAGTGCATTCTGCGGTTCGAACCCCAGTTCAGGCACCCTTTTTGGACCCTTTTCAAATTTCAAAGTTCGCAGCACTGCACTGTGTACGATGAAATCACGAAAAATCGCCAAATACGGGAGCTCGCCAGAGCCAGGACCCATCTTTTTATGAATGGACTGTATATACACCGTCTTTTTTCTTGCTATCGCGCTATCTCGATCTCAGAGCACATGGTAACCAATCAGTGCTGGTATCTGGAGCTTATTGGCTTCAGTAGTGGTAAAGCACAGGTATACTGCTTATGTCGTATTGTTTGAATAATGTGACCCATTTTGAGCACAGGTATACCGCTTATGTCGTATTGTTTGAATAACGTGACCCATTTTGAGCACAGGTATACTGCTTATGTCGTATTGTTTGAATAACGTGACCCATTTTGAGCACAGGTATACTGCTTATGTCGGATTGTTTGAATAACGTGACCCATTTTGAGCACAGGTATACTGCTGCTGTATTTGTGTCCCTTCACACAGTGATAGGCCATAGGGAGCACTGCGCAGTGTGATTTCACGTGTGGCAAATCTCACGTCATGCATCTCTCTCGCGTGTAACTAATACTTACATGTACTCGCCTCAAATGGTCTTGTAATGTTATGCCATGCGTCTATTCACCTTACGTTTCTTTCTCTTTTTTTTGGTAATCTTTCTGCTGACAGATGGCATCCTGGTATCGCTCTATCTGATATCTGCACTGCTGCATCCCCGTCCACCTTTTCCTGGGTGCCCAAATCACCTGGTCACCACGCCAGCAGGCGACAACTTTCACCAAGGTTCAACTCGAGTGACAGGATTGCACCCAAAAAAGGTCAAACGGGCTAGTAAGTTGTACCCTGCAGGCACGGTGACCAGGTGACTGGCGTACGCAGGAGCACGTGACCGCTTGTTCAACCATGTTCGATTGGGAATAAAGGAGCGGAACGCTGCATCGCAGCCTTTTCGGACCGAAACCAGTGGACTCAGCGTCCAAAAGACTACAAAATATGGGCCAATCCCCGTCATCCGTGCTTTTATAAGAACGAAATGGCGCTTTTAGTGACATTTTGCATACAAATCCCCATCTAGTAGGGCACAGTCACCCAGTTTCGGTGGAAGTGCGCGAGTTCGATTGGGATTCAAGTAGGAAGGGAGCGTCTAAGCTTCCTCGAACCACGACCATTCGACTCAGCACCCCGAAGACTACAACTGGTGAAATTTTAATTTTTGCCTTAACTTCCCCTTTAAGGGCCGATTCCCACTACGGTACCGTGAGTGCCGTGCCGACGATTTGGGTAGGTCACGTGTACCCCACGGTACGAGCTTGAAGCTGAGAGTGATTTACACCTGCGCACTGCCGTTCCGTGCATTCCGTCGGCAGGCCAGATCACCATTTTTACCAATTTCTGACTTTGGTCTGGAGGGAAAATAGCGGGGGAGATGGTTGGAGAAAGCTCAAAAATCAACCAATGGAAAACCCAAAAGCCAAGAAAACACTTCGTACCACAAATACAAAAGAACGAAAAAACTTCCTATCAGGAAGTAGTAAAATACCTACTACACACTGTATTCGACCTCACGGAATACCACGACATGCCATTTCCCCCCCCCCCCCCCTCCCCCCCAGAGACCCTTGGCACCGGAATGTCCACGGCGCGGTACGGCATGACCCACGGAATGAACTCGCGCCAAAACTGCCCCTCACGTGAGCAAATCACCATGGGTACTCACGGCACGGCACTCACGGTACCGTAGTGGGAATCGGCCCTAATAACTCTACCTTTTGTATCCACTCACTCTGACTTGTATTACCAGCTCTGGCCACTGGCCATTGGCAATGAGCACTTTGAAGTCTGAACAGCCTGATGAAATTGATGCAGTCATGTACATAGACACCTGTACTTATACCTATGTATTTAGCACATAGACACCTGTACTGCCACACATGTATTCAGTATTTGTAGGACCGTTTTGATACTTTGTTTTCTGTGTCAGCTGCGTGTGTGCAGTTGTATGCGTGCAAGCACCCCGCTCATTCCTCATTTTCCTTCCATTTGGCAAATGCCGGTTTTATAGATTGTGTAATTACTCAGCGCTATGTACAATATTCACAGGTTTGACGGAAAGACATTTACAATAATTATTGAATAATACTGCAAGTACATGTAATTCAGCATACCCAGTTTTTCATCCCTCCGCCCCTCTGTTGATTCCCTACGGTGCTCACGAGGTTTGTTCAGTGGAACAACAACACATCTCAAGAGTCGAGACATAGAGTGCGTATACTTTTCATGAAGTATGTACACTAGGATGCAAAAGAAATTGGCGCCGTTTGAGTGATTCGGGGTCACAGTCGCTCGATTCCTCAGAGCTCTCCGGAACTACAATCGACTCCTGATATAACGAACACCATTCATTGTGCAGGAGAACTACAGTCGACTCCACTTATACCAAACTCGCATATAGCGAATTTCACGATATAGCGAACCCTTGTCCATATCCCTGTTTGAACCCATACAAAATTGACCCTTTATAGCGAAATCTTGTAGGGCCGCATGTAAGCCAAGTGCATTCATAATAATATCAAGGACCACTTGCCAGTCATGGCTTGCTGTTTGTACAGTCAGTGTGAGTGCATTTCTGTTATAACAAACTTCGGCCATAAAGAACTAAGGGCATGTTCGATTGGTAGGATCGGGATCCCGATCCACCGGATCCACTGGATTCGCACCCTTTCGATTGGTCGAATCCAGATCCGGATCCTTCGGATTTGGATCCAGTCAACCCACCTCGGAGAGCAGAGTTGACCGGATCCAATGGGTCCAAATGTGACCTTTGTGCGTATATGGCGGGTGAAAATCGCTTTTGCACACATTGTGGTACGCACACGTGGATCGAGATACAGCTTGTCGAATTTTTGTACAACTTGCACGGTGAGTACGACTTTTTATTACTTCGTCAACATGGCAACAGTCAAGACCCAAAAAAATGTGTCCTGTTGACTCTGAAGGATCCGACGGATCTGAGATCTGGATCCCGATCCCTATCCTTACCAATCGAACATGCCCTAAATCTCCTGCATAATGGTGTTCGTTACTAGTATAATATTATTATCAGCAGTCGACGGGTGTTCTTTATAGCGGAAGTACGTTATAACAGAAATGCACTCACACCATACAAGCTGCAGCAGCAAGTCATGACTGGCAAGTGGTCCATGCATGACAGTACATATCATACTATGAATGCACTTGGTTTACATGCGGCCCTACAAGTACAAGATTTCGGTTCGTTATAAACGAAACGTGTTCGCTATAAAGGGTCAATTTTGTATGGGTTCAAACAGGGACAAGGACGAGGGTTCGATAATCACGAAATTCCCTATTCACGAAGTTTTTTTTGTTTCCTGAAGAAGTACCCGTACTCGCGCGACTAGAGCCCTCTCTTGAATAGTGCCCTATCTCGAATAGTGCCCGCCCAGTCTCCAAAAGCCATTGAAAAATAAAGCCCTCTCTTGAATAGTGCCCCCCCCCCCCCCGGTCTTGTAACCAAGCCCATGTGCAAGTAAGTTTGGTGTTCTTTTGCTAATGACTATGTTCTTGGCCATTGGCGATGGGAGAGGTGGATCAGTTCCGACGAGTTTGGAATAGCTACGTCGAGACGTCATCATCGCCGTACGCCATGACCATGATGACAATCCACTGGAAAACTCCTAAAAAAAGCGAAAACAGTCCGGCCACCTCGCACTCACACTCACACTCACACTCGTAGATCTACTCGCAGGCGCTAGGCGCTAGGCCCTAAATATTTTTTAAACTCGTTGACTACACTTCTTTGTACAAATTATTGTAGTCGACTACATGTAGAGTCCTAATACACACAATTACAAGTAGATCTACGCGGTACAGAAATGCAAAAGCCTTTGACTTTGCTGTAGTAGGTACTAAGGTAGTATAGGTGTGCTTTCTTGATCCGCGGACACTCAATTCCCAGTTCAAGGAATCGACGGTACGGTGTACGGATGCCTAGCATGTCCTGTCGAAGAGAGACAGGCAATTATTATTATTGACATTTTGTGATGTGTTCCGCTAGTCCCTGCGCTACCACCGTCACGAACGTCGCGTTTTCCAAACTTGGTGAGGATGGCACAGCTGCCAAGGACAGTGGAGACAAGTGCGTCGTTTGTTTTGCTTCCATAGATGGCGAAGTAGACTACCGACATGTCACTGTGTGTGTGTGTGTGTGTGTGTCATTGTCATTGGGTCATGGCATGGAGCAGCATTATTATTACAATATTAGCTACAAGTCTCCAGACCTGTCGTGTCACGGTATGTCACTCGACCTGCTACACCAACGGCAACGGCAAGGGGCAAGACGTAGTTAGCATGGTTAGTAGTCACCAGGTCACTGCCGGTGCCAGTGGACTCGGGCAGTAGTGCATGATTTTGACTGAATGGGAAATCGATGGAGAAAAAGATGAATCGATGTTCGCTGCACTTCGTGCTCCTCCTTCCTGATGACCCAACACGTGTCGTGTTTCTGACGGAGAAGGTCGACAATGCCAGAACGCAAGGGCAGCCTTGCAATGATCGCGATGATGATGTGAACATTATTCGTTTTTAGTACACTATTTCGCTGGCGTTGTCTTTGCGGCGGGGCTAGGCTGCCCTTGATCTTGGTGTGAGGACTGAAGTAATGTGCTGGTGCTTGGGTGAGCAAGTCCGAATCAATCTGGTGCTGGGGTGAGCAAGTCCGAATCAATCACTACAGTCCATTAATCACTTACCAGTGGATCGAACGAAGTGTGTCCGGTCAGACGACGACAGAGAGGAGCAGCGCTGTGCGATGGCTTGGGCGCGGTGCCTGCAAGCCCGGCTGTACCAGCTGCTGATCGCAACAATGGCAATACTCACTAGTGAGTACAAGTTACTGCATAAGTAAAAGTTTCGTTTGGAATTAACTTTCGCTATAATATTCGTTAGGGACGAAATAACCAAAGTTTGCACCAATTTGAAGTTTTTTTCTGAATGTTCGGGGTGACAGACCTCGACCAAAAACGAAATTTAGTACGTAACGAACCTGCTGGTGGAGTGATCTAACGACAGATTCCGGAAACGAAAATTTGTACTTATACAGTCCACACAGCCATACCTGGTGATCGGTTGACGGCATGTTACAAGGTGGAGGACGCACTGTTTTGAAAACACGACCATTCATTTTGAGCATTATTTTATCCTTTTCTTTTTGACGACCATTTGAACTGTATAGACGTCGTGCAGCACAGTGCGTCCTCCTCCTTGTAACATGCTGTCAACCGATCACCATGTTAGGGGCCATCCGTAAATACCGATATTTGTTGTTTCGAGACGATATTGGTTCATTTCTCCCCAGATCCCCCCCCCCCCCCAAACGAACATACACAATCATGTTTATGCAGGGGATCAATATTTTTGAATGAAGTGCAATCTCCTCATGAAACGTGACCAACAGCAAATCCAAATTCACTGTACACCTAGGTTTTCATCGGGACGGTGGCAAAACCTTGCCGTGGCGATATTCACGAGGCTGATCTCCACTTTTTATAGGTCCTCAACTACAGTGAAACCTGACTAAGGCGACCTCTCAAGGGACGAGAAAAAGTGGTCGCCGTGGCCAGGTGGTCTTCTTATCCAGGTTCAGTGGGTCACGTGACCTTATCCACATGTGATACATCATTTTGATCAGTGCATCACAGTGCACACACCTATGCTACTCTAGCACGATCATGTGCCTGGGGTCCTCTCAGACCTGTCAAATGTCGTGCATGCACCATGTACATCTACACTTCCTGCACTGATGTGTAGATCTATCATGCCTGGTGCATCATGCAACGCGTACATTTCCATGGCTAGCACTGTGCAACGCGGTCGCGGGTGGGTGGTCGTCGGTCGCGTTGAGCGAGTGGTCGCCTTATCCGAGGTGTTTTGAACGCGAATGCGTCCGTGACAAGGAAAAGTGGTCGCCATATCCGAGTGGTCGCCTTATCCGAGGTGTTTTGAACGTGAATGCGTCCGTGACAAGGAAAAGTGGTCGCCATATCCGAGTGGTCGCCTTATCCGAGGTGTTTTGAACGTGAATGCGTCCGTGACAAGGAAAAGTGGTCGCCATATCCGAGTGGTCGCCTTATCCGAGGTGTTTTGAACGTGAATGCGTCCGTGACAAGGAAAAGTGGTCGCCATATCCGAGTGGTCGCCTTGTCCGAGGTGTTTTGAACGTGAATGCGTCCGTGACAAGGAAAAGTGGTCGCCATATCCGAGTGGTCGCCTTATCCGAGGTGTTTTGAACGTGAATGCGTCCGTGACAAGGAAAAGTGGTCGCCATATCCGAGTAGTCGCCTTATCCGAGGTGTTTTGAACGTGAATGCGTCCGTGACAAGGAAAAGTGGTCGCCATATCCGAGTGGTCGCCATATCCGAGGTGTTTTGAACGTGAATGCGTCCGTGACAAGGAAAAGTGGTCGCCATCCCCCCCCCCCCCCCGAGTGGTCGCCTTATCCGAGGTGTTTTGAACGTGAATGCGTCCGTGACAAGGAAAAGTGGTCGCCATATCCGAGTGGTCGCCATATCCGAGGTGTTTTGAACGTGAGTGCGTCCGTGACAAGGAAAAGTGGTCGCCACATCTGAGTGGTCGCCTTGTCCGAGGTGTTTTGAACGTGAATGCGTCCGTGACAAGGAAAAGTGGTCGCCATATCCGAGTGGTCGCCATTACAGGTTTTAATGTACACTGCACATGTTTCTACAGTGCTGGTATGCATCTAGAGATCGGAGCTAGCAGCTAATTTTAAGCACTGCTTCCAGCTCTTGTGTACACCGTCAAGGTCGCGGCAATCCTTTTGCCGATATCTTCCCGCTGCCACACGGCTATTCCACTCATGGAGATGTCATTTTGTTATGCTTGCTGTTATGCTGATGTTGGCTGGCATCATGGTTTCGTTCTGTACAGGTACTGGAGTGTGCAGCCAAGCAGCATGTCCAACCGGCTCTCTGTTGAGGCAAACAACGTCGCATTGCATCAGTGAGTTTGCACTCTTGTGCGGTGCGCTGACAATGCCGTATGAGCACAGTTGGGGCTAAATTATTATTCATTATTTCCACGATGGCCCATGGCCAATAAGGAAGATAATATGATGCAAATCAGTCCAGAATCATATAGAATCAGTCTAGCAAGTAAGGAAACCAACACATTGCAGGGGGGTGGGGTTACGATGGGGTACAGTGTGAGCTGCTACAGGAGCATATGGATGATAGAATGAGGCTAGACGCCATTGATTTAAACGCATGCTTGCTATTTGTTTCACGCAGGTCAGGGGGTAGTTGGTTGAAATTGTGAAGGGACAGGTTGATGGGTGAGTTGGTGTGTTGGTATGTGTGTGATGTTCTCAATGTGTATGTTCTCAATGTGTATGTTCTCATGTGTCGTAGGGCATGGAATGTGCCGCACACAAATGGTTAACATTGATGGCCAGCTTTGTAGCTTTGTGGCTTTGTAGCCCCATAGAGACCATGCTAGTTCTCACAAATTTGTTATGGAGGCAATTGGTGCCAGGAGACTCTGGAATGGATACATATACTGTATAACAGTTTCTCTCTCTCCTATCACATGATACCAAAGCCTTAAAATGTATGTACTGTAGCGGACATGGAAATCCAGTCGATTGACCGGGGCCGGCGCCTTCAGCGCACAGACCGCTGCGTGCAGCGCACAATCATGTTGATCCGATGCGACCGGCGCGCTGCAGCGCATAAATGCATGTGTGTAGTCTACCGCTTATCCACGGCTGCATGGCCAGCACCCTGGGGCCACTAGACGTGCAACCGGATTTCCATGTCCACGACATTAGTTTGTTCACGACTGTACATAGTACCAGTCATTACCCAGGAGTATGTGGCACAGGAATATGTGCCTTAGTAATAATATATTATATGGCCCAGGAGTGTGTGGCCCAGGAGTGTGTGGCACAGGAATATGCGGCTTAGGAATATATGGCCCAGAAATGTGTGCTGCAGGATTGTGTTGCCCAGTAGTGGGTAATCCAGGAATGTGTGACCCAGGAGTGTGTGGCCCAGGAGTGTGTGGCCCAGGAGTGTGTGGCCCAGGAGTGTGTGGCCCAGGAGTGTATGACCCAGGAGTGTGTGGCCCAGGAGTGTATGACCCAGGAGTGTTTGGCCCAGGAAAACGAGGCCCAGGAATATGTACCCCAGGAGTGTGTGGTTCAGGAATGTATGGCCCAGGAATATGAGGCCCAGGAGTGGCCAAGGAGTGTGTGGCCCAGGGTTCAAGAAAGCAGACATTATCATGTGTATTCACTGGACATTGTCCTTAGCAAATAACAGAAGTCACTGAGAGTATGTGCCTTTTCTGTTGGCATGTTTGTAATAACAGGTATGATAACTATCGACACGGTGGCCTACGGGCAGAGTCAAACTCAATACAACGGGACAGCGTTACCATTGACTGTCACGGTAAGTGAATCGATCATGCAACCTTTCGTCTATGCGGGACATTACGGAGCATCAGCAAGTCGAATTTTCGGTTCGATTACGCGCATGTCAAAACGAAAAGCAAGTCGAAAATTCGAATGAAAAAGATGTTTAGCGTGCAGCAGCATTTTCGACTCCACCACTTGAGTTCCTTTCGAGCCTGCGAAGTAAACATTTTGAGATTCGCAATGGCCGTGGTTGTTGCATTATAGCAAGAGTACATAACTCTTGATGATAGTAGCATGGCAGCAGATTTGTTAGACTCCCTTCTCCTCTTTGCTGAAGGTCACCTATACCGAACGGAGTTGCTGCTGATTCTCGAGGCCGTTGAGCATGACGCGAAGCGACGGATGCTTCATCTGGTTCAGGCCATTGGCGATCGCATCTCTTTCGCTGATCTCGATGAAGAGACTATCATCAGCCGTTTTCGCTTTAGCAAGGCTCTGCTAGAAAAGTAACATTTGTTTGTTGCTACTTTGGCTAGTTCACGACTGCGCTGGGAACAACTGCTCCATGTACTGGAGCGCTGTGCAGGAGAGTACCGCTCCATCAGTATTGCAGCTCTGTGCAATACCACTGCTCATGTACATGGCGCGTGTGAGCTGGACTCGAAACCAATTTTCTGTTCGCTGGCCTTTTACAGTCGAGTAAAGCCCTATTTTCGACTTATTGAGTGCCTTTCGTGACGAATCTTGAATTTCACTCAAAAATTCGACTTGCTGATACTCTGTATTATGATAATTACAGAGAGCGCCTGTGAATATGGATGGAGTGGATGCATGCTCGCACAGTGTGTGAATATGGATGGAGTGGATGTATGCTAAGTAATTGCTAACACAGGGTGTGAATATGAATGGAGTGGATGTATGCTCACACAGTGTGTGAATATGGATGGAGTGGATGTATGCTCACACAGTGTGTGAATATGGATGGAGCGGATGTATGCTAAGTAATTGCTAACACAGGGTGTGGATATGGATGGAGTGGATGTATGCTCTCACAGTGTGTGAATATGGATGGAGCGGATGTATGCTCACACAGGGTGTGGATATGGATGGAGCGGATGTATGCTCACACAGTGTGTGGATATGGATGGAGCGGATGTATGCTCACACAGTGTGTGAATATGGATGGAGCGGATGTATGCTCACACAGTGTGTGAATATGGATGGAGGGGATGTATGCTCACACAGTGTGTGAATATGGATGGAGGGGATGTATGCTCACACAGTGTGTGAATATGGATGGAGCGGATGTATGCTCACACAGTGTGTGAATATGGATGGAGGGGATGTATGCTCACACAGTGTGTGAATATGGATGGAGGGGATGTATTCTCACACAGTGTGTGAATATGGATGGAGCGGATGTATGCTCACACAGTGTGTGAATATGGATGGAGTGGATGTATGCTCACACAGTGTGTGAATATGGATGGAGCGGATGTATGCTCACACAGTGTGTGAATATGGATGGAGCGGATGTATGCTCACACAGTGTGTGAATATGGATGGAGCGGATGTATGCTCGCACCAAGTGTGAATACGGACGGATGCAGCTACAGTGTTCGTATACACATGTGAATATGGATGCAGTGGCAGTATGCTCGAGCACCATATACATGTGAATGGAGTGGTTGTATGCTCACTCAGTGTGTCGAATCATGCAGTATGATTGAACCGCATAGTACTTTGTCATATTGTAGCTAACCCGAGTTCCTACGCAGTTTGTCAGTGCAGCAATGTGACATTATCAGGTTTCAGCATAGTTCTGCCTTACGCTGCTTTGTTGCCAGCTGAACGGCTGACTTGTCACTTCACCACATCAACTTTTTTTCTGTGTTACAATGCTGGTATCCCATTTTTGGTTTGGACTGCTCAGCGTCCCGGAGCGGTAACCACTACTCGAGTTGGACCTCGCGCTGCTCCAGTCCTAAGCTTTGCCAACCGTTTTGCAATTTCCATCTCTACACCCCAGGTCAGTCCAATGCAATCAAAATTGGTATCGTGAAGTCTTCTTGGTCTAGTTTGTGACATGTGTCAAATCACCTGCGTTTCACACACACACACACACACACACACACTGTCCTGTCCTGTCCTGAACATTGCCGTTTCCGGTTACATGTCCCCTCGTGTGAGGGGCCGACAGACATGGAGAGTTGGGTTGAGGCGCTGTGTCGCATCAACGACCTAGCGAGATTCCCTAGCCATTTTCATTGATCCATTTGTTGCAGTTGTGTAGCTGGAATCCTCGGGTTGACTTGCAACAACGATCGCATTTGCTGCAGTGGGCTCTGCAGCAAGGTAGGGCGAGCCGCTGGCGGGTGTCACACGATAGTCCAGAAGCGGTGGTTTGGTCGTGCACTGGAGTAGCATATGGGGGCATATCCAGGCATTTGTGGACGGCCAGTCCGCCAGGGCTGCGAAACCAGCGAAGACATGCGGTGCATTGCCTGCTGCCAGCCTGGTCTGCTACGGGTTTGCGACGCTCTTCAGTGCACTTGTGGCGTGGCAGGCCGCTCTTCGAGAAGGATCTGTTACAGATACTGCACTGAATCCGTTCACGAGAGGCCGGCTGTGGTGGTGAAGCAGTTCTGAATGCTGTGCGCCACTCTCCCCGCTGCTGCGCGGTGTCGAACCAATCTCCTTCCAGATGGAGGTGACGGATATCAGTTCGGACGGCACACACACACACACACATACACACACACATACACACACACACACGTACGCAAGCACGCACGCACACACCAATCTCACCAGATTAGCTATGGTGACTGTCTTTGTGCAGCGTTTTAAGTGCTACAATAGGTGTTGTCTTCTGACCTCATGCAGTCTTTGCGTGTTTATGCTAGTTCCACATCACTCCTCGTTTTTTGAATAATGCTGATGATGATCATTGACCAACAATTTGGATTCGTTTTCCTTTTTATCCAAGTGCAGAAAAGAGGGCAAGAGATTAAATGAAGTGGCGGTGATTGATGTGATTAATGAACGGGCTGCAGTGGAGTTTGTGCACCCTGGAAAGAGTTTTCTCCTGTTCTCCACTGAAAAGCGTTGACTTACTGTACCTTGTTGGTGTTGCTTCGTTGCCAGTACTGTCATCTAATGTATGTGTATGTGTGGGTTCATGTTTCCTTTGTGTGCATTGCCTATACTATTGCTATTTTTATGATACAGTCTGGTGTGGATCTCTCATCAACGTGGACATTGGTAGCAACTGTTGAGTTTCCTCAAGCCACAACAACCGCCACCACCGTTATCCTCTTCTACACCAATGTGGGTAAGTCAAACGCGTACGTGCCAACAACAATACAGATGTTGCAAAAGAAGGATCCACTAACGGGATTCGAACCCAGCACCCCTGTCTTTCCGGGACTGTGCTGTACCGATTAGGCTACCGGGGATCACACACCCACACCCGTGACTCCTTCTCGCTACACAAACTAAGTGTGGGTCAGTTCAAGTGTTTCCAAGCAACATCCGTACTGATAATATACAAATTTTCGGCAGCTATTTAATTTCGGCTATATTCGGCACCGACCCAAAACGCCTAAATTAAAACGCCGATGAAAATTTTCACAGCATCTGTCGCACTATACCATGCCCTCTACCCCACGCCGAAAATAAATCGCCGCCGAAATGTCAAAAATCGTGAAGTGCCGAAATTTTGCAGCGCCGAAATTTTGTATATTTACAGTATACTGATTATGCTTCACAGTGCAGGCAAGTAGAAGTCCAGAAGCTCAACGGGTATACTAATAGTTGGGAACATGTTATAGTTATGTTATGTGTGATTCAGCGCTTACCATTTTGAACGCATGGAGAGGTAAGCGTCAGTGTGCAAATTATTATTGCCACAATATCCGGAAAGCGTACCAACCATTGTTGTAGAAGAAGAAAAAATGGACCAAGGAACTACTGTAGCGGACATGGAAATCCAGTCGATTGACCGGGGCCGGCGCCCTCAGCGCGTACAGAACGCTGCGTGCAGTGCACATGGTGATCTGGTGATCCGATGCGACCAGCGCGCTGCAGCGCATAAATTCATGCGTGTGCCGCTTATCCACGACTGCATGGCCAGCGCCCTGGGGCCGGTAGATGTGCGACCGGATTTCCATGTCCAGAACAGTACAACCAACGAACCAGTGTTGTGCCTATAGTTAAATGAAATGTTGGTATTGTGTAATGTACCCTGCTCATTGTCCAGGCTACGTGAACTACTATGTCAAGAAGACTGTGCAAGGATCGACAGTGACATTTGATGCCTCGCTTTCAATCATTGATACATCCATGAATGGAGTGGTAAGACCGTATATGGATGTCAGTGACTGTGTGAATACATGTACTGTCGTGGACATGGAGGTCCGGTCGGAGGTCAAGCGGCCGCAGGGCGATGGCCATGTCGCCATGATTACGCATACGGTACAAACATTCAGCGCTGGTCGCATGTGCACTGCATGCAACGTTATGTATGCACTGAGGCCGCCGGCCCCGGTCAATCGACCGGATATCTACGTCCACGGCAGTTGCATTCAATATGCTGGGACTGGGGATGCAATGTTCCTTCCAGCACACACGCTGGCCACAGAGTAGAACTGTGAACTATAGGCTTCGACTCATTATTCAAATCAGATCTGGTATATCCTCCCCACCGTTCTGGAGCTTCATTTGACTCTTGATCATGCGTTGGTGGTGTCCCAAAACCTAACGGCATGGCCAATTCCATTACAAAGTCGGTGTCATTACGTTTTTTGGGGATGTGCCAGTATGACTTATTCAAACCATTCTGTTTGTGGCTATTTGTACACCCACCTGTCCACCTGTCCACCTGATTTCTGTTTTTCCTTGACACCGGCACTCGCTCTCTGTCTATTGCTTGCTGTTTGTGCACCACTCTCTCTTATAGACATCAGCTATACCATTAGCCAGTTCCAACAGCACAATGCCAGAGTTTGGTCTTCTAGCAGTAGCACTAGTGTACCTGAAGGATGCCCGCACACTTCGTGTCCTGTTACATGGAAGTCAGGTAGCGTCAAGTGGTGTTACCATTCAGCCTGGTACGTACTTCAAAGGACTGGGTGCATCGTCAGCGTCCAATCATCTTAGTCGTCTGCTGTCTGTGAGGCTGTTCAACGAGGAGCTGTTTCAACCTGAAATACTCACTATTAGCAGTAAGTAACTTACTCGTTGTACTATCTTGTCACAGTACAGACACTAGTACAGTTCTGCTCAATGAAATCAGCTTGTGCGCGTCATGTTTTGGAAAGGAGAATGGAGGGGGTCAAAATTGGGGGAGTACAAAACTATATTCTGACATGCCACAAAGTTGTGCTTTGAGTGCAGTTTTGCGTGTGCCTAGGCAGAGAAAAATGTGACATTGAATGCTTACTGTACTAAATCTAACTGTACTGACGTATTTCCCTGATTGTAAGGCACTCTCGATTATAAGTCGCTCACCCACTTTGAGGTTTGAACGACATTGTTATAATACATGCATATACATGTAAGTCGGATGTCACTCTCGATTGTAAGTCGCATCCCTTCTTTGCCCTTGAAGTTTAGTGTAAAAATGAGCGACTTATATTTGGGGAATTACGGTATATCCCCAGTAGAAGTAAAGTGGAGGGGAGGAGCATTTTCTAGGACACCACTTCAAAATAGTATCCTCCTTTAGCTAGAACCCCATAACTCTTTCTTCTAATGAGCAGCATTCTGTACAAATGTTCAGTTAACACACTTTGTTGTGTTGTTGTCAGGTGACTACCAGCCACCCATGTAGCAACCAGTCATGTGACTACCAGCCACCCATGTAGCAACCAGTCATGTGACTGCCAGCCACCCATGTAGCAACCAGTCATGTGACTACCAGCCACCCATGTAGCAACCAGTCATGTGACTACCAGCCACCCATGTAGCAACCAATCATGCGACTACGAGCCACCCATGTAGCAACCAGTCACGTGACTACCAGCCACCCATGTAGCAACCAGTCATGTGACTTCCAGCCACCCAAGTAGCAACCAGTTGAAACAGCAGATATTTCTGACATAGCAGTGGCTGCACCACTTTTGCTAGTTGGTTACAGCTTCATAACATTTCTTTTATTCCCGATACCTCTAACCAGGGTGTGTTTGTGCATGTCTATGTGGAGTTGTCTGTGTGTACATGTGTGTGCATGTGTGAATGTGTGTATGCGTGTGAGTGTATGTGTGTATATGGTGTGTGTGTGTGTGTGTGCATGTATGTGTGTGTGTGTACGTGTATGTGCGTGTGTGTATGCATGTACAGATTGTGCGTCTCCAGCCAGTCTATCATCATGTACTGCATGCAGTGGACTTGTTGAGCAGCAGAATTGTCTCTCACCTGCTGACGCACTCTGCTCACCGGGATTTCTGCAAGGACAGAACTTTACTTGTAACAGTGAGATGATGATGTTGTGGGAACTATCATGGTGATGATGTTATGTGAACTATCATGATGATGATGTCATATGAACTATCATGGTGATGATGTCATATGAACTATCATGATGATGACGTCATATGAACTATCATGGTGATGATGTCATATGAACTATCATGGTGATGATGTCATATGAACTATCATGGTGATACACATGCATACTACTTACTGTAAGCCAACAAATATTCGGTGCATATATTCTTTCGGCTATTTTCGACCTGATCATATTTGGCTGAAAATTTGTTGCAGCCGAAATTTTGGTTTTGCAAGGTTCAATGTGACGGTGTATACTAGCCAGTGCAGGCTGTCGTAATAAAACGACTCATCCGTGTTCCATTCCCGTGCATGGTACATGCATGGTGCGAGGGCACAATGACAGCTGTCGCAAATCACACTGAGTATTACACGTGTTTGTTGGTGATTCCTGGTCAGCTGCTAGCTTTTCCCTACTCGAAGATGTTGCCGCCGCGAAATCGGGGGGTTTGTGTTCGTCCTGGCGAAAACCGTGTTTTGATCCGTTGAGGGAGACGAGAGATACAGTGCGAAGACGTACGATCTGTCCGAGAATCGGCGAAGAAGAAAGCTTCGCAGACGACCCGTAGTGGTCGGGAACAAAATGGAACATATACCAGTCGATGCCTGTCATGGTAGGGATGACTGCTACGAAGTTTTAGCCCCATGCTCCCCAGCGCTTTTTAGCGCCCGACGATAATTACCAAATTTCATCGATTTTCCACGTGGATCAAAGCATAGTCTCCTCAATCTTCTCCAGTCGAGCTGAGTATGGACGCTACAATGTCGAGACGCGAACAGAGAACATGCATGAACACACAAGAGCATCACATGCAGCTGCATTCTGCCTTGACGAAGCTGAGAACAACACCAGCACCACGCATTTGGAAGACATTTCGAAGAAGACGAAGAACTACATATCTGCGTTCAAAAAAGCCTCTGCACTGTGCAGTATGCATGCGTGCATGCGCGAAGCACGGGGTCCGCGGATCAACTTCGTGCAAAAATCATTGTGCCACACGGGTTGTATGATTTGTGTGCGATCATGGCCTTTCTTCTTGACAAACAAAACTGAAGTTTTTCGATCTTCAAATCGCCATAGCGTCCTTGTCACGACTCCAAATCAGCTGAAACTTTGCAGGAGGAATGAAAATGCCATGCTGAATCGATTGGTACCATTTTCGAAGGGTTTCCTTGAAAAATAAAATTTAGCCTGCACTGGCTATGTATACAGGCAGCCGCAGTATAGGCTGAACATTTGTTGCAGTCGAAATGTGTTTTAGCCCTGGGAGGCTGAAATTTGGATGGGCCGAAAATTTGTCACCTTACAGTACAGGGTAAACTAAGCTGTTTGCATATTTGGCAAGTGTGTGGTCTCACACACTGCCCCAGAAGCTATCAATGTAATAAAGAAAGGTCATGTGATTGCTGCCTCGGCTAAGGCCAATGAGTGCTCTTGGCCAGGCAGAGCTATACCAGTCAAGTTTGCATGTGAACTACAGTAAAATGCTGATTATCCGAATGTCGACCATCCGAAATGCACTGAATACTAGGGACGAAAATTATTTTTAGTACTTTTTGCTGATTTTACTCACCCAAAACACCATTGAAAGTGGTGCACATGATGTATTGCAAAAGGTTGGCATAAGATTTGTCCCTATGGTGTCATTTTGAGGACCTGGAGGGTGTCCAATTTCTGTAGGACTGCCGAATAGAATCAATATCCTTGCAGCGATTCTTGAACTATTGTAATCAGTTCCAAAAAAACCCATTCACCATTGGGTCCTAAAATGCCAGTCAGTATGGTTTCTGGTTAACATCCATGTTGGTTCTCTTCTCTTGTCACCTTCACTCTTGTTTTTATATGCAATGGCTTGTTGTAACACTTGGAAAGTAGTTGAGTGGACACACTCATTCCCAAAGCACTGCAAAGGACCGAACCAACTCTTTCAAGTACAAGGTTTCGGCAATATTTCCATCGTCAAGTACGGATGAAACAATAATTTGAATGGGTGTGTCCACCCAACTACTTTCTACAGATGAAGCTGCAAGATGCGTCAAAGTTAATTCTCACTTGTAACGGGTAGTGGTATTTGAATAAAGTTAACAATCAGTACTCGGTGCAGTGTACGGGTTGGCATGGTTACCGGATTATTTGAGTGTTTATCTGTGCTTGAGTTGTACAATGCAATGAGGCGAACTTTGCGTTGTGAGATTTAGAGGTCAATGCTTGCAACTATGGTATTGTGGGTATGTGGTGTGTGCATGACTCACTCTTTCTCTGCACAGCATTCACATCGTGTGAGGTGCTGGGTGATCGACCTGTGCAAGATGGAACCGTGTTGAAAGGACCCTACAATAACTATATTTACACGTGGCTACTGCCCATGCACACCAAGAACAACTGTAGAGCTCGGATGATGGGTCTTGAAATCTACCATTCCAGTGCTTTGCGGTGTGATGTGATCCTGTCAGTCTGGAACAAGAATGCACAAGGTCTAACACCCAATGAATACGTCCGTGAATTTAGGACGGCGAAGTACCAAATTCCTGCTGCGACGACAAAGCCGACATTAGCACGCTATTTCTTTCCTATAACTCCAAGTTACGTATTGCCATACACAAACACTTCATATATTGGTATTACCACTACTAGAGGAGCGTGTCGTTTGCTAGGAACGTCTAGTAGCTCAGTAGGAGTTCGCTATGCACTTAGTGCCAAGGGTTTGCCAGTCAAATTCGGGACGCGCGATTTTACCAATGGAGTCAACATGAAGCTGTCACTTCGGCTTCTACTGAAAGGTGAGTACACCACATCTTGATTTCCGTATCACATCGTCAGACTGTGAGCTCATGGTTGTTATGGTAACACAGCTCATTGAAAATACTCCTGTTTTGACTGAGGTTGTGGATAGCATGACAATGACCAACTCAAGTACTTCCTTCCGTTTGTTAGAATATTGTCGCTGTTTGTATGTCCAGTAAAACCTGTCAAGACGACCACTCGGAAAAGGCGACCACCTGTGCAAGAAAATCATTGCGACCAGGACTAAGGGATGCTATTTCCGTTGAGTGGTCGTCTTAGACAGGTTTCGCTGTAACTGCTCATAGAACTGTGATGCAACAATTATTTTGAACCGGAAACACCAACTGTTCCACACCTTCACCAGCTCCTTTATTGTACCTGCAAGTTTTAGATCCTAGGCTGCAAATTTCTAGCACAGAGCTCTCCTCCTCACAACACCACCATCAGTTCGTGGCTGGGTGCCAGGCACGAACTGATGGTGATGGTGGTGAGAAGGAGAGCTCTGTGCCAGAACTTTGCAGCCTAGAGAGCGTGTGCGGGCAGGCGTGTATTTAACGCCATATTGCCAGGTGTGTCTTTGCCACCATAGTTACAGTAGGTCCTGTTCAAAAATGTTGAAAAATTGCACTTAGTGGCTGTTCATTTGAAACTGGCCTGCTACGTTGCTTTGAACACACTCATGGCCAAAAAGTTGGAACTAGATTTCAAAAAAGCGAATGAACATGGTATGATGTTGACATGATATGAGTGAATACTAGTTATTTAAAAAAGACAGGTATCGTTAGAAGAGCCCGGAGCGCGAATTTCAAAGAAAGGAGAAAATGGGAAAGGGGAAACCCACTGATCCATCCCACTCCCACCATTTGACATTTTGGGTATGAAACGGGTTGGAGGCGCTGTGAGTCATTCTCTGAAAGTGAGGAAATTGATATGGATGAACTTTGCGTTCGAATTGTTGACATTGGGTTGTGATTACTATCTGACAGTCAGAACTGCATGTGATTGAGAGCATAGACATGAGCACAGCTTGAAAATACACAACAGTTCCGAAACGATCAAATGAGGTGATAGAGGGTCAGAGCTAGTGCTGAGTCGGGTAGCATTTTCTTCGGGTATCGGGTTCGGATAGTTTTCCACGGGTAGCACGGGTACCCTATTGGGTAATGTTTCCATGGTAACACCACAATGCACCCCTTCCCTTACACGCTCGGCAGACATGCAAAGTATTACATGAATTTGTACACGTGCACTGTAAATGATGTCATCTACGGCTTCGGATTTTCGGGTACTATTCTGTACCTGTCTACCCGAGGTCCTCACAGGTAGCACGTGCACCCAACTACCCGGGCACACCCCTAGTCAGAGCTAACATCGGGTTGATATTTGGTGTAAAGTACGAGTAGTAGTTTTGAGTCTGGATAAGTAGGTATTGCACAGCCTTGACCTTTTTTTTAATCCCAAGAACCATTTTACTGTCATGACTAAAATTGCTCGAGCTTCCTTTGTTGGATTTCCCTAAGCTGTGATTTTCTTGTTGAGCCATCATGTAAATCATGTTTCTATTTATATTGTTTGTTTTGCTGTGTCAGATTTCGATGAATGCGCCTTGTCTACATCGTGTCAACCCAATACCACTAATGTGTGTAGTAATACATTTGGATCATACAGTTGCGCATGTAAGAGTGGATACAGTGGAACGGGTGGTGCTTCTTGTGCTTACATAGCTACCACGGTGCCAACAACCACACCAACAACCACACCAACAACAACACCAACAACCACACCAACAACCACACCAACAACCACACCAACAACCACACCAACAACAACACCAACAACCACACCGACAACCACACCAACAACAACACCAACAACCACACCAACAACTACACCAACAACCACACCGACAACCACACCAACAACCACACCAACAACCACACCAACAACCACACCAACAACAACACCAACAACCACACCAACAACCACACCAACAACAACACCAACAACCACACCAACAACAACACCAACAACCACACCAACAACCACACCAACAACCACACCAACAACCACACCAACAACCACACCGACAACCACACCGACAACCACACCAACAACAACACCGACAACCACACCGACAACCACACCAACAACAACACCAACAACAACACCAACAACCACACCAACAACAACACCAACAACCACACCAACAACCACACCAACAACCACAGCAACAACCACACCAACAACTACACCAACAACAACAACTACACCAACGTCGACACCGGTAACTACAGCAGAAGTGACAGGAATACCAACAACCGCAGCAGTAACCCCAGCAGCAACAACTCTTGCACCACAACATACAATACCAGCAACAACACAATCTGAAACCACACCAGCACAAACAGCAACAGTATCAATAGCAACTTCGAGAACTGGAGCATCAACTGCATTAGCAGCCACAACAACAACTTCAGCAGCCTCAACAGCATTGCCAGCAACTGCAGCCACTTCCGAGTTTACACCATCATCACTAGCAACATCGGACGTAGCAACAGCAACGTATTCAACAACTCAATCAGGAATATCATCATTGCACCCTACAATGCCAACTAGCTCACCGACAGGAACACAAACTGCAGTGTCGTTATCGACAACGCAGTCACCCAGAACCCTGACGACCATGACCCAGGCTCCCACCAACCAGGTTCTTACCAGCCAATCAACACCAGGTCAAACAAGCACAGCCCAAGGATCCACAATGACTACTTCTCAATCCGCCACCACCACAGATGGTTTTACAAACCAGCCACTGACATCCCAATCACTCACCGTGAAGCTACAAACAACTGAAGCTTCTGCAACAAACTCTCCTGCAACTCAAGCTGCCATAACTCAGCTCCCGGCAACCCAATCTACAGGAGAATCACCATCGACATCAACACCATTATTGAACATCAGTACAACACCTGTCCTTGGTCCTGGCCCTGAGTCACAATCATCTTCATCCTCTATTCTACCCATGGTAATTGGCAGTGTAGGCGGGCTAGTGGCACTGGTAGCAGTTATTGTTCTAGTGGTGCTGGTTAGACGACGACAGCACCACAAGGGCAGTGCTACCCTACGCATGGGCAATACTGCACAGGACGGAGTGACCAACTCGGCCTATGGAGTGGCTCTGAATAACATGCGGCCACTTGATGGAGGTGAGACATATGTGCTGAAGCGTTTCTGTGATGATTACGGCATGACTTAGCATTAGAACAGGACCAACTGAAGCAGTTTTGATTGGTCTGACCAAGAGTAGATAAACAAGAGTGTGCAACTCGCGGATGGGTTGGCCCACGGCAGAATTTTTTGTTGACGTAATCTTTTCGACGACGCACACGCTATGAGTCTTTTGGAAAGTTTTCCCTTGTGCACTTGGCCGCATTTGCACTACAAAGTCGGTGCCCAGCACGTGCTCTCACACTGCTCTGCAGCAAAATGCGCGTTCTTCTGAAAAAAGGTGACGTCAACAAAAAATTCCGCCGTGGGCGGGGGTATCTGCAGATTGTGCAGGAGAGATCCGGAGTTGCACACTCTTGTTTATCTACTCTTGGTCTGACCATAAGAAGGAATCTATGACGAACTTGGCCGTATTTGAATATTTTTGAAACACTGCACAACTCCACTCTGCGCTCTTGGCCCACATTCACAACACCACACATAGTCTTTCATATTTTGTGTATGATGTGACAGGTACACATGATCTCCTTAGCCAGTAACAACACCATTTGATGGCCAAACAGTTGGTACAGCCATGGCCTGACCATCCTGACCGGCTCCATTGCTCTGTCAAGCGTAGCATGATTCTACTGGTTGCAAGCCTGGTCTATTGTGCCGATGGCCGTATTGGACATATCCACTGGAAATCAATCTAGATATATAGTAAAACCTGTGACTACCGACCACCCCTTGGGGCCAGAGAAAGCGGTCTTTAGTGGCAGGTGGTCCTTAGTTAGAGGTTTGCACCGCACAACCAAAATGAATGTGAGACCGTCCGTGCCTGGAGAAGTGGTCTGTAGTAGCAGGCTGGTGGCTAGTCACAGTGGTCTGTAGTAGCAGGCTGGTGGCTAGTCACAGTGGTCTGTAGTAGCAGGCTGGTCGCTAGTCACGGTGGTCTGTAGTAAAAGGCTGGTCGCTAGTCACAGTGGTCGCTAGTCACAGTGGTCTTTAGTTACAGGTTTCACTGTAGTGCAGCAGTGTCTTGGCAATTTACTATAATAAGGCATGCAGGAATTCCCGGTTACCACCGTCATCGTTTTCATGGTTGGTAGCGTTAGGTGAACCGGGAATTTTTTTATCGTTGGTTGTTATAAACGCGGCTGTTGATGTTGTGTTTTTCCCCAGATATTCCATGCCATGTTGGTCAAATTCAGAATGAATACGCTGATACAACTGACCTTGGTCCGGCACACCATCAAGTATCTACTGCCAATGGTGCTGTAGCTGGGGTAGGTTGCAGGCACCTGCAAACACTGTAAACACGTCACTGTTCTGATCTGTGTGCATCATAGGCTCACCATAATTATGGTTTGTTGAATATATTTCACTAGATATAGACGAACTCACTATTGGGCTTTGTGACATACCTTTCATGAAATAAAAGACGGTGACTCTGCATAATGGCAAAACATTTAGTATTGTGTGTGGGCACATGCTAATTCTATGCGACCAGCACCTTGCAGCGCATAAATGAATGTGTGCTCGTAAAATCACGGTTGCATGGCCAAGGCCGTGGGGCCGCTAGACATGCGACCGGATTTCCATGTCCACAACAGTATTTAGTGAATTCCACTGTAATAATGTGTTCATTATAGGATCTAAGAAGGCAGGTGGCATCACCCAGTGAATATGCCAGTCCAGTTGCACGGTTGTCCAGTCAGCAGCAAGCCGCTGGTGATGATACGTACGACTCACTGCAAAGACACGGTCCTGATAGGAATGGTGGAAGTGCTGTGATGACAGGATTTGAGAGACAGCGCAGCGCCATTTGTCACTCACTCGCAACGTCGTTCGGTGGTGAAGATGATGTCTATGTAAGTACTCTAGAACCACACGTACACACTCCACTATTCAACCCAGTATCTGGAGATATGTGGATTTTGTCGGAAAAAAAGGAAAAAATGTACAACTGTGATCATAATAGTATAGTTGCCCACGGCAGTGATCATAGTGTTAGCTACCTCCTACCGTATATTGCCTACTACAACCGGCTTTTCCAAGCTGGCCAGCGTGCACCCTGTACGTACCCTCACGTATTCACCTTTTGTTCCGTTGGCCTTGTGTAAATTATAGCTTTGCAGATGAGGTGAAGTGCGATTGTGCAACTACTGCTCTTTTCTACTGTTGCTATGACTGCCTTGCTGTCTAGGCAACCGTGGTGAGAAGTGTGGACGATGACCACCCATATCAAGAACCACCGGGCACCGTGGAAGACCTGTATTCACATCTACAGCAGCCAGTCTACCAGCAAATCAACCGATCGGCTGTAACCCTGGGCAAAGAGCTTGGGTCAGGGTAAGTCTGTGTACTGTTACAGGTGCATAGCCCGTATGGGGCACGGGGAGTGGTCGGGGGGGGGGGGGCATTATGGGGCATGTTCACCCCCCCCCCTCCAATTTCGACCTGGATTCAACATACAATTTTAAATGACGATGAATGACATGCATCAGCCATCCTACACATATGTGGCCGTGCACCCCCTAAAAGGGGACCAGCTATGCCCCTGACCGTTATGATGCTGCTTACACAGATGGCAAAACCAGGTTCTTCTTGAAACTATGAATGTTGGTGTTAGAACTATTTTGCCTGATGATCATGAAAGCGTGAGACTTGAGTAGCAAAAAGAAGCTTATTCTCCCTTCCGTGTATGTAGTCTCTCCCTCTTGCGTTATTGAGCATCGTTCGGACATTCCACACTTCTGAAAACACACAATGCCCAGTGGAATACAATTCATGTCTACTCACGTTTGTTGCTATACGCATTCATCACTAAACTTCATTTCATTCTATCCTGAAAACATAGTTTCCATTCTGCATCCCCAGTTATTACAAAAATAGGAAATTCAGGGGAATGGTTTTGGAAGGGGTATGCTCTGATCTCATGGTTTTTCCTACCAATGTTAGCTCTCTTTTCTTTTGCGGCATGCATCTAAATTACCTGTGTGTGCATCTGCGTGTACGTCTTTGTATATGTGTGTATATGTGCGTACCTGTGTGTACCTGTGTGTATCTGTGTGTACCTGTGTGTACCTGTGTTGTCTGCAGGGAATTCGGCACAGTGGTGGAAGGAGTGCTCCACATGGTGAGGTCTGATGTTTTACAGAATTATAAAGCAGTGCATTTGTGCACACACACACACACACAAATCCACACACACACATGTGTGTGTGTGTGGATTTGGATGTGTGTGTGTGTGTGTGTGTTTGTGTGTGTGCGTGTGTGCATGTGTTTGTGTGTATCAAAGCAGCATGCTGTCTATGCTGGTTACCCCAGCAAGTGTAGGGTGTGCATAGGTAACTGTCTTGGTCATCCTATTCAGATGTATTCCGTGTGGTGTAGACCCTGTGTGCATTGGGAGGTCGATTCACATGGTTTTGCCAGTTGTGTAGATTAGACAGTTATCTGGCGCTTGTCTTGATCTGTTTCAATCAGAATCTGATCTGCTATTGTTGCTATAAAGAGAAAATCTGTGGGTGCACATCCAGTTTCTGGTTCATGCTCATCGATATTCCAACAAACTGGCGACAGTGGGTTATTTAATAATGAATGATTGCTTGAAACAAGGAAACGGTTATGCTACCAATTAAACCAGGTTTTAAACAGTCAGACGTGCACATGTTTCAATTTAATATTTTCCTTGGCTCACCACCTGATAATGATTGCTATATATTTTATTTGTTCTTATGTGCGTATGTGTGTCCAGAATGAACGTAGCATACCAGTAGCTGTCAAGATTCTGAACAAGAACAATGCTGATGCGAAGAAATCATTATTACAGGAAGCAGCGTTGATGGGACAGTTCAACCACATCAATGTCGTCAGGCTTGTGGGAGTTGTTACAAGAGCTGATCCGGTAAGGACGCCCTGTGTTGTCTGTGAATCGTTTCCTTATCATTTAAAACAGGACATGGGTAGTTTGTCAATGCTTGCTACTATCAACTGGACAGGGGCTGTGTGTTGCTTTCTCTCACATGGCAATGTGATTTGCGTTATATCTAGCTAAAAGAGCTATACAGGGGCTTCCAATGCTTCTTATCTGCATCTACCCAGAGAGTTATTGCACGGATTCTAGCCATCGAAATCAGTCTTAGCATGTATTGACCCGCACTATGCCAGTGATGAGATAACAAGTATTGTGTATGTGTTCTGTGTACAGGTATTGGTGGTGCTTGAGTTGATGTCTGGTGGAGATCTGCGATCACATCTACATAGGCTACAACCTGAGTAAGTCTTGTAATGCTGCTAATGTTCAACTCAACTATTCTTATCACCTTCTGTGAATGATGATACTTTGTGTAATGCTCGTTGTGGTGTTGTTGCTGCTGCTGATGCTGCTGCTCTAGTTGATACTGCTACTGGTGGTGGCTATGGTGCTGCTGGTGCTGGTGCTGGTGGTGCTGCTGCCGCTGCTGCTGCTCCTACTGGTAGTGGTGGTGGTGCTGCTGCTGTCGCTGCGATAGTCTTGCTATCGGTCCCGCCACTGGTCCCGTCAAGGGTCCCGTCACTGATCCCGTCACTGGTCCCGTCGAGGGTCCCGTCACTGATCCCGTCACTGATCCCGTCACTGATCCCGTCACTGATCCCGTCACTGATCCCGTCACTGATCCAGTCACTGATCCCGTCCAGGGTCCCCTCACTGGTCCCGTCACTGATCCAGTCACCAGCCCTGGCTATCACATTTTCCTTCACGGGACCCCGTCACTGGCACACTTCAATGGCTCTGCACATAAGCACTATCACCATGATTATGTAAAAAAAAGTCAATTATCGTGTCCGTTTCGAAGGGAACTCACGACGGCCGCTAACACCCGGTTAATTAATTGTTTACTGTGAAGCATCACCAATGTGTCTGTGTGTATACTCGTATGTGCCACTGTGAGTTGCACTGTACTTTCCACACTGTACATTAACATACATGTCTGTTATGATTTCCTCACTGCATACAGGCGTGGCATGAAGGTGAAACGAACGGTGCCAAGTGAACTGTTACGAATGTCACGAGAGATTGCAAGCGGCATGTCCTATCTTGCTAAAAGACAGTTCATTCACAGGGTAAGTGTGGGTGTGATTTCCAATCGAGAGGTTTCGGGTTTGATTCCCGACGATCATGGTCACACAAGTCTTTCTTCTCTTTCTCAGACTCCTCCTGACTTTTCTTCCATTCTCCTGGGTGGTTACCAACAGCCAGTGCATGCCGGAGTATGTGGTGTGATGTGTGTGCGGGAAAAAATTGAATAAGGCTA